TGTTGCGAACCGAGCGTAAGTGTTCTGCAAAGCGGTCCCCGAGTCTTACGCTCGGTTCGCAACAAACAACTGCACCTCCCAGTCGCGAACCATTTCAACTCCCCCTCCCATTCCTCAGACGACATGTCCATCCTGGGCCTCCTGCAGTGCCACAACGATGCCACCCGAAGGTTGCAGGAACAGCAACTCCTATTCCGCTTGGGAACCCTGCGGCCCAACGGTATCAACGTGGACTTCACAAGCTTCAAAATCTCCCCTTCCCCCTACCGCATCCCAAAACCAGCCCAGCTCGTCCCCGCCTCCCTAACCTGTCCTTCCTCCCACCTATCCCCTCCTCTCACCTCAAGCCCCACCCCCATCTCCTACCTACTAACCTCATCCCGCCCCCTTGACCTGTCCGTCCTCCCTGGACTGACCTATCTCCTCCCTACCTACACTCACCTTTACCGGCTCCATCCCCGCCTCTTTGACCTGTCTGTCTTCTCTCCACCTATCTTCTCCTCTATCCATCTTCTATCCGCCTCCCCCTCCCTCCCTATTTATTTCAGAACCCCCGTTCCCCTCCCCCATTTCTGAAGGAGGGTCTAGGCCCGAAACGTCAGCCTTCCTGCTCCTCTGATGCTGCTTGGCCTGCTGTGTTCATCCAGCTCTACACCTTGTTATCTCTGGTGACTTATGTCAAATTTGTGTACCAGAAATGGTCAATGTTTCCCCTTGGACTTAAAAGAACAGAACAGAACTAAGGGTTAGACCTCAAGGATGAAATGTTTTGCTGAGGAAACAGCAAAGTGGAAATAAGGACATGAGACTGAGCAGATTGACAGACACATCACTTATATTGTCGGATCTGGGAGCCTGATAAGAGTGGGCTTTTGGAGGAAGGGAAATGGAATCAAAGTTTAGTTGTGGTTTTGTGAACAAGATGAGTTCTGAGGGTGAGGCAAGATAGGAGAGTGGAACAAGGGAACTAAATAGATTGAAGAATTTTTAAGAAATTACTAATAACAGAAGTAGTAAAGTTTAATTGTGATTAAGGAGATAAATGGTAAAGGAGACAGATAATAACAGGAGCAAATAAATAAAAAACACCATAGGATCAGGAGACTGAGAATTTCAAATGTGAAACAAAAAGAAAAAGATGCCCCATAGCTATGTTGTAATTGTCAACTTCCAAATTTTGCAGTTTGTAGTACAGTTAATCAGAATAAATGAATCAGGTCATATGCTGGCCAGTTCTGGGGGGTGTATTCTATCACATTAGCACAATCATATGAACCAGTAATATACAAAATATCAACATGTATATGTAAGATCAATTTCAAAATGTTTTAAATGAAAAAGAATGTCAACATCGTCAAGGAGGGGTCATCACCAGAGGGTCAACAAAAATAATGTTGCACCTTAAATCATTCCAAATGGCCCAAACCCACTACAGCAAACACCAAAAGATTTACAGCCAATTCCCACCTACAGACCCGTGAGGAACACCTTGTTATCTGTAACCAATCCCATTAGTTTCATCATATTCTTCTAGAACTCACCAGTTTTGCTGGATTTAGTGGCAGATGCGTTACCATTGTCTCCAGTCAGCGATGCTTTACTGGAGTGGGTGCTTAGTCGTCTGAGTTTACTACCCTGTGTAGGTGTCACCTGGTTTAAAGTACAAATTTTCTTTTTAAATGCCAAGAAAAAGCCAACTAGAGAACAGTAAAAACTGCAAATAGATCACATCAGAATTAAATATTATATTCATTTTCTAGTGAATTATAAATGGCTTCAGATCCATTATGACAACACTAATTCAGATATGGGGTAACTTTGTTTGGGGTGGGGGGGGGGGGGTTGGAGTTCAGGAAATCTTCAACGTTCTTAAAACTGCATAATAAAACATACATCCTTTAGATAAACTGAATATTCTTATTATCTAAACTAGCATGTGAATCTTGAATTCACGGTTGTACCCACAGACCTAACTTGGGATGTTGTTGGTCCACCCAGCTCAAGTACCACAAACATTTTTACAGACGAATGGAACTTTCCTGGTATATTTCAAAGCTCTAATCCAAAATAATAACAGTAAATGATGAAAATTTATAGAAAGATTTAATTTAAAACTTGATCCACTCAACAAGCAGAAAGAACAGAAACTGCATAGAATATTAAAACAGAATTTATGCTAAGAACCGTCATTGTAGTGGTGAATGTAATGCAAAGTCAGTTCCAAACAATAAATCTAGTTGTGCTCTTTGTTTGGGTTATCTTACATTGACTGTCCTGTCATACTGGGGAGTCCACGGAGATATTTTAAAAACATTACAACTCATGAGCGTGATCTTTGTTTCTAAATTTGAAGGTTATGGGATTAAAATCCACTGCAGGACTAGGTCGAAGGAAATTGATATATCAGTACAGCATTGAGGGAATTCTGCATTGTCTTTCAGGTGAGGTACTCATTTAAGGTTCTGTCTACTCAAGAGATCCCATGGAGCAATATGAAGAAAAGCAGAGAATTCTCTGGTATACTTACAGTACTTATTCCACAACTCCAAAACAGCCTAATTTGCCATTTATTTATTGTGGAACTTGGTGTAAATAATGAGATTCACTAGATTTCAAACTAATGCATTGGCTGTTAAACACTTTGGGACATTCTGACAATGTATTAAAGTTGCTGCATAAATATAGTCACACAGGTCACATCCATGAATGTTAAGTATATAGAAATCTGATAATTAAAGATATTCAAGTACTACATATGCAACAATCAGAAACATTTACAACTGGTGGTTCTAGACTGTGATGTAAATTCTGGTACACAAATGTATCCTGAAGAACAATTATATGAATTTTATCAGATTACTAAGAGCCCAGGAACTTGGAAACAAGATTGCAAGTAGATGCATTCTATCAACTGGGCTGTTCAACTGCCAATTTGATCGAAACATATGCATATTCATATAAATTACGAGACCATACAAATAAAATGTGCCTGTGATGATGAATCCCAATAGGATCTTTTGAATATCCTAATTAGATGTTGAAAATATCACGATTACTCCCATACTTCAATCTGAGAAGTACAATTCAGTCTGATTGCTCTGCAATGAGAATTAGTGAAAGTATTTCAGAAATATCAAGTCAGGAAAACACTCTGCTGTACAGAACTACACTGGAGACAAAACCTTCCAATTGCCACATGTTTAAGGATATGCTGCATATTACTCGTGGAATAAGCCTGTTAAAAGCACAGTTTGTGACAGAGCAATGGTAAAATGTCAGTGAACCTGCTCCCTATTAGAAGGTGGTGGTAGGTTTAAAAATAGTCAGACTTCAGAGAACGCATTCGGTGCTCAACTTTCAGTAACTCCACCATGACAAGCAGTCATCTCCAACTCTGCTTTGGTTGTTCTGTTCTCAATACTCAAATTTTCTCCAGAGGAGCTTTTTCTTACCCATGATTCTATCTCATCTCTTGCTATTTTCTTCAGCTAAAAGCATGAAGCTGTTCATGCAGGGAGCTCTGCTTGATCACTGCCAATACCTTACCCCTCGACTAGTTAACAGGAAGTGCATTTTAATAGGTTGAGATGGGATACTTCCTTCTTCCCCACAAATCTCAATCAAAAGTAGACTATAAACTATCCTCAACTTTGTGACACCACCTGCTACATCTCCAATATCACAAATATAATTAGCACCAATTTTCCAAAATAAATAAGATCAGAAATCACACAACACCAGGTTATAGTCTAACAGGTTTATCCGAAAATACAAGCTTTCGGAGCCTCACTCCTACTCTGAAAGCTTGTGTTTTGAAATAAAACTGTTGGACTATAACCTAGTGCCATGTGATTTCTGACCTTGTTCACCCCAGTCCAACACCAGCACCTCTACAAAGTAAATAGACAAAAAATTTTTAATTTGGACATCAGCACAATTGGCTTCATTCTGGAATAGAAAATCTATGCAGGTGGTTGAGAATATTTATTGCCAAAAGGAATTAAGAATCATTTATGAAAATATAAAAATGTTATTAGTGATGTTGACAAGCATCTAGCAGCCATGAATTTCTCATTCTCACTGTTTTCTTTTTAAAGTAAAAATCTATTGCACAGAGAGGGAGAGGAGTGACTGTGATGGACAGAGTAAGAAGCACATTTTTCTTTTATGTGCATCTTTTTATTAAACCACATCTGGAAACAATACTTTTGACTGGTAACCATTCTAAATATGATAAGGCTGAAGGAGATAAAAATTGGATTAATAAAAAGTTATTTTCTTAGCAAATTCTTTTGATAGGCTTAGTGAAAAACACACAAAAAAGTGTGGAACAGCCCTTTTCCCCCAAAGGTATAGGTTTTAGATAGTTTATGCATAAACCATTATTCCTGGGTCTATTTTGTAAAATGATTTACATATGAATTGTTTCTAATTCTTACACCCAACGAGAATTTAGAAAAAAATCTCAACATTGTATTATACATTGACAATTACTAAATATTATTTGTAAATAACAATAAAAATTTAACAAATGGATCACCCACTTCTTGAAAGTAAACCAAACAGTACTTAGGTTTAACTGGGAACAAGTGCCACTCACTGACCAGTGCTCTGTAGAACATCAATTGTCTCTGGCTATTAGCTCTTTATGTTTTATACTGTACCTCAATGCTCGGGATCTGGAACACATGGGAGTCTGGGCACTTAGTGGGAGTACAGGCTTTACTGTTTGTCAACCAAGGTTTGTCATAACAACGGGTGAAGGTCTGTGTGGTGGAGAGGAGGGTAGAAAGGAGGGAGAGCAGATTCAAAACAAAGTGGACAATGGATGGTGAAAGAAAAAAGGTTTAAAAGGATGGGTAAGAGAGAACAGGAAGGGATAGGGCAAATGTTAACAGAAAATTAACTTCAAACAATGAAATGGTAAAAATTATAAATAATAAACAAAGGTAAATGAAAACTATAATGACTGAAATATTTGAAACTGAGAACAAATTGACAAATTTCATGGATAACGTACACCCTTGCAGAATACTGAACAAGAAGCTTTTTATTATTCTCATCATTAAATATCAGAAAAAGGATGTTCATCTGTCCGAAATGATACTCATTTATCGAAACTCTGATCTTGTCTCTTCAAACATTAAAAAAAACCGATAGTCATGTTTCTGAGTCTTTGCATTAATAATATATTTTTGTACAAGTCAATACGGGTAAATTTAGTTGCTTGTTAGGTAAGTATAGTGATGTATTTACCAAAAGAAATTTCACTAATATTTTGGCTCAAAAAGAAAGAATTGCAGTGGAAGATAACGGAGACGGGAGTAAGAATGCAAATTCAAACAGCTGCAGTTCAAACTTGGATCTGCCCTGGATCTACTCTTGACCTACTGAACTTTGATTATTTCAAACATTCATTCTTGTTCAGTGTAAGGGTGATATCATCATTTAAAAATGCGTACAACAAAATGAAATGCCATGAGATCAAATATTTACATGATAGACACATGAATTGCTCTTATGTATATGGAGTATTAGTAACAAACACTTTAAACTGTTCTACAGTAAGACAATGGGAGGATTTTGTTGTCCTGAGCAGATAGTGCTATCATTATCCCAGTTTCTTGAAATGGCTTTAACTATGCAACAATGGACCCTTTAGTAATGACACCATCACAATTTGTTTCCAGTTCCAATGTAGTTTTGAAGCCATTTTAGATTAACGAGTGCAAGAATGCATTTTGTCTGCTGTCTAGTGTTCCATCAACTTTTCACTGATTTAAAAAGTCAAATGAATTTATCATGAACTGAGAGTGGAAAAAGAGCAGTGAATATAATAACAAATATGCCAAATGCCATTTTTATTAAAGACTTGAATGTCTTTTGCGTTATTTGCTCTTCTCCATGATGCTTTAATTTAAAGTTAAACTGGTAAGCTTCACATCGTGCTATTTTTGCCTCTGTGTTACAAGGTCTTAGGGATGCCCTAGTTACCATATAAATGGCAATGGCTTCACATTGTACCAATTATATCTTTTTATTGTATCTATTATATTGCACTTATTATACATATTCCACAAAGTACTGTAAGAGAGCTTTCAGTTTTATGGCTTCTGCAAATAAGATATTTCCTCTGTTTTGTGGATCTCATTAAAAATTATACCCATTGTGCAAATACAATAGCACAACTGTCAACTATCTGTAATGCTGTCATGACACTGTCTACAGCTGTATTGACAGAATTTTACTGGCATCATGTTCTTACTCAAAAGTGTAGCCAGTATATAAATAATACATAGATATTAAAGTTTCATCTAGTTGCGATTTGGACTGTTGTTAAGTTCTCAAACCTCTCCAACTAAAACTGAAGAATTAATATTAAAACACTACTGCAGTATAAAAACAAAATCCTTACTCTGTTTCCACTGGCTGGAGTTGCAGGTGATGATGGCATGGAGGTACAACTATGATTACTGTGGCTGGCACTGGAGCTGGATCGGGTTGGAGATGCAGCCCTGGAAGAAGGTTTAGATTTACGTCCCTTCAATCGGAAGGCAGCCATACCCTGAGAGGCACCTTCTGGCAAGATAAATTTCTCCCGCAGTTCTAAGTTGGTTCGTCCCCTTGCTGAAGGGAAGCAAAAAAGTACATACATTGATACTGTGGTTCATGCAGCACTTGAAAGGAGAGAGCCAAACAAATCCATTCAAAATAGATATCTGTGAAATCAGCAACTTACATGACATACCAAAAAATTGCAGAACAGTTATAAAATTAATGGATGCAAACTGTAATGGAACTATTGATCATGCAAAACTTTCATCAGGTTTGCTTTTCAAAGCAATGGGTTTGAACAATATTTATGAACTAAGACAGAAAATGTAATAATACATTTGTAAAAGCTTAGTTGTCTTGTTGCTACTTCTCTGGTCTCCCACCAAATCAGTCATAAGCTCATGATTAAAATCAATTGCTAAATATGCCAATTTGTTAAGGCATTGGATGTGATAATGGGTGAAGGATTTGTAGGAACAGGGTCCTAATGAATAGGTGAGAAGCCAGATTTACATTTCAATTTTGCCATGCTACATGCACTTCTCTCATCTGATCACAAAGCAACATTATGGAAATTCATGAGATATCCATAACCTGGATTGAACCACCTTCTCAGCCGGAGGCAAGATTTTGAGAGAAGGATAAATCAGAAAGGTATACACTTTTTAAAAACAGGATTTAGTGAGACAACAAGGTGTAGAGCTGGATGAACACAGCAGGCCAAGCAGCATCATAGGAGCAGGAAGGCTGACGTTTCGGGCCTAGACCCTTCATCAGAAACAAGTTAGGAGCCTGATTATCACAATTTCATGAATAGTTTAGAAATAGATATTTGTCCCCTGGGTTACAATTCTGCAATCTGATGAAGTGGATTAATAGATTTAGTATGGTCCTGTCTCAGTTTTCTTCAAAACAAATGAACTTGAAGATCACACGAGCTCCTTCAAAATAGTAACGTAGGTGTTCATTTTTTAAGCTCAGTTTTATCAGCTGATTGAAATAACATCTGCATTTACCAACAAAATCTGAAATCAAACTATTAGTAAAATAGTTTTTTCTGTGTATACTTTGTTATCTAATAATAATATTACTGATCACAATTAAATGGCAAATTAGTGATTTTTCTTGAATACCTAGGTTATGAAGAAGTTAAGATTCATTACTTCTATAAAACTGAACGACTTGCAATGGATGTAATCAGTGCAATCAAAGAGTGTCTCAAAGAATGACCACGAACATAGGTCAGAAGACTAGGAGTTGGGAACTGCTAATAATCTCAGGGGCAAATTTCTCTTGTGATATTTTATTGTGATAAAGATGTCAAATGTAGCAATGGCAGGATTTAACTTAAGTGGATGCCAATGGGCAGATTCTGTCTCATTTATAAAACCAATGGCTTTGATTCAGTAGTTCTTGTGATGAAATGTTAAAACACGAATGGAGAAAAGTCTAAGAAATAAAAGAATTTGATTGAATTAAGATGATTTAGACGAAATAGAAAGTAACAAATATTTACCACCAAAATTGCAAAATTCTTTTGACATTTGCTGGTTAGAAAGCAAGAGTATGAAAGTTTGATTAAACAGAAGTGGCAGTAATTCTAGAAACTGGAGTTTGCAACGTGTAGATAATTAACAGAAACTTCAAGAGCTAAGTGAAGAAATTTCAATGTAAGCAATGCATTCAAATTTAGAAGATCATAAGTACTCTGAATACATAAACCAGCGGTCTGATAAGCAGAGGTGGGTGAGGGGTGTATAAATTAATTCTCAAAACAGAACAAATGAAGAATTATTGAAACAATAAGTAAATGATTTAGTAGTTTTTTTTAAAACAAAAGTGTATCTTTACACAGGCAAGTTATTTTTTGCTCAAAAGGTACCCGTTCTCTGTTGATAAAGTGCACTACTGAGTCATGGACTTTTCTGCTAACTGTAGTAATGATAGCTAGCGAAAAGGAATGCCTATTGTGAGCAGACCTGCAGGAGGTAGTTTTACCTTCACCCCAAGTGAGATTTTGTGCTGCCCTGTGGTAACGTTAGCACTATTTGGAAACTGAAACAAAAAATGGGTCAGAAGTGTTCAGTAGAAGTCGGAGTTCATTTCCTCCTTATTTCACCTTTCCAAATCAAACAGTCACTGATGACAATTAGCTGCATTGTGGATTATAGAAAAGGAAACTTAAACTGTTATCACAATTTACAGATTGTCAAAGATACAGACCGATGACATCAGTGTATGCCAAAATTAATCGTTACAAAAATCTGTTTTCTTAAAAAAATTGTTTTCCAGCACTTTACTTCTGGGCAGCCACCTGCACGACTTGATGTAAAACAAAATAAATATTTTAATTTGAGTGTAATAACTTAGGAAGTCAGACTTGAAAATGATCATTTATTGTTGAACACCAAATTAGGGCTACTATTTGCGGTGTACATAGGCTAGTCCTAGCCTGAGACAGACAGCTCACCCCTGGGTCTACTTTATTTTCTATTTATTGATCTGATTTATATATTTCGTAATCACTGCACCACAAGCCACCCCTGGTCCTGCTACATGAACTATTTCTAGATATTTCTGAACAACCTGTTCAGAGATGTTATGACAAGCACCTCTGGAGCAAGTGGAACTTGAACATGAGTCTCCTAGCTCAGTGGTAGGGATGCTAACACTATGCCACAAGAGGCTTTCTGGATCTTCTTGCTCACAGATGATATTACACAATTCTGGAGCAGGTGAGACCTATTCAACAAAAATTCTGTTTCAATTTATGTACCTGGGATTTTTCAGTCAGCAGCAAAGTGGGGGCACTCAGCGCTGACCTTGCAGAAACTTGCCTGAAAGATGTAGTGATTTCTGTAGAGTAGATTTCAACTTTCTAAACTTTGATTTAATTCTAGCAGAAGCTATTGTGAACCTCTTGCATCCAGCAAGTGATGGCATCAAAACAGGCTAAGCAGCCAATACCATGGAGGAATTCTCACAGATGGCAACCAAGAAGTGAAAAGCAGGTTTTATCCATTTTCTAAAAAAAAAAAATCTGACAGAAATCAGAAGAAAGATTGGGATACACGTGGGATTAAGCTGGAAGCAAAAATGCCATAAGCTTCAAACAGTACTTTCAAAATTTAAATATTGCTAAAGAGGGAGACATGCTGAAGATTTTTGTCTTGCACTCATCAGAACAAACAATTTTAAAACAAATATAAGAGAGTTTACACTACAGGAGAAAAGGATGTTGACCGGTTGGCAAGTCGGCTCTGATCGGCTGAAGTATTGCCATGGAGAATGTTTTTGTTTCTAAAAAAATCTATGAATGTTTTATCATGGATGGAGAAATTTGATATTTCACAAATATAAACTTAGTTTATCAGAGTCAGAGAGGTAGTTCAGCAATAATTATGACTTGCTTTGCCATTAAAATTAGTTGCGTTTCATCTAGCAAGACATAATTTTTTCCAAGAGGTTTTTCAGCGAGAATAACAGCATAAAGCATAAAAGCTGATGTGAATTCAATGATTTCTGATTGCAATGCTTGCAGGTAGAAATCAACGGTATGACTTATGGAGGAGGAAGAATCCATTCCAGAAACTTCAGGACTTCCAAACTTAACTGCAGGGGTAGGTGCCAGAAGTCAATGTCAGTTTCACAATTGCATTGATGGCAAATACTGAAGTTCCAGAGTCGTTATAACTGTAAAATCTGGGCAAATAAATTTATCCCTCGTATTATCAATTTGTTTCACTTAGTTCTCGCTCTTCCATATCATTGTTATTTATCTGAACTGGTCACTGAGAGGGCAGATAGTGTGACATGAAAAATGTTTTTGAAAAAAAATCCAGCTTTAATTAACCCCCTAAATTAATTGTACTTGTGTGTAAAGGTGAAACAAGTTAGGACGCATTATTGAATGCCAGCATAGGGGAAACAGTCTTATCAGATATATTAGTCAAAGAACTCAGTTTTTAGGTCACTAAGCTGGACAATAAAACATTCACAGATCATTTGAAGGATAACTTAATACACAAGTTACTCAGCTGTATGATGAAAAGCTATTAAGGTTCTCTCTTACCCACTCCAAAAAAAGTACAGAAGTGCGTTATTAGTTTTGGATGGCTTCAGTGAAACAGAACAAATGTAATGCAGTTAGTGAGCAGTTTTTCATGCAATTTGGAACTAGTGCATTGACACAGCACACAGTATAGCCTGGCTCCATGAATCATTCAATAACCAATCCATATTTAACTTCATAACTCTCAACTTTCCTCATCCACAGTCTTATGTTTGGGACTGAAGCAAAATGTACTTCATTCACTTGAAATAACTGTCTACCTTACTTTTCCCAGAAACAGCACTCCCAATTTACTTTGCTTGATTAAAGACAGGATAAAGGACGGCATTTGGAAAGAATTTGTGTTTCAGTCTGTCTCTATAAACAAAGAGGTAATATTCCCATTGGTTTTCTTACAGCTCTCGATTATTTAGGAGATAAAGAAAATTATGTTAAAGCGTACTATTCAGCAAATCACATGCAAACAGAATGCTTTTGATAGAATTTTTCCTTTCTGTGGTAATTTGGAAAATAAAAATAAAACTTCTTTCAGTACGCTCTTTCCTTGCGACCAAGGATAATTCATGGAAGATGCAAGATATATTAAGAAACTCTCATCTGAATCTGGAAATGCAATTTAGGACAAGACTGTCTGGGCAATGTAAGCCATCCAATTATATTTAAAATCAGCTCTGTTTGACTCGGGTGTTATAAAGCTAGGTACTCATAAACAACATATTTGAGCTTATCCAATATTAACATTTCTTTACATAGAAACCTGATCTTTCTGACCAAATGCCTTCTGCCCAAAGCCTTCTCTGGTAAACTATTCCTCAACATCTTTAACTATTTTGCAAAAATGCTGCCTAATTTGAATTTCCATTTTACTTTAACTTTTGCCACCTAGCATTTCAAGCCTTTCTCGGAGTGAAACTTTTAATTGAATCAACTTTGTTTCTTGATTTCTGCCCCGTCTTAAATCAAAATCCAAATAAAAATTGGGTATTTACTTGATCAGAGCTCAAATTAGGACTATGTAAATTAGCATAAGCTAAAAGGCAGTAATTAAAATAGTGAATTCTGAGAACCTGGCTGTGGTACTGTGTGCAAAAGATCAGTCTATTAATGTGGCTGAAGAAAAACAAAGCCAAAGCCATTCACAGGGAGGAGAGGAAAATAAAAGTTGGACAGAGAAGAATTGCCAACCTATTGGAGACTGATTAGAAATCAAAGAATTCGATTCCGACTGTAACAATTTTTTCCCCTGATGAACTAGAAAGAAATGACAGAAAAATCTGAAGCTGAACTAGTCAAACTGACTGGAAAAGAACAGCAGAATCACTTACTTGGTGAACTTGCACATGTCAACATTTTAACCATTTTTCCATAAATAAATTCCATTTATTTCTGAACCATACTGACCAAAATAGATTTGGATTTTAAAGTAGCAATTAAAAATACACAGAAGAATCTGAACAATGTAGTACCCTGGAACTCCTAGGTGCTCTGCCAGGGATCTATAGGAGATGCCTGTCAGTTTGAACTCCTGCAATCAATCATGCTGCTCAAGAGGCATTTCCTTTACAGGAGGGAATCTAAACAGAAGTGTCAGTGACCTTGAGTTTCTTTTTATTGTTGGTTCTATGTAGAGACATGTGGTGAAATTTGGAAGTATATCTTCAAATCTTCTATGAGGAAAAGTAAAATTAATGAGGTTTCAAAGAGAAAGTAAAAATAATTTGGAAAGACTAAAAACAAATATCAAAGTAGGATAAGGTAGGAAGATTGACAGGGGGTCAATAAAATATCACTGTTGCCCAAATTGGTGTCCATGTAAAAAATAAAATAAAAAATCTCAGTGCTCTTAGAAATCAAAAAGTTAAGGCTTGGCCACGGAAGTAAATATGGGGGAAAAGATAGTTGCAGCATGCTACATAAAACCAGTGTTTCAACCACTGGTTCTTTCCTGTAAATATTTAACACGGTAACTATTTGAATTTAACTTTTGCTTTGCAGCCTTTTTTAAATGACCATTCTAATCGAAGATCCATTTCTGTGCGCTGCCATTTCCACTGCTGCCATTCATTTCACAATCTACACATCAGAAGTTTTGAGTTCCAGGGTTCTCTTGAACTCAAGCTCACCAACTTCAACAAACTTGATCAAGTTGGAATTTTTTTTTTGTAGGATTGAGAACCACAATAACATGCCAATAGTTAATTCTATTTCAGTAAATTACCCTCATGTCTGTCCATCAGTTATAGTACACATACAGCAGTTTGATATGGATATTTGATTTCTATTTGAATCTTAATTTTACTAAATCAAATCTGCATTAATATTCTTGGTTGAAGATATTCATTTCCAAATAAATGTTTTAAGGAGACAAGTTGGCTGATTTCAGTGAGCCTCATGGGTTTGAATATTTGAGGTTCCTCTACTAGCAATGGTAGACACATCTGCAACTGTCTGTCCCAATCTTTCAACTGAAGCAGGTAGATTAGAGCAGCATAGTCATATAGGGTCAAAAGAATGATTCTTTATGTAAAAGACTTCTTCGTAGCCGATGATCAATAGAGGATGTGCGTGCAAAAGGAGCCAATTCCCTAAAATTTATAAACAAGGTCTTTGAAAACTTTGTTTTAATTAAAGGTAGGACATCTAATGATCTCTATCATACCTGTGCTTTCTTGTAAGCATGTGCAGGAACACAGATTTGCAGTATGTGCAAGAGCATCAAGTAGAAAATCATCTTCAATCAGACAGATAAAACAGATAAGAGCCTTAGCAGAGGAAATAAAAGTAGCTTACAAAGTGTTAGAGAACTAGAAAACAGAATTCCAGAACTTTTAGTTAGTGACTTCAGTTCAGTTAGTTTGAACAGTAAAGTGTTGATGTATTTCTGAATTTATTCTTTTATCTGAGTTACAGAGTGACTTATATCTAACATACATTCCAAATATAACTAGAAATTTAGTGCAGGAAGCCATTTAGTTCATCTTGTCCATGTCAGTTCTTTGTCAAATTACACTGCGCTGCTCTCCATTCGTTCCCCTATACATCCCAGTATTTTCTTCTGTTTCAAATATTTATCTGATCCTCTTGCAAAAGATGCAGTATTCTTTGTCATAATGGTATATGGTCCAACTACCTGCCATTGAAGAATTTCTTCCTAATCTTTCCCTTCACTGTGATAATTGATGACACCTTTGCAATTCATTGTCTAAAATGGACAACATATTCATGGAGTATCACAATTACAACATTTCTCAAATAACAAGTCTGTTCCAGAGATCATTCTGGCAAAACAATTCTGTGCAGACTTTGTGGCTATAACAACATTTTTATTGTTAGAAGCCTAAAAACAGCATAAAAAGCTGGCCTTAAACAACGTTTTGGATAAACTGATCGTTACTGGGGGTCAGTTAGTTGGATGGCTCAATTGTAATACAGAATGATGCCAACGGAAGTTCAGCTGCCATGCTGGCTGAGGCTACCATGAAGGAGTCTCCAACTCAACTTCTCTCCTCAGCTGAGGTGTGCTGATCCTCAGGTTAAACTATCACCAGTTGTCTCTCTCTAATAAGAGAGCACCCCAAGGTCTGGTAAGACTATGGTGATTTTTTACTGCTTTACTTTCTCCCATTACCCTTTTATAAAACATAAAATTTGTCAGCCTTTCATGAAAATCACTTCATCCACTCACATTCTGACTTTCAGGGAACTCTGTTTTGGAGTCCCTTCTATTTTGTTCCTTTATCCCAACCTTTGTCTTTCCATTGACTGTACACCCATATATCTCTCTATTTTCCTAACATCTATTCATATATCACTAACCTGTCTTTGCCTTCCTGACATGCTCTATAGTCCTCATCACTGTTGGCAAAGCCCTATTGTGTTACATAATATATCCAATCGTGTATACTACAAGTCTAATTATACCAAGTAAAAGCAATTACACTAAGATATATAAAATTATGCTGTCACGATTCCAGGAAAATTTCAGTCAGTCCAAGTCTGCTTTCTGCAGCTCTTATTACAACTTTGCACTAAAACAGTACTGAAACATCACATTATTATATAATTCCCAAATGACATCAGCAAGAATCAAGTCGTAAAATCCATTTTATAAAACACAGCTTATATTTTCTGAAAAAAAAACCCATCAATAATAGGACTGCCTTCCTTATTTGACATAGGTAAAAGTACAGGAGAATGAATCAAACAATTATTGTTTTTTTTTCAGAAGACAAAGCATCTCAGATCTGAGGTCCAAGCACTGAAGTATCTTATTCAGTCCATTTCAATTGTTTATCATCTTACCTATAAACTGCATTGCACATTAGTGTATTTTGTAGAAAATAAATCATGTGCTGGAACAACGCAGAATAATGCAACAGCTATAGGTAATGACAGAAGCAGTAAAGATGTAAGCATCCACACTCATTTGATCTTACCTCTGCAGGGATCATTTTTTACTAAGAATTCATCCAATGCCATCCAGCCTCCTCCAACACGGACCATTACGGTGCTCCGCAGAATACGCACCAGGCGCAACTGCTGAGAATCCCCAAACTGTAGGATCAAAAAACTGAATCTTAATTCTGAAGCACAGAAACTGCAGCTTCTCAAATAAAAGCAAAATATGGCAGATGCTGAAAATCTAAAACAAAAATAGAAAATGAAGAAACACTGAGCAGGTCTAGCAGCATCTGTGAAGGGAGAGGCAAAGTCACCGTTTTGAGTTGAATACAATCTTCTGAACTGCAAGAATTCCAGTTCTGAAGCATAATCATATTGATGCTACAAAACCAGCTGAGTACCTTCAGTATACAAAAAACAGGAAGTGCTGGAAAAACTCAGCAGGACTGGTAGCATCTGTAGACAGAAGAATGTTACGAGTCTGGTGACTGTCAGAACCTGATAGAACTGGGCTTGAAATGCTAACTGTTTTTCTCTCTACTGATGCTGCCAGACCTGCTGAATTTCTACAGCACTCTGTTTTTATTTGAGTATTTCTAGTACTTTGTTTTAATTGACACATTTCAGGTGGCCTTGAGCCAATTTCCACCCATTATGTATTTTCCCCCCTCGTTTAGCCAGAAAAGTGGATGCCCTATTTTAAATTCTCTGCCAGTGCTATTTCGAGTTGACCACGCAGTAGGTTGACAATAGATTGGCAGTAGGTTAAAGCAATTTAACTATCTCTTGAGTGGAGTCATTTTTTTTTAAAACTCAATAACCACCCCAACACTGGACCTAAGCTAAAAATGCCAAAAGCAGTTTTAAAGATAAATTGGATAGGGGAAAAACAAAATGTTTGGAGCCTGAAATTGGCCACGAGAAACTTCTGACTTGTAGAATTTTAAAATCAGCAATGAAATAGGCATCCCAACCAAGTAATGGGTTAATCCATAGATAAATTAATGATTTAAACCAGCAGCTGTACCTTATATAGTGAAAATCCCTTTACTACTTTCAAAATTTAACTGCGTACGATTTGATTTTTGCATCCTTCACATATATACTAAAAAATACCCTACAAAATTTGCACAGTTTAGAAACTTAAAAGTAATAGAACTTAACAAGTTAAATGTTCACTACATTGGTAAGAATATTGGTCGTTTAAAAGGGTTAAATTCCAGATGAATTGCAATCGAGTTGTTCACAGATATAATTTCATTTTTCTCATTAAGTGTAATGCTGGTTTAATCCATTTAACCAACTTACCAGTGGTTAATTTCACGTGAGGGCCATTATGGCAGATAAGTTCATCCACATTTATGACCTTACGAATATGATTAATAAAGGAGGTAGGTTTTATTTGTAATCTTGAATGCATTCCAAAATAAGCCTTGCACCACAAGTGGTAACTGTACATTTGTGTTGGTGAAAGGGTAAGATAATCAACTTTTTTATTATATGGGCTTAAATAGGAATTGCACCACTCAGTGCTTAGCCGAATAAAATTTTACTTCCCAGGTACACGAACAAGATACATACAATGGTAATGTATTCACTGTGAAATCATTAAATAACAAATCTAATCTACAAACACAGATTCTCTCTCATGTTAATTTGTGAGCCAGTATGCTCTGCAGAAATTGAAGTAGCAACCCTGCATTTTACTGCCATTGTGATGACATCATGTCTCCTTTCATCCACTGCATTACAAAACCTTGCACACAATTTTCCTTCATACAAATGACGACTTTGGTGATGCAGTAAAATTTTTCAGAGGTTTAATTTCAAGGGATGCAGAATCTAAGTTGGATGTAATTTTGATATCCTAAGGAAATGCCACCGACCACTGGCAAAGGATTCTGTTTGCACTAACTATTTAAATTTAATCTTCAAGGGCAAATTCAAACAACTTTCAAAATATTGAATGATATTTGCAGGATTCTTAAAAAACATACTTCATAAATAGCCCATATAATAAAACAAATAGCTCAGACAAAATAAGCAATTACTGACAGACAGTCATCCACGTCAGAAGAATATTAAAGTACTAACATACCCATACAAGCCTAATGAATTTGAAGCCTTTCAATAATCACCCATTATCAATAAGTTATTCCATAAATATTCAAACTATAAGGAATTTAAGAAAGCCCATGGATCTGTTTTGCTACATGCAATAAATGAAAACCATTTATCCCAAGACAGATCTCACTGCACAATGTGATAAGCAGAGATGCAACAGTTATTTAAAATAATTGTGGGCCATGTGCAAACTTCAAATACATTTCTTTTAAGATAAGACAAATGTGTTATTGCTTCTTGGTATTCCTTGTAGATAGTGTACATAAATTAATGACTAGACAATTAAATTCAGAAACAAATAGGGTAAATGGTACATAATGTAAATTAACAGATCCAAATATAAACCAAGCAACAGTTATCACAGAAATCTCTTCAAAGGATTTTTTTGGGAGGCAGAACTCATTGCCAAATAAATCTTTAATTATATACTCATCAACGTATAACCGTCACATCCCTATAAGCTTACAAAATAGCATGCAAATTGGTGATTTGCTAGCAGGTTAACTAGTGTATTGATCAGCAATCTGTCTCAGGGTAAAGACATGCCACCAGACTTATGCAAACATTAAACTATCAATGGACTATTCCTACAGTCCATGCATAATAAAATCTAGACATTTTGCAATTGTGCCCAATTTAATGTACCACATTTTAATTGGCAAATCAATACCTGCATGGATTTCTTTATTTTTCATCATATTGAATAAATCTGGTAGCAAGAACTTCTCCAAATAAACATCTGTGTTCCTGAATAGTCACCATTTCTGTGTAACTATACAAAGATACTAAGATCATACAAGGATCCTATAGACTACCTCAAGAGGGAGTTCTGATCAATATAAATATTCATTGTTGCAACTTAAGATTTTGGAATTGAACATTTTGAAACTCCTCCATAAATGACATACATGTCAAGTTCTAAATGCTGAATTTGTCCTAAAATAAAATCTTCTATAAACATGATCTGAAATGCTGGCATAATTGTGTTGTATATCATTGAAAGGTGTGGTCCTCAAAACTAAGCCAAACACTGTGTAACATAGTTTATTTTGTGTATGTGAAGATTCAGTGTATAGAATCAAAAATAATTTTACAAAATTAATCTAACAACCTTAGATGACATCTGACCTTGATTCACCTGCCCTCAACAATTCATGCATGCAGTCTACACTGCATTTACGTTAGGAGTCTGTTAAGTTTTCCTTGGAATAACCCCACAAATTGATCAACCAGAATACAGTGATGTACCAGATCTCCTGTAGTTTAAAGCTATAAAAGAGTGACTGAATATTCTCTCAACTATTCAAAATATTTTGATACAACCGGACTTGTGTCACTAATTTTAATTGCTTCATAAGTATCGATACTGCTGTTTAATGTAAATGTTTAATATGAAAAATGCAACATTTGTTTCTCAACTTAATTAACAATTCTTAAAACATTTAAAATGGTGTTAAAGACTTATTCATACAGGAGTCTGAAACACCAAACAGGCTGCTTCAGTACGATGGCTAAATGGTGAGTGTGAGGGTTTCACCAAAATATTGCGGTCAGCATGCAATTTTCTGGCACAAAGAAAATCTCTGCACTAGTAATTTATTTAATGCCATCATCCACATGTTTAATATTTTTACTTTTTAGGTATATTTCATAAGTAATCACATGGATTAATTTTATATTTTTATATATTTTGCCAATTATTTTGGAATGGTTAACAGAAATTTTCTTGGTGCTCTGTGGAAGATAGAAGGAACCATTGACATGCAGATCAGAGTGAACATTCACAGTATGTGTCATATATTCCTTAGCACACTGAGTGCACAGTACCTGGTTTCCAAGGAAGAACTACATCCAGCAAAAGAAATGTGAACAAAAAGAGAGAAGACTTTTAGAAATACGCAGTAAGCACATTCAAAAATAAAATCTCATTGCAATGGGACAAACAGTATACAGTGGAATACAGTGCTCCAATTTATTAGACATACGGCAATCCAAAAACCTGAATTCATTTCTCCATTCTAACTTCAATTATGAACACTCATTTTAACCAAACCAATTTATTCAATCTAGAATGGCCTGACCATTTATATTGCGACTCAACATCTTTAATCGGTTTTCAATGATGCTCTCTTAACGTGAATCTGCTTTGAAAGAAGTTTGCTATATCCAATAATCAGTATTGTCATTTAGTGAACAAACTAAAAGCCAGTTACTACTTATGTGGTTGATGATGCTTTTGCTATTTCTTCTTCTCACGATCCTAGGTTATGCTGTACAATCAGTATGAAAAAAATCAAATATATTTGGTGACTATTATTTCCTCTTAGGTCGACCTTGGATCATCTTCAGTCGCAACTTTAGAAATTAGAAATTTAGAAAATCAGAAAACTGAAATAAGCAATAGTGCTTTCTTTCCATCCTCTTCTGAACCTCACTGAACTAGATATTTTGCTGACCAGTTAAAGCACAGTAACAGTGACTTTGCAGTCGGATATGGAAACAAAATGTGGCAGTTAACCATCTTTCATGCAAGAACTCCGGCAAGTTAAATAAATATCATAAATAAAATGGAAAAGTGGAACTTTGTAACCACCTGTATTTAGGTACAGCCTAGTCAAAATAAGAACGAGTTAGGAGGCAGCTCACCACCAGCTTCCCAAGGACATCTAAGGACAGGCAATAAATGCTGGCCATCCAACGATACCCACATTCCACAAATGAATTTAAAGAAAAACTGATCATTTAAAGTGATTTCTTAAAATAAATATTTCATTCATATCTGCTTTTAGATAAAACCACAGCATTGGAAATTCTCATTCGTTATAACAATAAATATCCGTGAACAGGATGTTCATTGTTGGAACATGTATTCACCCCAGTAGGGAATGTGTGAAAACACATTAATGTGATTGCTTACAAGCAAATTGGTCTGAAAGAGTGATGCTTCACAATTCAATTTGCAGGAATATATTTGTGACCTTCCAATATAATACACGAGTAAAGTTTCGCTATGCTATAGAGAAATAATCAGATGCTAAATTCAATTCTAATTAAAATGCTTTCAAACAGTCTATAAAAAAAAACAAAGAGGCTGACACAAACTGTTCAGATTCAGTCACTGAGAACCCTGGTCACACTGCTCCAGCCCTGCCTGGCTTCAAACTGAGCAAACACGCACAGAACTTCTAACTTTTGAAAGAGAGTTTAAAAGGTTTCAAATACACAAATGGGAGATTTTCTGCTTTCTAAAGTAACGACAGATAGTCTGTACAGTGTTCACAGGGATGCAGCACATTTTATAGCAAACTTTGTTCAACCTCTCCAAGGAGTTTTTGTTTAAAACTTCACTTCAGAATTAGGTGAGTTTACGCCTCTGGTTTAGCTATGTATTTCTGGTCTAACAAACAAATAACACATCTTATGGATGCTGTTAAACTCTTCCATGCTAAAGAAATGTTACCTATGAGTTAGCACAGATTGTTCAGAATTATTAGCTTCAAAGCATGCTGTCCACCTCTAAACTTATCATGGTGTAAAGATGGAACTAGAAGAAACCAAATTACAGGAAAAAGGTCAAAATTTTTACTACGTGTCATATTCAATTAAAATGAGGAAACTCCAAACAAACTCAGCCACATGCATTGTACAAATGCCACTTTGTGCTGATTTTCATCGAAGTAGTAGAGGGGCACTGCCCTCAGCACGTATGGCTTATGGAGGGAAAACTTGCAATCTTTCCTGCTACTTACTGCTATCCAGTGACCCTCCTGGTGTAACATATATTCACGTGATTTAGAATTGCAGCTCAGTTGTTCTGCTGTGCTTCACTGGATTAATCTACTATCACTTGATGTTAAGACTCATAACTGAATGATAGCTGCTATAGCAAGTGCTAAAGGATGGTCATTGCCTCTGGAAACATACTCAAGGAGTCAACACTCCAGATACAGAGAGGGGAGAGTGGAAAAAAATCTCAGAAGATGTACAATTCAATTAGACATTCATATTGCAGCTTATATTGATATAACAGGGCTAGTGGGTTTATTTTATATTGTTCATTGACCTCTCAGATTTATATTCAGCACAATGTTAGTGAAGTTCTAAACTTGATATAAACATAATTTTCTAATAGTGAAAATATTATAAACCAATAGAGTAACATAATTTAGTAAAAAACTCATTACACAATTAGATTACTAATTTATAACAGCTCATCTTTAAAATCTCTTACAAAATTCTTCTCCATTGTTTGTGGAATGCGATATTGCCTCTGGTTTAGCTTTGTATTTCTGGTCTAACAAACAAATAACACATCTTATGGAAGTGTGAAATATTGATGCAGGATAATAGAATAAACAAATTCCATTGGAAATAATGAAATAGGAAAGTTTGTCAACTGCAAAAAGATTGTGCAATTATATTAAAAAGATTAATTGTGGCATAATTTAGACAGTTTGATAGGTATAAGCTTCTAAACTGTGATTGCTCATTGTTTGCAACACAAATACACATCTGCTAGTCTTCAATAATTTAGTTTGGTTATGTGTTACAGTTCTTTTGAATAGCTTCATCAACTGAAGAAATATCCAATACATTTATATTAAATCAATAACAATTTAAATCAAGATATGTGCAGGAGATGTTAAAAGTCTGAAACTTTATGACACTATTATTAAATTCCTTTCTACACTCATTTTGTAGGAATTTCTGGAAGATGAAGGTTTAATTTTAGATGTGTGAGAACATACTGCCTGCATGGCTTGAGCTAATGAGAACCACATGCATGATGGATTGTGTGTGTGTTAAAGGTAAACTACTTGGCTTGTGACTAGAGGTTGTAACCACAATTGATGAGTTAATGTAAGTACTGACAAATAGATAACAAGATGTGAACATGACAACATAGAGCTGCTGACTGCAAGGGATTGAATGACCCTAGAAAGATTTTTTTTTGCACAAATTACAAAACGTAGGGTAGAAAGGATTCACGAGCATCTGTAGCTGCTGGATTCAGTGGGGACAGAAGAACTATCTGAAATGGATGTCGACTGCCTTTGTCTAGTGCAACTGGTTATTTATTGCATTAAATGTGTCCTTGTCCCAACTTTATTGTCTGGTGTCTGAACCTCTTACACTGGCCTCTGCGATGAGTATGAAAACAATAAAAATGTATCCAACAAAATGCATCTAGTTTTGAATCTTCAAATAATGCTCCAAATAAAGCAGTGACTTTTTTCCCCACTGAAAAGTTTAAGGGTTTTCAAAACTGGTGCATATTACAGAAGGTATTATTCATGTTTCAATGGGTAATTTGTTTACTCTAGTAACTTGAATAGATCTCATAATTAATTTAAATTAAGAGTTAATTATATTTAAATAGCACACTTCTACCTCCTGCAAGAAATAAATTCAATACTTTCTATGTTCTACTTAATAATGAAGCAACAAAGATAATGCGATTTATCTGGAATGAAACAGGTAGCAAGCTATTGGAGGTTCATTGATGACTTCAGTTCTGGCATGGAACATACTTGTTTGGTCATGGAAAATACCTGTTTAGCATCCTTACCTTTAAAGTAAGCATTTACTCGATAGAAAATTACTTTAGGGAATACACAGAATCCACACCAGAAAAATAAACTTCTGAAGTTAAATAAATTTCACATTTAATTTTTTTCTTTGAAGGAAGTAAAGAAAAGGTAAAGTATAATAAAGAATTGCTATTGTTATGTTTATAAACATGCATGCTTCATAAGAAATTTGATTAAAATATGCAAAAATGTTTCTTTTTAAACTTGGAAATAAATTTAACTTACTCTGTATTTGTTTTCTCCAATTTGCTCTACCTGAAATCGTTTTGCACATTTACATTGTGCCACTTGCCGTGTTACCTACAAAACAAATTTTTAATTTTAAAAATTATAATTGTACAATAAGTAAAAAAAAATTACAATACATATCAGCAGATTTGTGCTAGTTCTCATGACTAAATTTAACGTCTACATGAAAACTACCATCTCAAATGCATACAATTGTTTTAAGGATTATTATTTCCAAGAGTGAGTCATGGAAGGAAGATCCTATAGGGAATCGGATCACAGACATCCTGGAGGTCAGTTCACTGCCTTTTGGATTTACTGAAGCAGAGGGGAGGGCATTATTGATGATGTGAGATGGAGTAACATGTTTGGATGGGACAGACAGATTAATTGATGTTTTTCTATCTTATGCACATAACTACTGCACTTCCTAATTCACTATGTACTGCAGAAAAAAAAATCCTATTATTTAATAAATAATGCTTTTTCCCTAGTTTTAAAGATTTGCTTGCTTTTAGTCCTTAACCCTAAATATAGGAATTGTACATCGACAACATAGAAGCAAAAGGGTACATACCTCATCCTCAATTTTGTCAGCATCAGTCACAGGTCGGTAGGCATCTTTATTTGGGTGAAGTGCAGCCACAAATTCATAATAATCAATGTAACCATCTCCATCCCGGTCAAAGATGTCAGCAACAGCAGTCATTTCCAGTTTACTGGTGGGGAACTCTGAAAAGTGGAAAATGGAACATAAAGTAGGCTAATTTTACAAATGATTTTCACCAGCTTTCAAGATTTTTTTGCCTTATATCTTCTTTCTCATCCTACAATTGCTTAGCCTTCATGCTAACTTATAACCACTAAAACCAAATAATTTCAAATTCTAATGTGGTCAATTCCAAATGAAGTTGCATCATAATTCTCTAAATCAAAGCAGGCAGCAAAACCAAAATTGCTCAACAATATCCTGACATGGGTGGGCTTATTTGTGAAAAAAATGCCTTTTTGAAATTAGTTCATGTCTTGTAGACCAATTATAATATTTTCCCCTTTATTGGGCTAAATAGTATGTTTTACTTCAGAAGAACATGTCACCATTTAAATAATAATCTTGTAAAACCATTCCAATTACTTGAGGACAGGATTCCATCAATGAACTCTTGTCTTGTGATCTTTCCATCTTGATCCTTATCAATCCTCCGGAAAAAGTCCATCACGCGAGATTTCTTATGGTTCATCCATCGCATATATTTCTTCCGCCAAACATCGAAGTCAAAGTTGGCAAACTCTTTCAACTGAAAAGTAAAGAAATATTTCACTAGAAAATTTAAAACAATAATTCAGGCTGTCTTCATTGCAGTGTTATTAAAAAAGATATTTTGTAAATAAAAGGTTTCAATAAAAACTTTCCAAAAACATACAGAACTTTTGCTTCTTTAAATACAAAAGCAAGTAAGTTTTTTTAAATTCATATGAATAACTATCTAGACCTCAGCTAGACTACTTAACTCAATTCTGGGCCCCAGGCATCAGGAAAGATCGTAAGGTCTTAGAGAAATAAGTGATTTACCAGGACATGACCAGGATTAAAGGACTTCAGTTAAGTGGAGAAATGAGAAAAGCTAGGATTGTTTTCATTGAAGCAGAGAAGGTTGAAGGGAGATTTAATCCAGGTGGTCAATATTATGAAGATTGTTAGAGTAATTAAATAGGAAATGTTGCCACTGGGCAGGTACTCAGAGTAACAATACTTGGCAAACAAACAAAGAGGTGAATGTACAAACACAGGAGTTGGGAACAGGAATAGCCCATATGGCTCTGAGTTTGCTTCATTATTTACTAGGATCACAGTTCATCTGATCATAACCTCAGCTCCACATTACCACTATCAGTCATAATCTTTCACCCACTTGCCTATGAAGCGTCCATCCACCCCGATCAAAAAACAAAGACATTGCTTCCACTGCCTTTTAAAGGAAGCTTGCCTTACACTTTTAATTCTTAGAGAGAAACTGCCTCAAGTCTGTCTTAAATTAGTCACCCCTTATTTTAAAATAGATCTAGTATTTTAAATAAGAAAGGGCAAATTAATAGTCTTGTTACAAAAGAACCTTCAGGGATGAGCAATCACACTATGACAGAATTTTACATAAAGCTTAAAAGTGAGTTAGTTCAAACGTGGGTGTTAATGTTGAATATGGGAAATTATGAAAGCATGAGACACAAACTGGCTGAGCTGGATTGGGAAAACAAATTAAAAGGCGTGATGTACATAGGCAAAGATAGTCTTTAAAGAACAACGGCTTACAGAACCTATAACGTTCCTTCAAGATTCCACGACTCAAGATCTTGTCAGTTAATTATGGCTGACAAAGGAAGGTAAGGATTGTATAAAAAGTTAAAAGAAAATGCCTAATAAGGTGGCCAGAAATGGTAATAAATCAAAGGATTGGGAAGCGGTTAGAATACTACAAAGGAAGACCAAGAAACAGATAACAGAAGAAAGACTGGAGTACAAATGTAATCTAGCAAAGAGCTCAACAAAAAAAAAAAGAGAATAAAAGCTTTACAGCTAACTAAAAAAAAAGAAATGTTTGGCTAAGACAAACGTGGGTCCAATAAAAGCAGAGTCAGAAGACTGTATAAGAGGGAATGGAGAAATGGCAAAGAAACTAAATGATTACCTCGTGACCCTTCAGGCTCGCTGGCCTTGAATGTTAACTGTGTTTCTCTTTCCAGATGTTGACAGACCTGCTCAGTTTTTCTAGCACTTTGTTTTTTTTTGTTTCAGATACCCTGCACCCACAGTTGTGTTTTATTTTAGAGGTTACTTTGTGTATTTGCATTGAGGAAGATAGAAGAAATTTCCCAGTCTTAGAGATCCAAATGACTAGGGACAATGACAGGTTGAAGGAAATCGTTATTAGTAAGAAAACTGTACTGAATATTTTAGTGAAACTGCAAGTTGATAAGTCATCAGGACCTGAGAGTTTATGTCCCAGAGTACTGAAGGTGGTCCTCATGGAGATAGCTGAAGCATTGGTAATAATATTTAGACCAGATGTGCAGTGTATTTCTTAACTGGTTAAGAGATTGGAACATATAGATAGATGTACAAAGGGACTTGGGTTTCCTTGTTAGTAAGTCACTGAAGTCTAACATACAATGCAGTAAGCCATTAACAAGTCTCATACAATGTTAGCTTTGCGTGAAAGAGAATTTGAATACAAGAGTAGCGAAGTCTTGCCTCAATGGTATAGGATCTTGGATAGGCTTCATCTGGAGTAGTGCACGCAGTTTTGGTCTCTTTATCTCAGAAAATATATTATTGCCGAAGGAGTCGTCAAATGAAAGTTCATCAGTTTTGCTTCTGGGATGGTGGTACTGTCCTCTTAAGACAGGTTGGGTAAACTGGGCCTGTATTCTGCAGAGTTTGAGAGCCTGGGTGGCACAGTGGCTCAGTGCTAGCACTGCTACCTGATAGTGCCAGGGGAGATTTCACCCTTGGGCAACTGTCTGTGAGGAGTTTGCACAGTATCCCCACGTCAGCCTGGGTTTCAGCCGGGTGCTCTAGTTTCCTCCCAGAATCCAAATCTGTACAAGTTAGGTGGATTGGCCATGCTAAATTACCCACAGTGTTCAGAGATGTGTAGGTTAGATGCATTAGCCATGGGAAATGCATAGGGTAGGGAGATAGGTCTGTACGGGATGCCCTTCAGAGGATCTGTGGATCTCATTTGGCCGAATGGCCTGTTTCCATACTGTAGGGATTCTATGGAATGAGACATTACCTCATTGAAACCTAAAACATATCTAAAAAGGATATACACAGTAGCTGTAGGTGAGATGTTTCCCAAATTTGGCTTGAATCAGGGGATACAATTTAAAATAAACGGGGGATGCCATTTTGACAGATGATAAAACATAGAAACATAAAAAAAAAGGAGTAGGCCATTGTGCTCTGCCATTCAATACGATCATGGCCTGATCATTCAACTCAGTGCCCTGTTCCTGCTGTCTCCTGATACCCTTTGATTCCTTTAGCCCTTTGAACTATATGCAACTCCTATCATGGAAACATTCAATTTTTTGACCTCAACCGCTTTCTGAGGCAGAGAATTCCACTGGGTCATCATTCGTTGAGTGAAGACATTTCTCATTTCAGTTCTAAATTGACTATCCCTGCACGTTTAGTTCTGGGCTTCCTAGTTATTGGGAACATCTTTCCCAGGGTTACCTGTTTAGGCCTGTTAGAATTTTATAGGTTTCTATGAAATTTTTCCTCAATCTTCAAAACTCTAGTGAATATAGTCCTAACCAATCCAGTCTCTCCTCATTTCTCAGTCCTGCCATCCCAGGAGATAGGTTTTTATTCAGAACATGGCAAATCTTTGGAATTTTCTATTCCAGAGGCTTGGGAAAGCTCAGTCTTTAAGTACAACCATTCACTCCCTCCAGCACCACTGTAGCAGCAGTGTGTGTTACCTGCAGGATTCACAGCAGCAATTTGCCAATGATCCTCAGGCAGTACCTTCCAAATCCATGACCACTTCCATCCAGAAGGACAAAGGCAGCAGATACATGGGAATGCCACCATCTGCAAGCTTCCCTCTAAATCACTCACCATCCTGACTTGGAAATATATCACTGTTCTTTCACTGTCACTGGATCAAAATCCTGGAATTCCCTTCCTAAGGGCGTTGTAGGTCTACTTACAGCACATGGATTACAGCTGTTCAAGGAGGCAGCTCACCACCACCTTCTCAAGGGCAATTAGGGGCAGGCAGTAAATGCTGGCCAGCCAGTGACACCCACAATCCATGAGTGAATAAAAAAAAATTAAAAGTAGAAGTTGAGACATTTTTGATCATCAATGGTGTAAAGAATTTATGGGGATAGTGTGGGTAAAAGGCATTGAGATGTTTGATCACCCATGATGGTATCAAATAGTGGAGCAAGTTCAATGGACTGTGACAGCCTACTCCTGTTCTTAAATTAGGTTTACTCTGTTCCCTATTAGGTGTTCAATTTTCTATCCATACCAATACGTTACCGTACATCATGAGCCTCTATTTTTTATTGTATTTATTTCCTTTCCTCCTTTTGGCCCTTGATTATTTAGTAATTTTGGAATGCTATTAGTGTATTCTACTGTTAAGACTGAAGCAAAGTATTTATTCAACTCCTCTGCCATTTCCTGGTTCTGTCTTTACTTCCCCAACATCGGTCTTTAAGGGGCCCAATGTTCACTTTGGTCTCTCTCTTCCTTTTTATATTTTTAAAGAAATTTTTGTCCATCTTCATATTACATGCAAGTTTATCCTCAAGATTTATCTTCTCCCTTCTTTTGGTTGTCTTTTGTCGGTTTTAAAAAGTTCCCAAACCTCTGTCTTTGCCACACTGAAATAAAAGACAACATACAATTTGATACTACCCTTAGCCTCCGTGGTTAACTATGGTCGATTTATCCCCTTCCTAGAACCCTGCTTTTTCACTGTGATAGATCTTTGCTGTGAACTATGAACTATTTTCTTAAATGCCTGCTATAGCTCCTCAACGATCTTTGCTGCTAAACTCCTTTCGTAGTCCACTCCAGCCAACTCTGCCCTTTTTCTTTTTTTAAAATTACCCTTATTTATACTTAGCACAGTTGTTTCCAATTCCTTCCTCTCTCTCAAAGTTTTACATTAAATTTTACTATGTTGTGGTCACTGTTTCCTAGAGATCTTTTGTTCTGACATCATTTATTAAACCTGCCTCATTACACATTACCAGATTCAAAACAGCCTGATCCTTGATTGGATCCACAACATATTATTCTGGAAAACTGTCCCAAATATACTATGAATTCTTCCTTATGGGTACCTCTGCCAATCTGACTAACCAATCTGCATGAAGATCAAAGTCACCCATAATTAATGTAATGTCTCTTTCTACATGCCCTCATTATCTCAATTTATTCTCAGTCCCACCATTCAGCCACTGTTAGGGACTTCAGATACTATTTCTACCATAGTCTTCTTTCTCTTTTCATTTCTTACCTCCACCAATATGGATTTTACATTTTCTGATCCAAGATAATTTCTTACTATTGTATTTTATTCCATCCCATACTAACAATGCTATCCCCCCCACCACACTGTCCTTTCAAAAGACACAGACCCCCGAATATTCAATTCCCAGCTTTGATCTCCTTATAGCCATTGCAAAGACATTGTTAAAATCAGACTCATTAACCTATATTTGTGTCATTAATTCATTTATTTTGTTCTAAATACTACATGCATTCAAGAGCCATTTTACCTTTTTATCATTTTTCCCCTATACATTTGAAATGGAAAAAATGTTCAGCAATATTGGGCATAGGTTGCGGGAGGAGCACAAACTGGATAACTCTTTCAAAGAGCTAATGCAGGCATGAGGGGCTGAATTGCCCCAATATTGTAAGTCTTACAATTCATAAGCCAGACACTACAAAGGAACATGCTTTTCTAACTTATAGCCCTTACTTCCTCCAGCCTGTCCAGACAGTCATGGAGCTTGCGCTGTCTCTCCAGTGCCAGTAACCAGACTTGCTGCCATCTGCCAGAAAGCAGATTTATCTGGGGGTTCTTTGTTTCAGTCTGTGATGGGGTAGCAGTGGGTGCAGGTGGACTAGTCATCTGACTGAGAGGTTTTCCTATAAGACACAAAAACGAAAACAATAAAATGGTGATTAGTATAACAATCTAACAGTCAGATTGTTTGTAAAATCTAAATGGTTTTAATGCTATTAACTAGTAATAGACTAGAGATTGTGTTGCTTCAAAAGGTACTATTTTCAATTAAAAAACAAGTTAGCTGATGTTTTTAGGAAAAAATTAGATTCCTTAAGAGCAAGCACATTTCACTGAAACACTTCAATTAAAAAAAAACAAAAAGACATACTGCAAAGACTTATTCTTAAAGTGAAAATGGTAAAGCTATTCAAAGATCATTGTCTAATTCCTGATCATACTTTAGATAAGAGACCATACAGCAAGCACTCAGTAATTATTCATCAAAATTGCACCTATTCATTTTGTAATTTGTGACCAAATTCATAATTACAGTTTTTGGGAACCTTTTCCTGTATGTTTGATCTGTACTCTAATACTCCTTTGTTGAATGAAAGGGGCTTACTTCCTCGCATGTGGGATGGTTCTACTGCTTTCCGCTTGTATGTTTTTGTTACTTTATCCACATCTGGTTGTTTGCGCGTCATTTCTTCCATGAAAGACTAAAAGTAGTAAGATAATTGAACAGGAAAGTGGATAGTTAATAATAAGTGAGAGACAGTTGATGATTTTATTTCATTTAGACTGTACATTTAATGAAATTATCAACAGTAGGTATAATTGAAAAATCGGAATCTGATAAATCAGGGATGTGATTGTGTGTTGTGGAACTTGATGAAGTCATGAGTTTAAAAACTATCATGGCTCTTTAGAAAATTATGAACAGAGGTGATACATTTATAGACTGGTACCAGAATGCGACTATAAATGTTGCCAGTTTGTACTAAAGCTAAAGCAGGTTCCTATTGTCTTCCAGGAAAAGAAGACATGCAACATGCTCCTGAGTCTACCCTAGGCTGGACTACAGTCCAACTCTATGTTGTTAACTCTCTCAAAGCCTCAGAAGCTAGTACAGATGTACAAGAAGTGTTCGTTTGTCAGTATTAGCCACTTTACAAGAACAAATTTTTAAATAGGTAATTTTGGGATTTCAGTAGAATAAATTATCTAATTCTTCTCAGGAATTACTTTAGTTAAATAGGGTCTAGTCAATTTGCGGCTGTAATGAGGGTAAACTTGTCTTCATTCACCATTTTTATTCTACTGAAACTGACAACAACTTTGAGAGTTCTCGAATGTGCAGAATAAGGTGGAAATCCAGAAGTTGCTGTCGATGCATTCACTGGATGTGGTATAGAAGTCCCCATATACTCCTATCTCCCTTGCAATTGCAACTTGACAATAACTTGCACTCTAATTCAGCTGGTCTCACTGTTGAAAACCCTCGAAAAAGATACGCCTTGCTGAAGGTGTGATGTATTTTAATGGCACATTAACTCCATAATTACTACTAAAAATCATTGCTGGCCCTGTAAACATATGTAATATTTGTGGAACGTCAAAATTCCCCACAATAATTAAAGACTCACATTTGCACAACACCCTTTTAACAAATGCAGTATCCTTATTTTAGGTTCTACCTTTTTACAGTCAAACATTTATTTTATTATCTGAAAATTGAAATTAAAAGTGCAAAATTTTAAGCACTTTTATCTTCCTGGTTAGCCATTTCTAAATTCTTCAATTTTATCAGGGTACTTAAATGCACAAACTATACGAAAAAGGGTAAGTGAGTACGTAGTGCACATTGAAACTGGCAGGTAAGTTGTTGTGGCTATCACAGAGACATGGCTGCAAGGGATCAGGGAAGGGCATTAAATATCCAACGATATACATTCTATTGAAAAGACAGGTGGATGGGCACACCAGGTGGGGTTGCCTTGTTAGTAAGAAATTTAAATCTATAGCAAGAAAAGATATAATTTGAGTCAGGAGGTGCAGAATCTATGTGGGTAGAATTGAGGAATGGCAAAGGGGAAAAAGACTGGTGGGAGTTGTGTCCAGAGCTCCCACCACAGCACAGGATGTCGGAAAGAAAATAAATCAGGAGATAGAAAAGGCATGTAAGAAAGACACCATTACAATTATCATGAGAGGCTTCAATATGCAGGTGGACTGGGAAAATCAGGTTGGTCGTGGATCAAGAAAAAGGTATTTGTGGAATGTCTGAGTTTTTTGGCTGCTTGTGGTACAGCCCACAAGGGACAGGCAATTCTGGATTTGATGATGTGTAATGAGGCAGACTTGATTAGGGAGCTGAAGGCGAAGGAACCCCAAGGGGGCAGTGTCCATAATATGTTAGAACTCACCCTGCAGTTTGAGAGAGAGAAGCTCGAATCAGATGCAAGTATTATAACTGAGTAAAGGTAACTACAAAGATAGGACAGAGGAGCCGGCCAGAGTGGAGTGAAAGGGAGCCTAGGAGGAAAGAGGATGGCGCAGCAATGATAGGAGTTCCTGGGGATAATTCAGGAGGCACAGCAGAAATTCATCCCAAGGATGAAAAAACATACTAAGAGGAAGATGAGGCAGCCATGGCTGACAAGGGAAGTCAGGGATGGCATAAAAGCAAAAAGAAAAAGCATACAAAAGGTGGTGAAAATCAGTGGGAGGCCAGAGGATCAGGAGGTCTTTAAAAGCCAGCAGAGGATAACTAAAAAAAAAACAACTGAGGAGAGATGATGAAATAAAATAAGCTAACTAGTAATACTAAAGAAGACTGCAAGTTCTTTTGTTAGATATCTAAAAAAGGTAAGAGAGATGCAAGAGTGGACATTGGACTGCTGGAAAATAAGGCTGGAGTAGTAGTATTGGGGAATAAAGAAATGGCAGCAGAACTGAATAGGTTCTTTGCATCAGTTTTCAAAGTGGAAGACACGAGCAGCTTACCAGAACTTGAAGTTAGGGTGAATGTAGTGGTAATCACTAAGGAAAAGATGCTGGGGAAGCTGAAAGGTCTGAAGGTGGATAATTCACCCAGACTAGATGGTTTACACTCGGGTTCTGAAGGAGATAGCTGAAGAGATTGCAGTGGCTTTGGTGGTGATCTTCCAGGGATCACTGGAGTCAAGGAGCATCCCAGATGTCTGGAAAATAGCTTAATGTAACACCCCTATTTAAGAGGGAGGAAGGCAGAAGGCAGGCAACTGTATGCCTTTTGTGACCTTGATCGTTAAGGTTTTACAGTCCATTATTAAGGATGAGATAGCAAAGTACTTGGAAGTGCATGGTAAAGTAGGACTGCGTCACATGACATTGTCAAGGGTAAGTTATGCTTGATATATCCGATTAGAATTCTTTCAGGAGGTAATGTGCAAGTTAGACAAAGAAGAGCCAGTGGACTTGATTTGTTTGTGTTTCCAGGAGATCTTTGACACGGTCTGTACAGGAGGCTGCTAAATAACATAAGAGCCCATGGGTTAGAGGATTAGCTGCTGAGCAGAAGGCAGACAGTAGGGATAAAGGGGTGGCAGCTGGTGACCAGTGGAGTTCTGCAGGGGTCTGTGTTGGGACCACAACTACTCACGTTATACACGAATGATCTAGACAAAGGAACTGACTACATTGTTGCTAAGTTTGCAGATGACACAAAAATGGGTGGAGGACAGGGAGTACTGAAGAAGCAGAGAGGCTACAGAAAGACTTGGACGGGCTAGAAGAATGGGTGAAGAAATGGCAGCCAGAATGCAATGTGGGAAATTGAGAGATTATGCACTTTGGTAGGAAGAGAGGTGCAGACTATTTTCTAAACAGAAAAGACTTCAGAAACCTGAAACACAAAAGGGCAGGCAGCACGGTGGCTCAGCGGTTAGCACTGCCCTCTCACAGCGCCAGGGACTCTGGTTCGATCCCACCCTCGGGCGACTGTATGTGGAGCTTGCACATTCTCCCCGTGTCTGCGTGGATTTCCTCCCGCAGTCCAAAGATGTACAGGCTAGGTGAAGTGGTCATGCTAAATTGCTCGTAGTGTTCAGTGATGTGTAGATTAGATGGGTTATGGGGGAATGGGTCTGGGTGGGATGCTGCAAGGGTCAGTGTGGACTTGTTGGGCTGAAGGGCCTGTTTCCACACTGTAGGGATTCTATGAAATACTATGAAAAGGGACTTGCAAGTCCTAGTTCAGGATTCTCTTAAGGTTTAGTTGGCAGTTAGAAAGACAAATGCAACGTTAGCATTCATTTCAAGAGGGTTAGAATACAAGAGCAGAGATGTACTGCAAAGGCTGAATAAGGCTCTAGTCAGACTGCATTCGGAATATTGCGAGCAATTTTGGTCCCTGTATCTAAGGAAGGATGTGCAGGCATTGGATAGGATCCAGAGGAGGTTTACAATGATGTAGTATGAGGAGCTGTTGAAGACTGCGTCTGTACTCGATAGTGTTTAGAAGGATTTGGTGAGGGGACGGGAGGGCAGAATCTGACTGAAACTTACAGAATACTGAGAGGCCTGAATAGAGTGGACCTGGAGATGACATCTCTACTAGTAGAAGGGACTAGGATCCAAGGGCACCGCCGCAGATTAAAGGGGAAACCCTTTAGAACAGAGAGGAGGAGGAATTTCTTCAGCTAGAGAGTGGTGAATCTGTAGAACTCATTGCCATACAGGAGACTAAGTCATTAAGCGTGTTCAAGACAGAAATAGATAGGTTCTCGATTGGCAAGAGGGCCAAGGGTTACAGGGAGAAGCAGGAGAATGGGGTTGACAGCATATCAGCCACGATTGAATGTCAGAGCAGACTTGAGGGGCCAAATGGCCTAATTCTGCTCCTATGTCTGATGGTCTTATTAGCTGCTTACCTGCTGAATGACAATTGCTCTTGCACAACAAGACATCACCTTTACTTTTTCACCACGTGTAAAGTGATGTGTGACATGGGGAAATTTTTACCAGAGATATTGCTAAATCTGTTGAAGTGGCTTTCTTTGAAGTCAGTGATAAACACACTTGGTTCATGTGCATGCACACACTGTCTAGGCCATCAAATACAATCAAATGAATTGTGAATCATTGAAAAAACAAAGTTCAAATTTTTGAAAAAAAAAAAATACGATTGCCGAGTTGAAAATCTATCAGTCAATAAAACTGTTTTACAATCAGAGTTAAGAAAAGCTTTGTCAAAACGTTTGTTGCATGCCCGAAGTATAGGTTTTTGACATACCTGATGCTCTGTGATGAGTGCCTTAACCTGATCAATGTCTTTTGGCATGGAATCTTGATCTCTCTGTATTAGTGTGGTTTCAGCCCACTGTAACCAGGCCAGCAACTCATCCAATAATTCAGCGTTGGTGACCAACTCTGACAGTGCAGTTGTTAATCGTTGCTGGTGCTGTTTTGCCCATGTCAATACCTAGAGGTAAAATCACAAAAAGAAAACTAATGATATTCTTTCATAGCTCAATGCAGAATATAAAGTCCTTAGGTGAAAACCTTGATTGAGAAAAGGCCAACTGTTTGATAATGATCCCTTTTAGGATATTGAATACTTGAAATTTCTAGACAATACCTTTGCCAAGTATTATATCATTTAAAACATAAATGGGGCCCCATGAAGCTGCACGAAAATTTTAAATGCTGGACAATGTTTCACTGTCTTGCTATCAAATCTGACTATGAGGTGGAATTCAAATCTCCTCCTCCAATGTGATGTTGTTAATGCACTGCAGGCTCTGCAGTCATCCATCATTCTGAGTCTACTTCTTTGCTTGACAGAACAAGAATCATAGGAATGAACTGAAATTGCAAACTGAGCTGATCACATCCCAAGTTGTCGTCTTTGGACTCAAAGCATTAATTCTGTTTCTCTCTTTACAGATGCTGCCAAGACTGTGTTTCGCAAGCATTTTCTAATTTTATTCAGATTTCCAGCAGCATTTTGCTTTTATTTGATCACATCCCACTCAAGTCCACCAACCATAAATTGATCCTGAAGTTTTATTTCTGGTTGCACAACTGAATCATACATTGGTTGGTATCATGATTATGGTTCTGTGTAGTTAATAATTTAATTTATAGTTGAAGTAATTCAAAACTTGTATAAATGAAACCTTTTGTTCTCCTCACAATGCAATCTGCTTTTAACTTCATCAACATCATGGAATAAAAACATCACATTGAAGTAATTTGGCAGCACAGAACTTAAGTATTGCTGAAGAGAAGACATATTTTGTCGATGTTTTTCATCTTGCACTTGACAGGACAATTTGAACAATGACCAAATGAAAAACATAATTTATTCAACACAAATGAAGTGCTGACAGGTTGGCAAGACTATTCAGACTGGAAGAGGCATTGCCATGGCTTATAAACCAGTCAATTTTGTGTCAGGAATATTAGCTAAGAGTGACATTGTATCTTTATTTAGATGGCGCTTACTCTGAGAGCTTAGGAGATTTCTGCAAGAGCCAGAGAGTTTCTCTTCAGATGGCAGTTTGCTCTCACCTGATTTTCAAATGCCCTCTTCTGTTGTTCCCTTGATGACCTATTAATTTCTTACAATAGGATTGGTTCTAGGTTGTCAAAACCATCAGATTTAAATTTAACTGGGTTTCGGTATCTATGGCCTGGTTTAAATTAATTGGCTAAATTCAAAAACCTGTTGTCTTGGTAAAAATGCTGCTTTGCCTGCTTACAGTATAGCCTTTTGATACAATGTTTTAATTTCAAGAACTCAATGCATCTGCTGTTGCCTGCAGACATTTTAAAAAAAATCTCCAAGCCTAAAAAAATCATCTTTTAAAAGAGACCACACGCTCTTCCCCCCTTTTCATTTTACAAACATTAAATACTCTAACCAACTTCACGACAGATGTCAAATTGAAAAGGTGCTCTGCCTATCATACAAATGAGTCATGTAGTATGGGTTTTAGCACCAGCCCTTGAGACTGATGGATTGTATCAACAGAATATTCCTTTAGCTGTTCATAACAAACAACGTACTGACTGTACCCAAGCAGCCTGGTTAGCAAAACTCTTAAAGTGTCCAATATTAGACGTAGTCCGACAACATTTTCTAAATTACAGAGTACGTAAGGATTGTCAGTTGGGCTTGCAGCCCATGTACTCAAAGCTTTATAAATCAATTTGCAGGGATCTCTTCTTTGCAGAAAGAAAGAAATATACACATACAGTGCCTATTTAATTCAACAAAATAGGTGAAAGCAATGCAGTTTCTCACAGCAGTCTTGACTAGAGACCATCTACGTGGTTTAAGATTTAAACAGCACACGGCAGTTAACTGAAAATGCTCCTGTTAATGATTACTGACAATGACAACACCCATGATAACAGTCCATTTGCCAACTAAGCAGCATTCTAATCCCATACAGTATAAATGTATTCCTTTTACTTGGTAACTTCTGAGAGATGAGAGCTTCAGCAAAACGGGCCTTTTTCAGCAGTGCTTGTTTCATATTAACAAACATTACCTTTGATTTAATGAATATCTTGTTATGTTCTAATGACTATTCTCATTTGGATTTAGCCTATCAAAATTAAAGGGAAAGGGATTTCCATTGGAAAATTTAGCATGGTCCACCTCTGGAGGTATGGGTCAGCTTCTGTGCTTTGTTCTATTGGGGTTGCAGGCTATTAATTTCCTATTCTAGGCCTTGAATTCCAAATGGCTATAACAACTGGTCTGATGGAAGAACTGCTCAGTAGATACTTGTACTTGGATAATCTTGTACTTAGATACATCTGTTTGTGCAACTCTGCCTGACCTTCTTTCCCAGTTTACATTAGAATTCCAAATGATTTCCTTTAGATTAATCCAACATTAATCCAATTTCCTGTTTTACCAAGTTAGGTCGTTCAAAACTAATAGAAGTTATCAGGTAGTAATGACAGATAAAAACAAAACAGGCTAGAGTTTAAACAAATAGATTTAAGCATTGTAACTATTAGAACAGTTTAAAATTAAGTGTCTTAATCCCATTTTATGTAATCATTCTATTTTTCAACAATTCACGCTCATCTACGTCGTTATTTTTCTTTCTTACTTCTTCGAAGCGGGCTCGGATAATTGTGATCCAGTGTTTGACAGTGGTCACACAGTCTGGGTGACACACTGCAAGAATGGCTTCTCCCATTCCAGCAGCTTTATTTACATCCACACGCTTCTCCTCCACCTTCTTCATGAATTCCTAAAATATACAAAGCCTACAAGTTAACAGCAGCACAATTCTAGCTTCCTTGACAGAAGGACACACATTCAAGAAAAAATATCTGGCAAACCATATTACGGTGACATAACTTGTGTCAAACGAACCATCTTATCCTTTAAACACAATGTGTCAAAATATTGCGAAATATTTGTGCGCACAGGAGGTGTCCTACTAATAAATGGCATTGTATATATTTTATATACATTTTTTTTTAAAACACAAAAATATAAAAGATAAACAGCTTTCAAAATATGCCATCAGACCTTTGCTTTCCCAAGTAAATCAGCCTTTAAATGCAGCATATTTACCATGATCCTATAGAAATCATTAAGAATTAATAGCACACTGTACATTTAAGTAAATATTTGTCTCTCACCAGTTGTGCAAAGCGGTTTCTCCAAAAGATATCTAAAGTCAGGCTTCTAAACTTTAATTTACAAGAACATTCCAGGCGCTTGCTTAATTTTTTTAAAATAAATTCTAGGATTTTCAGTTAACCTCTCAAATATTGAGAAAATAATATGCAGCTTTTAATACTGCGCATTTCAAAAGTAATAATTTAAAATGAACAATTAGGCTAATTTGGACTTGATTTTATCTCTGCAAATAGGAATTAAAATTTCATCCTTCCATTTTAAAAGCCAAACTTGGAGAAAAATATTCATTTAGAATTGGAAACTATGCACTAAACTTCAGCCCACTTCCATCAATATACTGAACATTTTCATACAGAGAATTCTACTTCACCATTCAAGTGGACAACTGACCTTGTGTAAATCGATCAATGACTGCAAAGACTCCACATCGTCCGGAAGAACCCCTCGGAATCTAAGTGACTGCTCTGCCTCAGAAAGCCACTCCAAGAGAGCATGCACAGCATTTCGGAATTCCTCTGCCTATATCAGAATTCACCAATGATGGTCAACACAAATCAGTTGTTCTCAGACATTTAAATGAGAACATTAGAATTTCACAGCAGCTACATTCATCTTTGAATAAAATCCAGGCACAGATTAAAAAAAAAATTAATTATAATTTTCAATTAAGTAGACCTTTCACATTACTTTGCAATATTAAGAAAAAGGATTATTGTGGATGATTGGCTCTGCACACTGCTACAGAAAAGTAATTGATTTTGATATAGATTTCTTGCCATATTTGCCACCTTCCCACTCAAATTCAGAGAAAATCCAAACTTATGAATAGAAGTTATCGTCTTCTTGGAGAGAGACTGGGATATGGATAAGCAGAAGCATTCACGAGTATAATCTTCACTAAAAGTTAGTGATGGCAGATAATTAAAATTGTTCAGTAAATCTTGCCTCCATCTTGAACGGGACTAGAATTACAAAGGGGAGAAAGGTAGACTTCAGTTGTATAATGTCTTGGTCAGAACTCATCTAACACTCAGTTTTGGCATTGCACCTCAGGACTGCAGATTCACTAAATGATTTTGGGCTTAAAAGGGTCAAAATTAGGAATACAGGATGCACAAACTTGGTTTGTATTCCCTTCAGCTTAGAAAGCGGAGTGTTGATCTTTTTAAGATTATGAGAGATTCAATTAGTCAGATAGAGGTGTGGAAATCCAGAACAAGCATTGCAATCTTCAAAATTAGAGCTAGGTTGTTCATGATTTAATTCAGGAAGCATTTTTCATACAAAGGGTCATGAAACCTGAACTCTTCACCAAAAGGCTATAGATGTTTAGTTGATTGCAAGTTTCCAGATTAAACTTGATACTTTTTTGTTAGGCATGGGTATCAAAGGGTATGGAGCACAGGCAGGCAAAAGGGAGGCAAGTTACAGATTAGCCATTTTGGAACAAGCTCAAGGGATTGAATGGCCTCATCTATGTTCCTGCAACAGAAGATGGGGCTAATGCAAAATTTTTGATAATGCATTATAGGCCAGTTTGGTGGTGACTTGCAGACAAAATCAAGTTAATATGCATTACAGAAAGTGGCATTCCTACTATTGATTTTATGCAGCAGTCATATCATAATCTACAATAATGATAATAAACTAAATCACTGCAAAATTGAGATGGTCAATTAAATACCATAATGTGCTCTCACCTGCTTGAGTGCTTGCTCAAGTCGTGTCTGTTTAGAAACAGACAGTTTGCAGACCGTGTCCCAGCGTATGCTCAGTTCCTGCAGCTGAACTTTCACCCAAGTTGTATCATCACGACTATTCTCAATCAATTCACGAGCTGACCGTTTTAGGACCTGTACACTACTGGTGCGCTTACCGAGTTCTTTTTGGAAAACCTACACATGAAAGGAATCTTTTGAGTGCTTAATAAAAAAAGCGTTTAAGAAATCTAAGGTTTTAGTAAGCTGTCTGCACAAAATAAAAGCTGCAAAATTTAATGGAAATATATAGCTGTATAGTTAATTCAGTTGGTTGCTAATACTTCAATGAAACCGCATAATTATGAATGTAACACTCTTAACAGTAATATTTTACCTTGTGAGCATCCATCAAATTCATCACGAGATCTAGGTCTCCATGGACAGGCTGATCCTCAGCCAATTGTGGCTCAACCTTGTATAGCCAATCAACTAGAGCCTGGAGTGCATCAGTAAACTGTCCTGAAAACAGAAGTGCCTCCTCCAACTTGTGCTGCCTAAACAGGGCCAAAGCATCAACAATCTTTAATATTTAGTAAAACTAAATCTTTTTAGTGTTAAGATTACAGATATGAAACAACAGTGTCGACAAAATTAAATGGATATAGCTTATCAGCAATACAATCAATTTTTTAAAATGCAGGAGATGAAGTGAAAATAGATTCAATATCTGATGCAATATCATGTGTCTATCCAGATTAAGCTTGCAGAAAGATGTCAATTAATGTTTAACTTAATTGGAAATGGAATTCATTATGCATATAGAAGTTTATTTCATTTCACTGGCTAGAAAGTTTCATTTAATCTCAGACAATTTGCTAAAAATGTATTTATTACCCTCACCTCTCAACAGATTTGCCACAGACAGTGTCCCACTTATCTCGCACTTCGCCCAGCAGGTTATCCAGTTTCTGACAGTCATCTGTAAGTGAAGCTTTATCTTTCATGGAGCGGCCCATGCGGATTGTGGTGTCATACACTGGTTGTTTCCCACCCAGAGTTTTTTGGAATTCCTAGTTCAATTTTCAAAAAAAAAAAAAAAAAAAGTAAAATATTCAAAAAACAAGAGCACAGATTGTACGTCTCGGAGCAGCACATCAGATCTCAATTTGGCAATCACAGGTTTGATCATTAAGTATCCACATTTTTGACTTGTTGCCTAAAATGCTTATTTAATTGCCACGGGGACTTTTCAACTCCGTTTACTTGTGATACTCTAGATTTGGTTCTAACTCTTGGAACCAAATTTGCAAGATTATATTTGTAGATGCTAACTTCTTGGACAAATATTAATTTGAAAGCTGCACGTGAGGGAAACATTTACACTGGTCACTTGAAAAGGGCTTTAATCATGTTTTAGAAATAAAAATTGCTTTTGTCATTCAGAAATACTATGTAGATTTAGTTATAGTTGCAGCTGCAATTTGATAAATTTAACAAGGTGCAGAGCTGGATGAACAAAGCAGGCCAAGCAGCATCATAGGAGCAGAAAGGCTCTGATGAAGGGTCTAGGCCCGAAACGTCAGCCTTTCTGCTCCTATGCTGCTGCTTGGCCTGCTGTGTTCATCCAGCTCTGCAGCTGGTTGTCTCGGATTCTCCAGCATCTGCAGTTCCTACTATCTCTGATAAATTTAACCTTTTGTGTGCATTAAGACGATCAAAATGGTCATAATTTTGGAATGAACCTCGCATTCAAATGAAAATCTGACTTTGCAACAAAATTTAAAAATGTCAAATATTTAGTTGCTGATCCACCTGAGGAAATATGTAAAAACTCAGATCATAAGAAGAAAATTTCAGATACAAGCTCAACACAGTTAACAATGCACTAAGAGATGCAACATACTCAAGCAGGTTAAGATACTGTAACTTTTCAAATTCTCAATGAACGGTTGAAGACCAGACCACTTTCTGATCAGCTATTATTTTGCTTAAAATTGTAAATTAGAGAAAACTGATAGTTTATTTTTAATTTGGGTCATTCTGCTCCCATTTGCAAGAGGAATTGAAAATTGACATACATTTTTTCTAGTGATATTTGCTAACACTAAGTTCTCTAAGCATTGGATAAAATTCCCAACATTCCAAACCCTAGCAAACTCAAGTCAAATTGCAAAATAAGAAAATAAATATTGTTGCCAGTTCACAGCTTGGTGGTTCTGATGACTTAGTTATTAGAAAATTCTTCAGATGATTTTGCAACTGAAAGGAGAAATGCAATTTAGATACCTAAACCTAACAACCATGGAGGCAGAATATTAATATCCACAGACTTCCGAATTGTGTTCTTTTAAAGAAGTATTTTCCCATTTTGGCTAACCCAGTTATTGTTTGAATGTCTAGGCATCAAGGTCTTTCTTACTGGCTGTATTCGACTGCCTGCACTGGGCGATGTAACACCAAACAACGAGAGATCAAGCTGGCCCCAAATCCAGCTAAATTAGATGACATCAAACAGTACAGCATGGAAGGTGTTACAACAGGCATCAGAACTCCTCAGATGGTTATTAAGAAAGTCAACATGCTCAATTGAGGATAGAAAAAGGGAACTTTTTGAGGAAAAAAAAAATGAAAGTTGTGTTTTGAACTTTAAAAAATCAGAATCAGTTATATCGAATTCAGCATCAGATTTCTTACCTTGTGCTTTGACAGTTGCAGTTTTATTTTATCTGGATCATTGGAAATTTCAAGATCACAGTCCAAGTTGTTTTCTGCCTCCTCTAGCCAGTCAATTAACTTCTTCCAGGCTTCAAAGAACTGAAGATAGAAAAATACAATACTTAGAATTAAATTCATTTGGATCAGAAACAAAACATACATTTCAGTCAGACGACTGCAGTAGAACCCATTGGTCTCGCATCAAACTATTTGTACCATCTGAAAGTTGAGAAATAGAAGGGAACCGGTGTAAGTTAAAAACTTCAAAAGCTAAAGGTTCTATTCAAACCAAAAAAAGGCAGAAAATTAACTGGAGGAAAATATCCATCAATGCTCACGCTTTGGATGCTCTTTAATTATTTCACTTCCAGGCACAGCTCAAACTAAATAAAGAAATAAAAACTTTTAAAGTGATTCATTACTGTTCATGGTTAGTGCACATCAGGATTTGAAAAGGACATTAATATTCATTAAAGTATTAGTGCCAAGAAAGTTTCAAAAATCTGTGTTTAATCAAAGGAATATAAACTAGAAATCATGATTTAATTGAGAGCAGAATCTTCACTAGTGTAAGCCAAGATAACCTAGGAAAGGTGGGAAATTTTTCTACAATCCAAGTATTGAAAAGATATTTCTAATATACTGCCTGATGTGATTACTGACAGGACTGTTGGAGGCTTCTTCAGATTGAAATATTCCTTCCCGATACAGGAAGATTATCTGGGCAAGGCTTATATCTTGTAATAGTACAGGTTGTAAATTAATTTATATCGGAATCATTTAACAGCAGCATCTTGTTATTGAGTCATATGGAGTTTTTGCCTTGTTAATATCATTACTTTAAAAGACAAAGAGGTGCACTTATATAAAGCTTTTCATGACCATCAGGTGTACCTGACGGTTTTGCAGCCAATTAAGTACTTTTGAAGTATAAAGTAGGAAAAGTAGCAGCCAATTTGTGCACAGCAAACTCACAAAAAGCAACACAATAATAGTCTGTTTTATTATGATGTCAACTTTTGGATAAACATTGACCAGAACGCAAAGTTTTGGCAAAGATCTGTAGCTCGGGTTCTAGATGAGGTTGACTTGCTCACCGAGAACGAGAACAAGCCAGCTCGGCGAGCAAGTCAACAACCTCATTGACCAGAACTCTCCTGCTCTTCATCAGAAGTACTTTGGGACCTTTGGCATTCACCCAAGTGGATCTGAATGATGGCACGCTCTCAGTACTGCACTGAGCCAGCTTGAGTTGTGTGTTCAGGACCTTGAATAGGTCAGAATTAGGACTTGGGTATTTTTAAAGACATTTTGGTCATATCTACCAACTGTCAATATTTCATGACAACAACTAGCATTCATTGAGAAAAATCCATTGAAGTTCTGCTACGAAGTGATTCTCAATACAAGTTGTGCTAGATACATTTTTTTAAAGACTAGGTGTTTGTGCCTAATTGTATGCAGTAGCTGGAAATCAGTGGGGATGACCATTTCATTTCTTCACTTTGGTTACGAGCTTATTTTCCATAATTGCACCCTTTGTGTTGTAACTTAAATTTCTTTCCTCAAGGTACATAACAGGGGAAATGGGTGAGAAAATGCATACTTTGAGTGCAGTTGAGAAGATTGTCTGGAGAGAAAGAAAGAAGCCTTTCTTACGAACTGGGAGGGTTTGAGAACAAGCGTGTGCCTTTGTGAAAGGCTGGGAAGCTACATGGGATACAGTCTTTGAACTGTACCTGAAGATGCAGGTAGAAAACCATGATATACTGGCCTGGGGAGTTAATGTGGGCGGTTTACCAATCAAGATGTAATTTTTCAAACACAAAATAAACAAGATGTAAATTAAGAAGAACTCAGCACTGAAAATATTCAACTGTTTCCAGAAAAGCATAGTTCTCTTGCAAACAGGCTGCTTTCAAACTGCACCAATTACTTGCTTTGATTTTCCCTTCTGGCTATAACATAAATGTTATTTTTCCTCCCACTATAAAATCATGGAATGTTTGAGACATCCACAACTTCAGTTACAATTCCATACAAGTATTTATTTTTAGTTGTAGTTAGAGCTACTCTTGGGATGTAGGCTCTGGGGGCTGTGTCAAGCCTTATTTTGTCAAAAGCATTCATGTTTTTGCTGGATTCCTAGGTTAGCATAATTGTTTTTTGATCATGGCTTGAAATACTGTTGCAACACAAAGGGAACAAACATGGAAAATAAATCCTTATTTTAAGCAAAGTGAAGGAAAAAAAAAAAGTCATCTCCATTGCAGGTACTGAGATCTAAGCAAAAAGGATGCCAAAGAAATTTACTACATCAGTGGATTAAGTTGCACTTGTGGAATCTTTAAAACATTCCAAGTAGAATTATTTGAACGAGAAAGCTTTGATTATTTTGTTATTTTCACTCCCTATAGCCATACAGATGAAGTAGTTCCTTTCTGCCTTTGGAATATCTGAATTTCAAATTTCTAATAGCTGGTATTTGATGTAATAATTCAACTTGAATCATGCAGTGAAATGACAAGTGAAACTGAGGCTAAAATTGGCTAAACTTTAGGGCAGTGCAATTCCTAAACAGGGACTTCAGAGCTTCTTTCCAATAAGGATAATGAGAAAACATAAGAAAATAGAAACTTAAACAGTTTAAAAATAAACAGAAGATTAAAACCCTAAATAGGAGTTAAATGTGAGAAACGGAGAATTAGAACAGGAAAAGGAATTGTGTGCAAAATTAAAGCTTTTAAATTTTTTCAAACAAAAAAAAAATTGGTGGCTGTTATAATAGTCAAGATACTTTCGGCACCTGACATAGTGCCATTACTTAGTGCACGAGTTGAAAACTTAAAGTGATCAGCCAGACAATTTAATTGTCCCAGGAGCCAAGTGCATTTTGGAGAAGACACAATGTAAACTATGGATCATGTTAATAATCAGCTAAGCATTAAATACTTAAACAAATTACACTACTCCCTTGGTTTGTAAACTTCTTAACACCAAAAACAACTTATACTTTGTAGCGCCTTCAAAAGTTAATAGGATATCCCAGGAGTGTTACAGAGCAAAATCTGAATCTGAGCCACATAAGGTAACATTAAATTAGCTATCAAAGGATTGGTTAATGCCGTAGGTTCTAAGGAGCATCCAAAAAGAGAAAAGGTCAGGTTTAAGCACTTAGGTAGCTGAAGGATGGCCTCCAACTGAGGAATAACTGAAATCAGGATGCCCAAGGAACTAGAATTGGATGACTGCAGAGATCTCAAGAGAGTTGTGATGCTGGAGGAAATTATAGAAATGGGGACAGACAAGGACATGGTGAGATTTAAGAACAGTAATAAGAATTTTAAAAATGAGCCATTTCTCAATTGGGAGTCAGCATAGATCAATGAGAACTGGTGATGGGTAAGCAGGACATTTTAAAAAAAAGACAAAGACATTCATGGGATATAGGTCCCACTGGCGAGGACAGCGCTCATCACCCATGCTCCAGTGAACGGTGAAGATGGAATCACATTGCTGTGAACCTGAAGTCATGTGTAGACCAGACCAGGTAAGTACAGTAATTTCCCTCTCTAAAAAGGATATTAGTAAACAAGACGGCTTTTTCCTACAATCAACAATGGTTTGATGGTCATGATGAGACACTTTATTCCAGACCTTGTTTGAAATCAAATTCCATCATCTGCCTTGAAATGATACAATGCTAGTAAGGAAAGGGCAACAGTATTTTGGAAAACATCAAGCTTATGAAAATTAGTGTGACAGGCTGTCAAAAATGCATTGGGTTAGTGAAGTCTCAAAGTGACAATGCACGAATTAGGTGTTCGGCAGCAAGTGAGCTAAGGAGAGAAACAGGCGAGCTTAGTGACATTATAGATGTGTGGTTGCAGGCACACCTTGCAATCAAACAGGGCACTGAGCTTATGACCAGTCTGGTTCACCTCAGATAGTTGCCAGGGAAGGAAATACAGTTTGTGGCAACAACCAAGGCAATGGCTTTGGTATGACAAATGTTCAAGTGGAGGAAATCCTTGTTTATTCAATACTGGTTGTCACATACCATTCTCATTAAGCTATTCTTGCTCCCAGTCTAATAACACCTCAACTTTAAAATTTTTTACTCTTGTTCTTCAATCCCTCCATGTCCTTATTCCTACCCACCTCTATATTGACATTTAACCTACAATCCTCGGGAGATCTCTGCACTGATTCAATTTCAATTTAGGTATAAATTTGAACGTGGAGGAGTCGAGAGACCATAAGACCATAAAACATAGGAGCAGAAGTTAGACCATTTGGCCCATCGAGTCTGCTCCACCATTCAATCATGGCTGATAAGTTCCTCAACCCCATTCTCCCCATAACCCTTGATCCCCTTGATAATCAAGAACCTATCTATCTTAGAGTTAAATGTACTCAATGACCTGGCCTCCATAGCCTTCTGTGGCAGTGAATTCCACAGATTCATCACTCTCTGGCTGAAGAAGTTTCTCCTTATCTCCGTTCTAAAAGGCCTTACCTTTAAGGCTATGTCCTCGGGTCCTAGACTCTCCTACCAATGGAGTCACCTTCCCAACATCCACTCTGTCCAGGCCATTCAGTATTCTGTAAGTTTCAATTAGATCCCCCCTCATCCTTCTAAACTCCAATGAGTATAGTCCCAGAGTCCTCAAATGTTGCTCATATGTTAAGCTTTCCACTCCTGGGACTATTCTCGTGAACTTCCTCTGAACCCGCTCCAGGGCCAGTACATCCTTCCTGAGATATGGGGCCCAAAACTGTACGCAATACTCCAAATGTGGCTTGACCAGAGCCTTATAAAGCCTCAAAAGTACATCCCTGTTTTTATATTAGAGTCCTCTCAAAATAAATACCAACATTGCATTTGCCTTCCTGACTACTGACTCAACCTGCAAGTTTACCTTGAGAGAATCCTGGACTAGAACTCCCAAGTCTCTTTGCACTTCAGACTTCTGAATTTTCTCCCCACTTAGAAAATAGCCTGTGCTTTTATTCTTCTTACCAAAGTGCATGACCTCATACTTTCCCACGTTGTACTCCATCTGTCACTCCTTTGCCCACTCTCCTAACCTGTCCAAATCTTTCTGCAGCCTCCCCACCTCCTCAATACTACCTGCCCCTCCACCTATCTTTGTATCATCTGCAAACTTAGCCAGAATGCCCACAGTTCCTTCATCTAGATCATTAATATATAGTGAAAAGTTGTGGCCCCAACACGGACCCTTGCGGAACACCACTTGTCACCAGCTGCCTTCCTGAGAAAGACCCTTTTATCCCCAATCTCTGCTTTCAGACAGACAGACAGACAGACAGACAGACAGACAATCTTCTATCCATGCTAGCACCTTGCCTCTAACACCATGGGCCCTTATCTTACTCAGCAGCCTTCTGTGTGGCACCTTGTCAAAGGCCTTCTTGAAGTCCAGTTAGATAACATCCATTGGCTTTCCTTGGTCTACCCTGCTTGTTACTTCCTCAAAGAATTCCAGCAGATTTGTCAGGCATGACCTACCCTTGACAAAACCATGCTGACTTTGCCCTACTGTACATACACTTCCAAATATTCAGAAATTTCATCCTTTACAATGGATTCCAAACCTTACCCATGACTGAGGTTAGGCTAATTGGCCTGTAATTTTCTGTCTTTTGCCTTACGCCCTTTATAAACAGGGGTGTCACGTTAGCGATTTTCCAGTCCTCTGGGACCCTCCCAGAGTCTAGCGATTCCTGAAAGGTACTACTAACGCTTCCACTATCTCTTTAGCTATCTCCTTTAGAACTCTGGGGTGTAGTCCATCTGGTCCAGGTGATTTATCCACCTTCAGGTCAATCAGTTTTACTAGCACCTTTTCCTTCCTTGGCCACCATACTCAGCTCTGCCCCTGACTGTCGATTTTTTGGGAGATTACTCGTGTCTTCCACCATGAAGACTGACACGAAGTAATTATTCATTTCCTTGGCCATTTCCTTGTTCCCCACTACTAGCTCTCCACTGTCATTTTCCAGAAGTCCAATGTCCACTTTTGCCCTTTATATATCTAAAGAAACTCTTGGTCTTCATTTATATCACTGGCTAGCTTACCCTCGTATTTAATCTTCTCCCTTCTTATGTCTTTTTTTGTTGCACTCTGTTGGTCTTTGTAAGCTTCCCAGTCCTCTGGTTCCCCACTGCCCTTTGCCACATTATATGCTTTCTCTTTTGTTTTTATGCTATCCCTGACTTCCTTAGTCAGCCATGGTTGCCTCATCCTCCCTGTGCCATGCTTCTTTATCATAGGGATGAATTTTCGTGCATCTCCTGAATTACTCTCAAACTTCTGCCATTGCTGTTCCACTGTCTTTCCTGCTAGGCTCCTCTCCCAGTCAATTCTGCCCAGCTCCTTCCTCATGCCTCTGTAGCTGCCTTTATTCGGCAGTAATACTGTTACCTCTGATTCCAAAAATTCGAGGGTCAGGGGGCAGAGCTGAGTATGGTGGCCATCAGCAAGGAAAAGGTGCTAGTAAAACTGACTGGCCTGAAGGTGGATAAATCACCTGGACCAGATGGACTACGCCCCAGAGTTCTAAAGGAGATAGCTGAAGAGATAGTGGAAGCATTAGTAGTATCTGTCAGGAATCGCTAGACTCGGGAAGGGTCCCAGAGGACTGGAAAATCATTAACGTGACACCCCTGTTTATAAAGGGAGTAAGGCAAAAGACAGAAAATTACAGGCCAATTAGCCTAATCTCCCTCTCAAATTGCAGAGTAAATTCTACCATCTTATAATCACTGCCTCCTAAGGGTTCCTTTCCCTTAAGCTCCCTTATCAAGTCTGCCTCATTGCACAGTACCAAACCTAGTATTGCCTGTTCCCCTGTGGGCTCCACCACAAGCTGCTCCAAAAAGCCATCATGTAGACATTCCACAAACTCCTTTTCTTGCAATCCACTACCAACATGATTTTCCCACTCCACCTGCATACTGAAATCCCCCATGATCACTGTGACTTTGCCTTTCTTACACATCTTTTCTATTTCCGGTGTATCTTGCACCCCAGCTCCTGACTACTGTTTGGAGGCCTGTACACAACCCCAACTATGGTTTGTTTTTTTATCTTTGCAGTTCCTCAATTCTACCCACACAGATTCTACACCATCTGACCCTATTTCATTTCTTCCTATTGATTTAATTTCATTTCTCATTAATAAGGCAACCCCACCCCCTCGGCCCACCTACCTATCTTTTTGATAGGATATATATCCTTGGATATTCAGGACCCAATCCTGATTCCCTTGCAGCCACGTCTCCGTGATGCCTACCACATCATACTGCCAGTTTCGATCTGCACCACAAGCTCATTTACCTTATTACTTATACTGCATGCATTCAGATATAACATCTTCAGTCCTGTATTAACCCTCCCTCTTCTAATTTTCATTTGTTTTTCCAGTGTTTGATTGCTGGCCCTTTCCAAACACTGTGCTTGTGCTGGAGACTTTAATAACCTCTCCTGTTTTCTCCTTCCTTGTCATTTCTTCTGTATTTTCCCACGTAGTTGAATCCACCACTACAGATGTTAACCTGCTGCTGTGTTTCCCACTGGGGGCAAGTTTCACCATTCCCTGCCCCCCCACTTTCTAGTTTAAAGTCCTGTTGACCAGCCTATTTACCCTTTTCGCTAGGACATTGGTCCCAGCTCGATTCAGGTGGAAACCGTCCCATGGTACAGATCCCTCCTGTTCCAGTACTGATGCCAGTGCCCCATGAAAAGGAACCCCTCTTTCCTGCACCACTCTTTTAGCCACGTGAGAGGTGGCCGTTAGGTAGAGTTGAGTGTCATTAGCGTACACGTGAAAAAAATTGTAGGTTTTCGGATGACGTTGAGGGGAAGCATGCATGCATGCGCAGGAGGGGATCAAAATAGATCTTTAGCAGACACTAGAGTAACAGTGTAGGAACAAGAGAAGACATTGTAAGTGATACTCGGGCCACAATGAAATACTTAAGAATAGATGTAGGCAAGTGCAGACTCACCTAGTTGCATGACAGTGGAAAGAAGCTGTAGGAGGAATGAGAGAGATCCACAATATAAAAAGCTACTGACATGTCAAGTGGGACATGGACGGATAGCTTACCTTTATCACAGTCATGTAGGATAACAATTATGATTTTGCTAAGAGCTGTTCCAGTACTGCAGTGGGGTGGAAATCAGATTGAAGGGATTCAAATATACAGTTTTGGGAAAGGTAGCATAGATGTAGGAAGTGGTAACATGTTTCAAAATACCAACAAATCTTCCCATAGGAATACTTCTGGTAAATAGATCAGAGAAAATACAGTCTACGAATATTCACTGATTCTGCATACCTGCTTTGCACGTTTTCTGGCTTCATCAAGTGCTCTTCCTCTCTCAACAGAACGCTGTACCACTTTCTCCCAACGTGATTGTACACTAAACAGCAAGTTTTTAATCAGAACCACGTCCTGTTTTTGGCAGAGAAATTTTAACTGATTTCCAGTTTTATCCAGGTCAATGATTTGGTCACGATGAGAATTAACTTCATTAGCAAATATCTGGAAAATAGTAATAAACATCAGCTAAACATTTTTGCACCTTTACCTTAGTTTTACACTCTCAAGACTAATTAATAAATGCAAAGAAAGCATGCTGCAAGTGGTCAAAAAGTGCTGCTTTGCAGCTAGTCCTTAGTAAGAATCTCATTGTAACTTGCAAGTCATTTCCTCTTATTTACCTTGGAGACAAGCCCCTTTCCTAAAATTTGACACAGCATATAGTGTAGCACAACAGCTCTTCTCGGTTACTAAGAGCAGATGCTAGAAATCGGAAATAAAACAGTGTGGAGAAACTCAGCAGGTCTTGCAGCACCTGCACTGTGAGAAACACAATGTTTCAAGTCCAATATGACTCTTCAAGGAATCATGCTGGACTCAACATGTTAACTTTGTTTCTCTCTCCACAGATGCTTCATAGATTTGCCAAGTTTCTCCAACTCTTCAGCTTTTATTTCCCCCAGCACTTCTGTTGTTTCATTATACGACTTCTAATATTTTAAAGAGTCATATTTTTGACCACAGTAAAGACATATTTAAATGCATTTGTGACTTGATTAAATAGTTTGTTAAATAGATGGTGAAGTTCAGTTCAGCTGTTCATAATCATTCCAATATTTATAAATTGTCTAAAGCACAATTCAATTAATGTATCTTTAGAAACTACAAAGTGCAAAGAAAATGTAGAAAATGTTTTGGTGTATGAATTTGTTTAAAAAGATCCTGAGGTATGGTATCTGTCAATACACACTTATGTTCTGAATTGCTGTAGTCTGTATACCTTTGGTATTGATCAGTCACTCAGTCCCTGCCCTGAGCCTTGATCAGTCTCCATCCCTTTCCTGACAATCAAGCAGTTATCCCATTCAGCATATTGGGAGACAAGGCAACTGATCAAAGAGCACAACTCATCCTGCATTCAGCAGTCACGCTGAGCCACACATCGAGTCCCAGACCCCGTCAAGTATTGAGCAGTAGCCATAACCTTGTTCTGATAATCAAGCAGTCTCCTTGTTCCTTTGAATATTGCACAGTGGCTTTGTTCCATGTATGAGCATCTGCCCTGCCAAGTGGCTGCCCAGGCCCTGACGCACATTGAGCTATCGTCCAATTCCCGACATATTGGGCGACCACCTCATCCCCAAGTCAATTGCACTGAACAGTCCCCGAGCCCCGTATTGAAACAGTCACTTGATTCTCCTTTGAAAAGTGAAACAAAGCAGCCTCTTGATTCTTTAGCCTCTAGACAGAGACAATACCACTTTTTAACAATCCTCACCCTAGAACATGAGACTGTCTACCATCATCAGCTCCTCTATACCAAGGATAATTCAGAACATCCAATACCTTATGTTCATCTATCTGGAAAAGTACTGTATCAGCTATAAGACTAGGAGGAGCCGCAATGTTCAGACTTTGCTCTGCTTGAGTAAGCCAGTTAATGAAATCTTGCAAGGAATTCTGAAAGTCTGTTGCAAGGTTGAGAGCATCTTCTAGCTTGGTCTGAAAATAAAAAAAAAGTCATTTAATTATTATAGCACAAATTTCATTCATTAGTATATGTTAGTTCTCCATGGACCAACCTGCTTTGTTTGCTACCCTCACCCCACCCACAACTTTTTGTCCTTATAATCCTGCAACTGTTCCCTCTTCAGCAAATTATTTTAGGTCAATAAAAATCCAAGATTGCTGGAGAGAAACATTAAGGACTGACATGACCATCCTTTTTAAAAGTCACCATCTTCCCACTTGCAGTAATGGGATACATTTTCACAAAATATTCTTATCTTCCCACTGTTGGTCCTGCTAACATTGTTGGCACTCCTACCTTCTTTTCCTCTATCTTTGCGCTCATCAATTGCCACTTCTGTTCTAATAACATGACGCACTGCTCAACATTTGATCCTGCAGCATCATCACGAGCACTCAGCAACAGCCGGCCTTTCTCGAGCAAGTTCTTGTATGCTTCCTCATTAGCATAAAATTCCTTGTAGAGTTCCTAAAAAAAATATGCAATCTTTACAGCTAATCCGTAATATGGACAAATTGTATTCAAAAAAATCCAATTTCATATCTCACAATCTATTCCTTTTGAGTTATAAATCTACTCAATGTATGATTGCAAAAGGCCTCTACAAGTACTATTATTTTGTTACAGATTATTTAGAGCAGAATTTGCTGGCAAACGTAAGTATTTGATCAGATTCATGAAAGATCTTGTGTTATATTCTATTAAGTTTAAATATACAGGACAGCTATTTGATAGCTTAATCTGTTTCTTGGGAAACAAAATGTGTGTGTTAGGAAGAAACACATCAATGTATCTATTTAATATCCAACTACCCGTAATTTGAGTGAAATAAAACAGACAAATTTCTTACAATGGCATCATCTTATTAACATTGCACATCAGAATGCCAATCCAAAATCAGAAATGGTGCATTAATGACTGGTTCAAGTTTACATTCAACATTCTTTTACCTATTTAGCATGATGCAGGAGAATTTTTTGTTTGTTTTAAATCCATTCTCAGGATGTGGGTGTCGCTGGCTGCATTTGGGAAAATGGTGATGAGCTGCCTTCTTAAACCATTGCAGTCCACGTGCTATAGGCACACCCACAATGGTGTCAGGGTGGAAATTCCAGAACTTAGATCCAATGAAGTTCTAGTACCATTGTATCTTGAGGGGGGATTCAATATAATTTGTAAAACAGCAATAAGCACACTTTGTCGGAAAGTGATGTTATGATGGGGGAAAATGATAAAATTAACTGCAAACTCTGGAACAAGTTACGATAACTATTTGTACAGAGGGATTGGTAAATGTTTGCTCAAAAAAGTGTTGATCATCGAGGGACAGAGAACTGGAAACAGAAAGTACATTATTTTAAATGAAGGTGCATAGATCGTTCAGCTTGTGATTGGGACAGTCCCCTCATTAACTCTAGCTGAAGCGCCTTTGTGGGCTATGTTGTCATATGAGGTTTAGTTTTCAAATATTTTGAGTCTGAATTCTTGAATTGATGACTCGGACTTAAACTGCTATTTTCAGTGGGAATGTCCGAGAGATCTGGTTTAGAAGTATTGGACTACAGCTAATTAAGCTCTACCCTTTGCACGGTAATCTACTTTCGTAACAAATCTTCATTGGCAGTCTTTGTCTAGTCTGAGTCTGACACTGTACACTTGCCATTGAATTTCCTTTATGTCATTTTACCAATTTTTCTGGCCCAATTTCTGTCTGTATTGTGCTGCTCTTCCCTCCATAAGAGGGTTTCCAGAAAATGTACTGAATAGTCAGATTGATCAGCTTCCCCATATACGCTGACGATATCTGGTTTTATTTCACCATCATTTATCTTGAGTCCACCAATACTCTGTCTCTAAATTGTAAGAACGCTTGTTAAATATTCAGTACTAGATGAGAATAAATTTTCTCCAAATGAATATTGGCACAATTGAAGCCCATGTTTCCAGTCCCCACCATACACTTAAATCCATTTCTATCCCTTGCTTTGGCAACTGTCCGAGGCAGAATCAGAATGTCACATTCGACCCAAGATGAATTTTTAACCACATCTGGGACATTGCTAGAACTGCCAACTCAGTCCCTGGCTCAATTATTTGTTGCTGGAACTTGCATCAATCCATGTATTACCTCTGGGCTTGAATATTCTAACACACTCTTAGTCGGTCTCCCACATTCTACCATCTGCAAACTTGAGTTCATCCAAAACTGGGTTGCCTTGCTTCAAACTCACACCAAACTCTAGTCATTCATCACCCTGTGCTTGCTGATCCACAGTCGCCCCAGGTTAAGTAATTGTGTGATTTTAAAATTATTCTCCATATTTTCGAATCCCTCTGTAACCTCTTCAGAGACCTGACTCTGCTGATGTGTGGACATTCATCTAATGCTGGCCCTTCTGAGCATTACTGGTAGCTGTGCCTTCAGCTGCCTGGGTCTCAAGCTCTGAAATTGCCTCTTTAAACACCGATTGTCTGTAACTAATGTATTGCTTTTAAGTTACCTCTTATGACCTACCTTTTCGACGAAGCTATTTTCTGCCCTAGTATCTCCTTATGTAACTATCTGCCATACTTGGGGTTAAATCTTTCCATTGAGCCTCAAGACAACTTGAGGTTCATGGTGCTTTTTAAATGTAAGCTATCATTGTTGGTTAGACAGGATATGTTTCCTTTAGATAAAAAAAATAACAGTGCACACATGCAATGCCACTAAACCCCCGAGTAAAAGACAGCATGGAAATTCAAACTAAATATTTCTTAAAGGATAGCTTAAAGATCATGTTTTTAAAAAGTCCAGTTAAATTCCATCAAATGAAAAGAAAAATGGATGTTATTTTGAGAAATTATTTGCTTTTGAAGGAGACTACAAATCACTTACCAAGTGGACATTCAGTTGTTCTCTGGCTGTCTCAGGTAAACCGCCAGTGGATTTAGATGCTGCCAACTGATTCTCAACTCGACTCAGCCACTGCAAGAAGTCTTCAATCTCGCCATGAAAACCTTCAGCCTGTCAAACAAGGGGTATTTCAGAAAAAATACCAGCTGTTTCACACAGTTTGCTAATATCCACTCAGAATATAGAAATCAAATGTCAATGCCAGCAGAATTCAAGAGCCTAAAGCACTGTAAATGAATATGAACAACTCAAATTAGGTCATAACTTAAACAATAATTTAGCTTACAAATCAATCTACAGTTGTGGTCAACCAACAGTCCTAGGAACATCCAAACGTTAAAGTACTAAAATTATATGAAAAAGGGCATCACTCTTGCAATGTTGCAAAAACGAAGGCAACACCATATTCAAAGGAATGGAACTGCATTGAAACAAATGGGTAGTGGAGAGGAAGAAAACGTACAATATATGTCAAATTGATGGATGGCAATTTAGCTCTGCACTTATTGAGTGAGGCGTTTTATTTTCTGTTTACATAAATTATTTGAATGCAGGCATTAAAGCCAACAATACCGACTCAAAAGCATGGAAAACTGGAGAACAATGCAGAATACAGTCTGTTTACTGTAGTGGGCATATATGTTGCTGAGGCAGTGCAACATGGAGAACGACTTAGTTAAACATTTTGGGACAAGTAACTAAAAAGCTCAAGAATCCTTAGAGAGTGTTGAAATAAAGGCTGAAAGATACAGATAGACAAATCTTTAACAGATGACATGCAGATCTAAAATGAAAAGCTAATGACGTTCCGGATTTTATATGTTGGGATAAATTATACAAAATTCAGGGACAGGTGTAAAGCACTAGCTAAAACGTGCTACAAACATTAAGCTCATTCTATTGTTATATTTTGGTACTGCCTCTTTTAGGTAAAAATGAGAAAAAATGTCACGTGTCCTGCTCGGAATTCTGTCTGACAACTAGCCTGTGTAGCTTGGCTGCTTTGGGCCCCAGGCTAACTTACTAAGAAGGTGCACCACGCTCAGGTCTGTAGATAAAGATAAGGCGAGCTGTGTTGACCATGGTCAACACATCAGTTTCCAAGTCTCACGGGGAGATGTTAAGAATGTCAGCTTTTATAAACAGTTATACTTTATGTCTTTCTGTTATTATCAGTTTAATTCAGAGATAAAATGCTGGAGGTTTACAAAGAAGCTAATTAGCATTTCTAATTGGATGTTGCCAAAGAGATGAACTTTGGAAATAAGAACGTTCACAGAAAGTCACTGTACAACAAGGTTACAGGTTTTCTAATTCTTAGAAAAAAGTCAGCCTGCAGCTGAGTAACTGAAGGCAGAACATAGAGCAATTAGTTCTGCACCTGAAAAAAAGAAAATGCTGACTGTATTGGTAACCCTTAGAATGAATAGTTTTGATAGAGTTATTTCTTTATTTTTCTATTTTGCACCTAGGAACCTTTGTACTTAAGATGGCGACTTGGTACACTTTTCACTTTACTCCTGTACTTGAGTATATGCAACAAAAAAAAACCTAATTCTAATTTTAAGTTATCTGACTGGGCACAGAAAAGCAAGGAAGCAAGCCCATTAGGAGCTGAGAATGAAGCGTTCACTTAAGAGACAGTGTAATATATAACCGTGGCAAAATTTTTGATTTCATCAAACATTAAATTGGGAATTTTCCCTCAAGTGCCTATTGAATAGTGTTTAGGTGGAATAAAAACAAAAACAAAAAACAAAACTCAGCAAATCTGGCAACATCTGTTGAGAGAAAAATAGAGTTAACATTTCAAGTCTGATAGGACTCTCCTTCAGAATTCTGAAGCTTGAAATTACATCTCTACAGATGCTGTCTGTTTAAGCTGCTGCACGATTCCAATTTTTATTTCACATTTTCAGCATCTGCAGTATTTTGCTTTAATATCAAGAGGATTGGATAAATACTCCTGGAGTACCTATGCAAAAAGAGTACATGAGAAAGAAAAGGAAATTGGATTATAACTGAACAGGTGGCCTTTTTTGCCCACTGCAATTTCAAGGCTTCAGGCTCAGTCAACAGGTTTTCATGAGAGAAGTTTACAGATTGGCATACTACAATTTGCAGTCTGCAAGCTCTCTTAATGGATGTAATTAATTTTATAATTGGCCCCAGAATGAATAGCAAAGGAAAATACAGATTAAATGCTATTTAACAGGATCTTAAGCAGTGCCACAGAAGAACTGCTTGTAACTTGTCTTTGCCTATTCAAGATTTAAAAAGGTACAGGTCTCCCAATATTCTTCAGCTATCGAATACCTGCTGGAGAGCAGCTTCCAGTTGTTGTTCTCTTCCTTCAGTTTTCCGAAGCAGTGACTGCCAGCTCTGATTTAACTTATCTAATCGACGCTTTAGGTTGCTGGCATCCTCCCCTGCACTTGACTCCAGAAGTTCATTCCCAGCTTTATTTACAGTGTCGACCGTTGACTTGTGGGCAAGAACATCATTCTTCAATACCTGTGGGGAGTTAACGTTCTAGTTACCAAATATTTCACAAACAGGCTATCTCGATCCAACAACACTTGAACTTTAAAGCAAACAGTATAATTTGAAAGACAAGCAGATCTTCAGCGTCAATACAGAGAATGGTGGACAAACTCTGATGTCCTGAGGTCTATTGTTCAGATGCTGGAATTTATGTAAAACACTGCCATCTCTATTCTAATTCATAGAAAGTCCAGTCTTTGCCAATCACTACCACTTTCTCATCCTTTAACAATCCACACTTTCTGCATAATGTGTTGTGGTCTCTCCCTGTATTCTTGTCCTACCATCCTTTACCTATTATCCAGGTTTACACCTTTATTTTTCTGATACTGGCTTTTGGAGGAATTGCCCCATCCTAAATTTCACTGTCATTCATTGGATCTTTAGCCATCTACACAATCATTCATTCTTGGCTCTTTGCTCTTTACTTCACTTCCCTCTACATTCAAAAGCACTAAGGTGGTGAATTCTGTTATTCTTCATTTTCACAACATACAAGAGCAATTCTACTGTCTGACACGATATGATACATTTGTTGACTGAAGACCATATGTAGCAAAGAATGTTGAGCTTATATAGCACTATGGATTTGAAGATGGACCTTCAAATACAAAATACAATTTAAATTTAAGACAGAATTTAAACCAATGCCAACATTAACGTAACATGTATAATGCATAAAACAGCCATGTTTTCTCAATTAAGAACATTTCCCAAAGCCCTATTGTTACTTTTACAACACCATATTAATTCTATTTGACTGTATGATCTAATGGTTATACAGTTATGCAAATTACATCTTTGCAGAGGATAACTTAATTGATTGCCATTACAATATACTATTTTGACGTACATGATGCTTGGCAAGTTCAATTTCAATGGCTTTTGGATCCCCAGTAATTGGCTTTTGTCCATCCAGTAGCTCCTCTGTATGATTCAACCAGGTCATAAGTTCAGCCAGTGCATGTTGAAACTGACCTAGTGCCAGTAGGGCACCCTCTACCTTATGCTGTGGAGAAATAAGTTCACAATTAATCATTCAGAACAAATATTCTTTTACGCTATCAAAAATATTCACCCCAAGTCTCCCTGGGTCTGTAAAGAAATATCCTGTAGTTCTGAATATAGAAAAATGACCAAACACCAAATATTGGAGCAGTACATCAAGGTCAGTATGCTTATGTGACAATCCATTGTATGCCAAAATAGCAAAGAGTGGTACACGTGCCATCCATGGTTTCTAGGAAGTAATAGGTAGGTCCATATGGCTATTTTTGTACATCTATAAGTAGCTGCACTTAGAGCAGGAATGGTGGCCTGTGGGTGGGTTCGTTCCCTAAATTTGTTCTATTAATGTGGAGAAGGTAAAGGATGAAAGGAAGGGCTTTCAACTACTTTGGAGTCCATATGTCCTACTGTGGATTTGTTCTGGATAAAAACGCAGAAAATACATTAAATTTGATACTGCCCTCAAAAAGATTTTTAAAAGGCAGGGAGTTTGTAGTATGGAAATGAATTAGGGTGAGGAAGCCATTTGACCCCTCTAGCCTGTCACACCAGTCAAGATCATTGTTGATCTGGGTTGAGGCTTTGACTTCACAATCCTGTTTACCCCCAATAACAATCAACTTCCTTGTTAGCCAGGAATCTACTGACCTCTGCCTTAGAAATTTTCAGTAAGCTTCACTTGCATCGTTCTCTGAGGAATACAAGTCTGATGACTCAAGACACACAGATTAAAAAACCTCATCTCAGTTTTTGAACTGTATCCCCTAGTTCTGGTAATGTAATAATCTAGTAGGGTCCATCACCTTCCCAACTCCCTCTGATCCAGTCAGGGAGGGCTAGGTCAAGAATAATCTTACTGTCCAGAGACAAAATGAGCTTTGAAATGGTCACTGAATGATTACTTCAATAGCCTCATCCACCGCTGCAAAGGTCCTGATGTCACGTAGGGAGATCTCCTTGCAGGATTGGGTGTGAGGTGGTGTTCCCCACTTCTATTTTTGTTATTTACCCACAAGATGTGGGTGTTGCTGGCTGGCCAGCATTTATTGCCTGTCTCTAGTTTCCCTTGAGAAGGTGGTGGTCAGCTGTCTTCTTGGACTGCTGCAAGTCTGTTTGGAGTATAAATGCTGTTAGGATGTGAATTCCAGGAATATGACTCAGCAACATTGAAGGATGGTGACATATTTCCAAGTCAGGATTGAGAGTCAGTGGAGGTGGAAGTTGCAAGTGGTGTTGTTTGCATGTATCTGCTGCTGTTGTCCTTGTAGATGATCATCCTGGTAATGACCAGGAAACAAAAGAGCCATGGTGAATTTCTGCAGTATGTCTTGTAGATAGGACACAATGCTGCTGCTTAGCATCGATGATGCAGAGAGTGGATGTGGAATTAATCAAGTGGACTGCTTTGGTCTGGATGGTATCAAGCTTCTTGACTGTTGAAGTTGTGCTCATCCAGACAAATGGGGAGTATTCCATCATATTCCTGATTTATATCTTGTAGACAGTGGACAGGATCTGGGGAGTCAGAACGTGAGTTTCTTGCTGCAGGGCATCCTAGCCTGTGACCTACTCTTGTAACCACAGCGCTTAATATGACTAGTTCAGTTTCGCTTCTGGTCAATGATTGTTGATAGTGGGGAATTCAATTATGGTAACATCATTGAATGCCAGGGGGTGGTAGTCATTGTCTAGCATTTGTACAGGGTAAACGTTAATTGCTACTCATCAGCCTGAGCCTTGATATTTTCCAGATCTTGCTGTATTTGGATATGGACTACTTTAATATGCAACGAGTTGTGAATGATGCTAAATGTTGAGAGTCATCAGGGATCATCCCACTTCTGACTTTAAGAAGAAGACCAGTGACAAAGCAGCTGAAGATGACTGGGCCAAGGACACTACCTTGAAGAACTCCTGGACAGATGTCCTGGAGCTGAGATGACTGATGTCCAACCATCACAACCGTCTTCCTTTGTGCCAGCTATAACTCCAACCAGTGGGGAGTTTCTTCTTCTTGTTGTTCTTCCCCCCACCTCCGATTCCCACCGACTCCAGTTTTGAGTCTTTTGTGCTACACTTGTTTGAATGTTGTCTTGAAGTCAAGACAGTCAACCCTAACCCTAACCTCACCCACGGAATTCAGCTTTTTAATTCACGTTTGAACCAAAACTGCAATGAAGTCAGGAGTCATGTGGCCCTGGCGCAACTCACACAGGATGTCAGTAAGCAGGTTAATGCTAAGTGCTGCTTGATAGTACTGTTGACGACACCTTCTGACGATTGAGGACAGGTTGATGCAGTGGTAATCGGCTGGGTGGGATTTTTCCTGTTTTTTGTCTATAGGACATACCTAGGCAATTTTCAATATAGTCAGGTAGATGCCAGTATTATGTACGCTTAGGAATAGCTTGGTTAGGGGGTGGCAGGTTTTGGAGCATACAATACAATTGCTATAATGTTGTCAGGATCTGTAGCCGCTGTAGTATTTCTTCATATCACATGCAGTGGATTGAATTGGCCAAAGACAAATCCATGATGCTGGAGACCTCTGGTGGAGGCTGAGATAGATCATCCAGTTGGTACCTCTACCTGAGGCTGACATGAACGCTTCAGCCTTGTTCTTTGTGCTGGGCTCCCCCAACTATTTAAGATGGGGATATTTGCGGAGCCTTCTTCTCCAATGAGTTGTTTATTAGTCCACCACCGATCATGACTGGATGTGGCAGGACTGCAGAGTTAGTTTGGCTTTGTTGTTTGTGGAATCACTTAGCTCTATCACTTGCTGCTTATGTTGTTTGGCACACAAGTAGTACTGCTTGTACCTTCACTAATTTTCAACTTCTCATTTTTAGGTATGCTTGGTCCTGCACTCTTCATTGAGCTACTGTACACTGCAGGCCCACAGAGGGCTACCCAGCAGCAAGTCCACACTCTTGGAAAGACAGAAGCTGCAGTTGTGCAGAACTCTCAATATTAAATGTTGTGTTAGGCAGGATCCTGTGCTCATTTCTGAAGCTAGACTTGAAGCAACATGTTCTGCTTAATTGTTTATATTGAGGAATCTAATAAGTGATGGAAGTATGACTTCATAATACTTTATTAAGATGATAATAAGCAAAGTATTTTTGAACAGAATTACAGAGAAAGACTATTATTATGGTGCAGGAAGCCATTTGGCTCATTGTGCCTGCAGGCTCTATTATCTAGCAATAGATAACAGAGTAGGCTAATCTCCTCCCTTTTCCCCATATCATTCACAACATTTGTATCCAAAAAAATTCATTGCCCTCTTGAAAGCCTCAATTGCACCTGCCTCTGCCACATTTCCAGACAGTGCATTCCATACCCTTACAACTCATGGTGTAAAAGTAGCTTGGTCTCACAGCACCCTTGCTTCATATGCACATCACTTTAAACATCGAACCTAAATTCTTTGCCAATGTACTACTGTAGTGGATGTCAAAACCTGATAGTTTTTGCATTAACTCCCTCAAAAGCCCTTCAATCTATGCATAAATCATGAACCTGAGTGTACAACTTCTATTGGTCCGTATCCTTTTTTGTCTTTTATGACTTTCCAAAACTGGAAGATGTAATAACTGGCTGAAGCACTGGCAATGTATTGTTACATTATATCAATCTATATACTGATAATGCACACACATTAGAAACAATACTTGGGGAAGTCTTAGTTGTAGCAGGCCGCTTGTACCTGTCTGTGAATAATCTTTTCTCCCAAATCTTCCCAGAGGTGTTTGAGCTCAGTCAGTGGCTGCTGAATTACGTCACGGTCCGTTTCATCTGAGGCTCTCTTAAGCAGTAGCTCCCCCTGGTGGTTCAATTTTTCCATCTCTATTTGCTGCTGATAAACCTCCATTTTAAACTCCTGTGGAGTGTAAGTGCAGTGAGAAAGTATTATTCATTAGGACACGTTAAATATCAACATATAAAATTGTAACAAAGTTAAAATAAAAGCCACGTTATGATGCCTTTCCTTTCCGACCTAGTCCACCAGCTTTTGCACCTCAACTTAAGATTTTGGCACGCTACTTTAGTATAGGTTTGTGGACATGGGTACAGTGCCAAATGATACTTCAGATACATGTGTAAACAGTAATGTCAGCAGCTACCAAATGAAAAGGACAGTTGACTCTACACTCAGAATATGATCCAATGGCTCTGAGGCACATCGTACGGCCACTGCTAAATTGCATAAATTGGCCAAGTTAACCAACGCTGCTATCTAATGATGGATATTAGGTACCCTTTTCAACCCATTAAAAGAAATGAAAGTTTATTTTAGATAAAAACCAAGATGAAATGTATGTGAATCAACGAAAAACAGTAGAAGTGGATAACTACTTTTGTTTTGTACTGTTGATTCCTTCTAATGGTTTGCGTATGTTGCATGTTATTTTGCTGTATATTAACCCACCTTCATTTCGTTTATTTGTTGTTTCACAGTGTTGATGTCTGTGCCAACTGGAGACATCTCGCCAAGTTTTATCACAGTATTATCCAGCCAGTCAAACATTGCCTAAACATCACAGCAGATCAAGAAATATTACTCAAATTAGTACTTCATTCACATATACAAATGATGCTATGCAGAACACTCCTTACTTGCAGTGAATCTTGGTATTGCACAGCTGCCTGCATGACCTCACCCAGTTTGTCCATCCGCTCTTTCCATGCTTTGTTCAGGTTATCCCATGCATAATTGAGCTAGAAATAGTGGAGATAGAATCCATTAGAAAGGAAACATGGTGGTACAACAACAAATTCCACCTACGTTGCATCTTCAGTGTGTTTCAAAGAAGCAGAATTTGATAAAACAAGACACTTGAGGTGATATTGGGCTGGGAGCCAAAAATCTGGTCAATGAGATAGGTTTTAGGGAGTATCTTAAAAGTAAGAGAGGTGAAAAGGTTTAGGGAGGGAATTTCAAAACTTAAGAGCTGTGGTAGATAAATGCATTACTACCAATGGTCAAATGAAGAAAATTGGGAATATGCAAGAGGCTGGAAATGGAGGAATTCAAAGATCCAGAAGGTTTGTCAAACGGGAAGGAATTACAGAAAAAAAGTAAAGGAGTAACACTGCCTGAAAATAACCTGCATAATCTAATGCTTCCTACTCACTTGTCCATTTTGTATTCAATGAAACTCACTCAATTTATTCATAATTAACAAACCATCAAAATACCAACAAACTGTTCATGTGACAGACCAGTTTATCAGTATGCTACAAACTTTACTCATAGTTTAACAAGTAATAAATTGAGCACCCTTCCTTACATTTAGTGCTTCATCATAATTATTATAATTCCTTTAAGGCTTAACTCTATAAACCAAGAATTAACTTTTTTCATTCAGCCAGCCATTTGACAGGGAGCTACATGCAAATGTTCATTATGTCGCATGACATGTTATGGTATCATCAACAGTACCATTGTTGTTGGAAATATTGTATTGCTTTTATAATTAAATATATTTTGATATTCAATTAGCAAAACAGTCAATTGATGAGACACTTGTCTCATGCTCATTAATGTCTCAATCAAGTTCTAACAAACTGGTATCATTGAAGCTCTGAGCTGGATTAAGGCATTTGGCCATTTGACCCTTCAAGTCTGCTCCTTCATTTGATATGACTATCGTTGATATTCTCTCTCAATCCCACGTTCTCCACCATCCCCTTGAAGTCTTTAAAATCTAGAAACTTATCTCTTTCTTTCTTGAATATATTCAGTGACTTTGCCTCCATAGCCTTCTGTGGTAGAGAATACCAGAGGTTCACTACCCTTTGAGTGAAGAAATCTTACCTCATCTCAATCCTAAATGGTCTAACTCCCACCCTGAGAATGGATCTTCTGATTCTAGTGTCCCTAACCAGGGAAAAGATATAGAAACCTTCTCTGATGAAGGGTCTAGGCCCGAAACATCAGCCTTTCTGCTCAGCCTGCTGTGTTCATCCAGCCCTGCACCTTGTTGTCTCAAAAGATATAGAAAGTTCAGCACTGTTTGAATTTTGTATGTTTCAATCAGATCCTCTCCCATCCTTTTAAATTCAAGTGCATACAAGCCCAGTTGAACCAATCTCTCTTTAGAGGACAGGCCTGCCATCCCCTTTGTTCGGCTATTGAACATCTGCTGCACTCTGTCTGTGGCAAGTATACCCTTTCTAAGGTAGGGAGACCAAAACTGCACACAATAGTCCAGGTCTTACCAAGACCTTGTAAACTGTGGTAAGACATCACCCTTTCTGAATTCAAATCCTCTCAAAATAAAGGTCAATAAACAATGTGCCTTCCTCACTGCTTGCTGCAGCTGCCTGTCTGCTTTCATTGACTGGTGTACAAGGACACCCACATCCCTTTGTACAGCCACACTTTCCAATATATCACCACTTAAATAATATTCTGCCTGTTTTTTGCACAAAGTATATAACTGCACATTAAGCAACGCAGTGCTGGATCTGTCAATAAGACCATAAGACATAGGAGCAGAAATCAGGCCGTTCTGCCCATCGAGTCTGCTCCGCCATTCAATCATAGCTGATAAGTTCCTCAACCCCATTCTCCTGCTTTCTCCCTGTTACCCTTGATCCCCTTGATAATCATAAGACCATAAGATACATTTGCCCACTCACTCAACTTTTTAAAATCACCTTGAAGTCTCCTTAAATCTTTCTCACAAGAAACAATGCTGCCCAGTTGTCTCACCAGCAAATCTGGAAAAGGTGCATTTGATTTCCCTCATCCAGGTAATTTATATGCATTGTAAATAGTTAGGGTTCTTGTGGTACTCCACTAGCCTCTGCCGGCTTTTTGTGTAAAGACCCATTATTCTCACTGTTTCGTATTTCTCAACCCATGCAAATATATTATCCCCATCCCACATACTTCAATCTAGAACATGTTATTACTTATTCATCATTATTTCAAATAATATTTTACATGCATGCAAACATAATTAATAGCAGGAGTCAGCCATTTAGCCCTCGAGCCTGCCCCACCATTCAGTAAGATCATAACTGATCAGATTTTAACTTCAAATCCCACCTACCCAACAACTTTTCCACTCGTTGCATAACAAAAATCTATCCACCTCTGTCATAACTTGAGCACTCTGCTTTCACCACCGTTTCAGGAAGTGAGAGTTCCAAAGCCTCTCAACCTTTAAATTATTTTGCCTCACCTCTGTTTTAAATGGACAACCTTCGATTGTTAAGTAGCGACCCCATGTCATTTATGTAAATTGCAAACAGTTGAGGTCCCAGCACTAATCCATGTAGCACACTACCCGTTACATCTTGCCAACTTGAATAAGATCAATTTATTCATGCTCTCATCCTCCGGTTAGCAAAGCAATCTTCTATCCATGCCAAGGTACTACACCTATACCATGTGACTTTAGTTTCTGTAATAATCTTTGATGTGGCACATTATCAAATTCCTTCTGGAAATCTAATTACAGTATATCCATTAGTTCTGCTTTATCAACAGCACATTACCTCCTCAAAAGAACTCCAACTGACTGGTCAAATATGATTTATCTTTCACAAAACCATGTTGACTCTGCCCGATTACTCTGATCATATCCAAGTACCCTGCTATAAAACTTACTTAATAGTAGCTTCTAACATTTTCTTTATGAAAAATGTTAAGCTAACTGACCTGTAGTTTCCCGTTATCTGTCCCCCTACCTTTTACAACAAAGGAATTATTTTCACTATCATTCAATCTAATGGGATTATGACTGGATCAAAGGAGTTTAGGTAAGTTAAAAACACTGCATCAATTGCCTCACTAGCCACTTATTTTAAGACCAGAATGAAGGTGATCAGGATGCAGGCACTGCAGCTCCAGCAATTTTCTCAGCATCACTTCTCTGATGATTTTGAATTTTCTGAGTTGCCCTCTCCTTTCTACATCCTGATTTATCATTACTTCTAGGATGTCACTTGTGTCCTTTGTACTGAAGACTGATACAATATACCTGCTCAATTCATCTGCCATTTCCTTACATTCCATTATTAATTCTTCAGTCTCACTTTCTACAAGACTAATGCTCACATTACAACTGTCTTCAAATATTTATGGAATCTCTTAATATCTGTTTTTATGCTTCCGGCTAGCTTTCTCTTGAACTCTATTTCCCCTCTATCAATTCTTTGATCATTCTGTGCAATCTTTTAACCTGCCACCTGTTTGCTCTGGCCAGCTCTGCTCTCATGTCCTCATAATTCCTCTTAATAATGTTTAAAAAAAATAGTTAAAGTGCTCCTCTCTTTCAAACTGAATGCAAAATTCAATCATTTTATGGTCTTTATTACCTAGAGGCATCGTCGCTATGATGTTATTAGTTAACCCTAGGTGATTGCATAATCTTACCTCATCTATACTTTTCTTTACTTCTGGTTTTTCAAATTCTCCACAAGCAAAGATGAGATCCGCTCCCAGGATTCGTACAAATTCCAGCTCTTCATGGAGTCCATCTGTCTCCTCTTTAATTGTCTGAAATCGACAGAATATTACCTGAAAATTGTTATTAATCCTAAGCAGCTCCCACTTTACAATCTATTGTTTTAGAAAACCACTTTTTTGTGATTTCAGTCAAGACAAATAAATAAATAAATAAATATTTAGAGCATACTTATAACCGATTTATGAGAACAATAAAAATTTAATATTTGACCCATGTCCATACCTCTGCCGCCTCTTGCTGTTGTTTAATGATTGAGGGGTCAATACCAGGACTCTCCAGGTCTCTCACTATGTCCTGTGTGTCCTTAATGGTGGTCAGCAAGGCAGCCATGTCACACCAGAACTTTTCAGCCAGATCAAGCACATCCAGAAGTTTAATCTCTCTCTCTTCACCACGACTTTTGATATCTTCCCAGTAAAATACCATCTCATCCAATTTGTCTTGAATGGCTAAAGAATTACAGATTGGAAGAAAGTGAGCTAGAATATTTAAGATGTTCCTGTACCTGATTGATGGTCACAGAAGGATCAAACACTGCCAGAAAAGAAGCCATCAGAGTAGGGAATAAAGGGTAATATTTTATATATTAAACTCTTTGAAAACTGACTTTTCAGCGGAGTTTGATAAAGCTGACTGTTTAGAACCCGATCCAAATTGAGTCAGTTACTCCTCAACTGTGCAAGAACAGGAAAGAACTTTGATCATTTGTATTAGACAAGTTGTATTAAAATTACTGTTACAATTTGTTGGAAGTAACAATCAATATACTTGATGTCTCTATGTCAAATATGGAAGTGAAATTACTGCAGCCTTTGACAACTAAATTTGTTCAGATACATTCTGTTCAGTCCAAATACAGCAGATGGACATCCCCAACCAAAGGCAGCATGATCTCTCTTTTTTGATAATATTCCAATCCAATGAAGAAGTGACCAAAATCAGCATGAAAAGAAACAGATTATTCAAAACTAATACAGGTCCCTTACAGTTTGAATCAGTAGAATTGATAATGGAGAACAAGGAATTGGCAGGTCTATTAAACAACTATATTAGTTATGTCTTCACATGGGAATACTCAAATAATTTCCCAGAAATGCTAGGTGAGCAAGGGTGTGTTGTGAAGGATGAACTGAAGGCGATCAGTATTTGCAAAAACAAAATGCTGAAGAAATTAACTGGACTGAAAGTTGATAACTCCCCAGAGCCTGATAAGCCATATCCCTTGGCACTGAAGGTGGTGGCCAGGTAGTGCATTGGTTGTCATATTACAAAATTCTGTAGTCCCAGTAGATTGGAGAATGGAAAATGTAACCCCCACTACTTAAAAAATGAAGGATGAAGAAAACTGGGAATAACAGATTGGTTGGCCTGATATCAGCAGTTAGGAAAGTACTGGAGTCTATTATAAAGGATGCGCTGACAGGACACTCAAAATACCAGTGGGATTACACAAAGTCAGCATGGATATATGAAAAAAAAATCTTGCTTGACAATTCTTCTAGAATTTTTTTGAAGATGTAATTAGTGGAATAGAGAAGGGTGAACCAGTGGATGTAGTATATTTGGACTTTTAAAACCCCGTTGATAAAAGGTCCATTTAAAAGGTTAGGGTGCAAAATCAAAGCATACAGGATTGGTGATAACATACTGATATGGATTGAGAATTGGTTAGTAGACAGGCAACAAATGACAAGTAGGAACAAATGACTCTGGGATGGAATGCACAAGTAGAATATTGCAAGGATCAGTGCTTGGCCCCAGTTACACAACATCTATCATTGATTTGGATGAGGGAAACAACTGTAATATTTCCAAATTTGCTGATGATACCAAAATAGGTGGAGAGGAGGATGTAAGGATGCTTTAAGGATACTTAGACAGTTTGAGAGAGTGGGCAAATGCATTGCAGTATAATATGGTTAAAATGTGAAGTTATTCTCTTGGTAAGAAAGCCAGAATTGCAGAGTATTATGTAAATGGTTATAGATCAGCAAGTGTCAATCTACAAACAGACCTGGCTGTACTAATGTCCTTTAGGGAAGGAAACTGCCATCCTTACTTGGTCTGGCCTACATGTGACTCCAGACCCACAGCAATGTGGCTGACTCTTAACTGCCCTCTGGGCAATAAATGCTGCCTGGCCAGCAACACCCTCATCCCGTGAATGAATAAAGAAAAAGAAACTTGTATACCAGTCATTAAAAGAAAACATGCTGGTACAGCAAACAGGAAATTAAACAGTAATGTGGCCTTCGTTGCAATTTGAGCATAGGAGCCCGGAAATCTTAAGCTGTAGAAAAATTAATGTATCACATCTGGAATATCATGTGGTATATATCAAGAAGAGAGATATACTTTTGCAGGGGAAGTGCAGTGAAGGTTCACCAAATTGATTCTTGGGATATCATACGAGGAGAAATTGAGTTGACTGTATTATATTCACTTGAGTTTATAAGAATAAAAAGGGATTACACTGAAATGTAAAATTCTGACAGAACTGGACACACTGAATGACACTTACTCTGGATAGGGGGTCCCGAACAAGAAATCCCAATCTCAGGATGTGTAGTAGGCATTTCAGAGTGAGATGAAGAAAGGTTTCTTCACTGAGAAGACAGTGATTCTATGAAACTCTATCGCAGAAGGTGGAGGAGGTCAGGTCACTGAACAGATTTAAAAAAGACAGATTCTACATGCTAAGGGTGTCGAGGCAGAGTGATACAGTCCAGGATCATAGCATTGAGATACCAGATGAGCCATGATCCTGTTGAATTGTAGGCTTGCTTGGCTGAATAGCCAACTCCTATTTTCTATGTTCCTATGACACATATAAAGAACTCTTTCAATTCTGATAGGCCAGCTCCATCACAATATGTGGGTTACTCCAGGACATCCAGTACATTCCAGCACAAAACACTGACGTAGCCATAAATGCCAAATTAAGCCTAGGTTATCAGTCATTGCACCTTTTTGTAAATAAAACTTCTGTTGCACAAATCAACTGTCTATATTAGACCAGTGACTATATTTCAAGAACAATTAATTGATCATATCTAACTTGTATGTTCTGAGTTGGCGTTAGGCACCGTACAAAATGAAACTTTTTTCCATTCATTTATGTTTCCTGAATTGAGTGCAATACAAATTTGAGGCAAAAGTAAATACTGTCATATTAACACCAAGTTTTTAAAAGACGTTCTCAGAGTATCCCAAAGCATTTTACGGTAATAAATGATAACATTTCAGTCACCTGACTCCTGAACAATGGACTGCAAACATTTAACATTAGAGGGATGGATTTTAATTTTGCTTTAAACATTTGAGAAATAGATTCATATATTGGAAACAAATCGTTAAATTGTTTATCATTAGGTGGGCTTGCAAAACCTGATACCAGCCATTACAATGGTGATTAGTCTTGTTGTTATGTATGAACTCAAAACTTAATGTTCAATACCTTTAGCTGCAGGATCTTCATCTGCTCCAGATGACCGTCCAATCAGTTCCTCACCACGACGTTTAAGAGCTTCAAAAGATGGCTGAAGTTTTTCAAGCTCCATTGCAATATTTTTGTTCTCATTGATGTGCTCTTTGATTTTCTCAACTTCAGCTGGTATTGATGGTGGCATCCGCATCCGATCAACAACGTGTTCCAGAGACTCTAACATCGGATCAATCTTATCATGGAACTAAACAGATCATAAATAAGAGGAAGTGCAGTTAACATTGTTTTAGATAAGGATGATTCTGAGAAAATTTCAATGTGCAGCAGAAATTATCAGTGCAAACTTGAATGAAGCAATGAGTAGCACACTTTTTTTTGTTGGAAGTTTTCTGGATCGTGTGCAAATACATTTTGATGCAAGAACAAATTTTATGACAAATGACTCATGAGGGATTGCACAGTTTAATTCATTTAATAAGGCTAATTCACCTCGATTTTCAAATGAATTTCTACGATTCTGAAACCATTAGAAATAAAAACATGGAATTATTGGAATAGAAACAAAAACTTTGACACTACAACTTAAACAAAGCACAGTCTACAAAAATAGTCACACATTCAATATCAGTTGCATTGTATATTTGTATTTGGAGTAAGGGCAATTTATTCTGAGTAAACAGACTTGTCATTTTTCTTGCGGCATTTCACTCTCGTTTAACTTGAGCTATTGAAAGATTGGACTCGAGATGAATAAAATTGTGCTGTAGTCACAAATCAATGGTTGATTATCTACTCTGAATGTGAATAATCCACAAAAAATTAAATTCATTGTTGAAAATTACATTCTTATCCAGGCGCATGAAAAAAACAAAGCTTGCACCAATAAATCTGCAACAGAATATAAATTTAGCTAATGATGTAATTTAGTTAATTTGGTATTGTAAATGCTTGAATTTTTTTTTATAATTTTGCACCTTATCAAACTAAAAAGTGGAAGACTACTTATAATTACTTATTTTGTTGACTTCAACAAATACAATTAACACTACTCACATGCATCATTCAAAGATTAAACAGAAATTTATTTGACTCATCAGAAAAGAATTTAAACAAATCCCCTGAATGAAGCTAATTCTTTTAATGTGTGACAAAATTTAAGCTATTTTACTTAAAAGCAAATGTCCCAAAGCTTCAAAATGCTGAATTACATTCTAGATCTTGCTTATCAACTTATGAGACCTATTCCATACATTAAAATCACGTGAATAACTGAACAAGCACTAAATATAGCTGGAGGTCAGCTCAAATGACAAACAGGATTGGGAACATGAACAACTTTTTCAGAGATATAAATACTATTATTATAGTTCCATTGAATCATATCACAGCGTAGTCTGGTTTTGTAATAACTAGTTATTATACTAGTCTTGAAAAATTTCTTTTCACTCAAACTAAAAGTTAAGTTAAACTCACATGGTTGGGAGGAAACTACTTTCTCATATGGCTACAGAGGTCCTAACTTAAACTAAGTTGAGATCGCAATCATTTAAGAAGTGGCAGGTATTCACGTTTCAGCATTACTTTGACAGTTATGCTCAGACAGGCAATCAGGTGAGAAGTGGAAATGGAATGATCAATCTGGTGGAATACAACATTTTTGAAGTTGGACTCAGGCATATCATTAGACTAGCTGAGAGGTATGTTTTAATCTAATCTGGATACTGCATTAGAATTAAAAAGGAGAAGTCGCTCAATAATATAAAAACAGGCCAAGAACCAAAAATGCTAATTATTTTTAAACAAAAATGGCTGTTGTCAATTACAGTGATGCAAAAGAAACAATTTTAAAAACAAACAAATGTATTTGGTAAAATACAGCAAAGTTGAACCCACAACTATCCTTTAAATAAGTGGGCTTTCAGAGTAGCTGTCACTATAAATTGTGTGTGCACTGTCCAGAGGCTGTCAAAGTTTCAGGTAACTGATTTCTAGTGACAGATACAAACTAAAATGGAAGAGCAACCCTAAAGTGCGGCAGTCGATTTTCCAAGGAGCTCTGCTTACCTCAGCATGCTAATGAGCAGATGATGAACACAACAATTAAACACAACGCAGCAGGTGGTGTCGGCAAATAAACATTTAATTCCACGAGTTGAGCGGAATGGAAAACAAATGACAAGTTAGTATGAAAACGCTATGAAGGGGGAACACAAGGGAATGCATCGAAAGAGACAAATATGGAAGGGATACACTTTACAAACATTCCTGATGCTTATGACGTGTGAATCTGCATGTCATAACATTCTCTCCATTCTGCTGTACTCATTCCTGCTCTATGCTGCTTCCATCACTCTTAATTCCCACTAGAATACCATGTCAAACAGAGCTCTGGATGACTTTATCAACACCACTGTTGAACAGAGTAACCAGTAAGCAAGTATGAATAATCAACTATATGAAGAAATGTGTCAACTTAGAGAAGAAAATGGGCACACAGTCATTTCCTCACAGGATGTGACTTGCAAACAAAGTGCAATTCATCATGGAGTTGCTAACTAGGAATGCTCCCTTCATTCATCAAAATTCACCAACATTTCCATTTATTGTCAATTAATTCATCATTCACTGCAAATTCTTACCTTACATCTTACTTTGTTACTGTTCCTGATGGTTGTGAAACCAATCAAAAGGTACAGTAACTCTAGTAGTAGAATATTTTCAAACAATATTACTGGTGTTGTCAAGGAGATGCCTGTAACCTAGACTAGCCAGCATTCTGCTGAAGCAAGCATTATATTAAGTAGTGACAGCGACGGAGAACCAATAAGAATATAAGGAAAGATGATTCCTTTTTCATAAACAAATGAATACCCTTGAAAAAATCCCCATGCAAAAATCTAGGATCACCGGAGTACCTGAGCAGACTGAGAAATTGCTTCATCCAAAGCCAAAGCCCGCTGTCTCGCATCCTGCTTTATTTTAGCATAAAGTTCTTCAGCTGTGGTGTATTTTTCATGAACCATTTTACCCTCATCAGAATTCAACACCATCAACTGAGGGCCAATCTTCATCAATTTATCAATATGAGGCTTGTGTTCAGAGATTGATTCACGGAGTTGCTGTTAAGGAAAAAAAAAACAGATCTCAAATTTGAAAGAATTCTAAATACACAGTGATCTGAAATGACACCTCTGGAATCATATGAAACAAAATACCAAAAAGGGCAAATTTGGCACTTTGTGCTTCACAGGTGGGCCACACTCACAGTCTGTGTTGGTACATAACTACAATACTTAACAAATAACATTAGACAATTTGGTCCTTTGATCCTGCTCTGCTTTCATAAGATCTTCTACCTCAGTCACACTTTTCCACGTTATTCCCATATCTCCATTCCACGAATATCAAAAAAAAGTGTCCATCCCTACCTTGAGTACACTGACAATTAAACATCCACAGCTTCCTATGATGTAGAATTCCAAACGCTCACAAACTTTTAAGCAAAGAAATTTCTTATATCAGATCTAAATGGCCATGGCTTATTCTGAGACCGTGAGCTATCCCCTCTAAGATTTTTGTTTTGTATAACTTATTCATTTGAATACATGATAAGTTCAAACATTTTTGTGCATTTGCTCACACATGGTATTTTAGAAGTGACAATTTGTGAGCAACCTGAACGGCCCTTTCAGATTGCTGTGTGGCTATGAGCATACACAGCTTGTAGGAAACATGTAACCCCTAATATAGATGCGCTAGGCAAGTGAGAAATCCTTTCTGGAACTATCCTGTTAAACCTCTGAAGAATTTCAGTGTTTCAATTAGGTCACATCAAATTCTTCTAATCTCTCAAGAACAAGCACTTATATGCAATTTATCCTCTAAGGAAAAGTCTCTCACCCAAGGAATTAGTCCAATGAACGTTCACTGAACTTCCTCCAAGGAATATGCATTCTTTGAGGCAAGGAGACTAAAGCTGCACATCGCACTCTCAACATGGTCGAAGAGACTGTACAACTCCAGCGTGACATCTTGTACATCAATTTCTTTGTTAATAAAAGCAAACACATCATCGGTGTTTCTGTTGTGGCTAGGACTTTAAATGTTAATTAAGCTGTCTTTGGCTGGGTTTCTTCAGTCTTGGGAAAACTGGAAGCTGCAGTGAGCTGAGGTGAGCATCAGGAAGCATTCCTTGTTGGCTGGGTGAAGGAAAAGCATCATCTCCCTAGCTCTTTAAGTTCACCCTCACCATCACAACTTTATGAATCCATCCCAGGATCAGGCACTCCATCCCATTTCCAGGCTCAGGGTTTTGGGATTGGAATGATGCAACCTTCTCTCGGGTCAGCAATTAGAATGACCTGACCCTGCAGCTGCTTCTTCAGGGTGGTCCACCTGACTGGAAACCAAGCCCACCAAATCAGATTGCCCTTAGAGCATGGAACCTCAAGAAATGTGAAAGACTTCAGCAGTCCCAGCATTGGAAATTTAAAGTCCTTCCCTTTTTGGTAGTTCTAATACACTATAGTCACCTTTTTCCTTCCTTTGTTACTGACAATACCACACACAGTGAAAATGCACAGACAACACAGAATGTTCCCTCATCTCCTGTTGTTTTCTTTCAATCCCAAATGGCTTACTGGTTTCAATGGAGATTCTGGTAACCTGAACTGCAAAGGTATGTATACACTAAAGAACGTAAGGGAATGGACACATCTACACTTAAATAAAAGAAAGAGGTTCTGAAACAGTCATGCAAGACTCAAAACATTAACTCTGTTTCACTCTACAGATGCTGCCAGATTTGACTTTCTCCAGCATTCTGTGTTTGTGTCACAACTTGATTGTCCATTTATCCTTACCCTCATTTCTTCCTGCTGTAGTTTCAGCATCTCATGATCAACAGCTGGTGGTGGGAGTTGTGATATCAGGCTTCTGGTCTCATCAAGCCAAGGGCACAGTTCCTCATGTGTTTCCCAGAATTGGTTAATAAGGACTTGAGCCCGCTCCAATTGGGAGTACCTTTCAGTGTTCATTAGACTGACTGTCTCGTACTGTTGCTGCAACAACTCCATTTTCTCCTATGTGGATTTGTGTATACATAGATGTACATATTTTAGATTAATTATCACAGGATCCCCTTTCAATATTCAAGGTCTTGATTGACAATTTTACATGGTTTATTAAAAATTTCATAAACAGTAATATTTCTGTCTTATAGCATGCAAATAATTATTCATTTGTGGAAGTAAATATGCACATTTCACAACTTAATAAAAAGTAAGTGTCTATGCATAGTTATAAACATTCATTCTGTGGCAGGCCATCTGCAGAAATACTGAAATAATACCTGCAACGTTGTTTTCTGCTCGTCACCACAGGTACTTAGAATTTCTTCTTGAGTGTTTAACAATTCATCTATTGAATCCTTGTGCCTTATGATGTCTATTGAAAAGGCCTAAAGACATTAAAAAAAACCTTAAAAATGGAAATGCAACACTGTATGATCTCCAGTGCCAATAATGTATATGGCGTGTAACTGTCTGCAGTCCCTACCTTCAACATAGCTCAGATCATCATGTTTCATCCTGTTATGCTGACATGATGGATACAAAGTCATGGGTGAGTGAACTCTAGCTAAATAAAATGGAAGTTCAGGACAGCCAGAGAATTGTAAACTGCTATGCAAATGGAATGGACATGAAATGCAGCGTTTATTACTGCCTATTTTGGACGAACAGGTGGTCAACTGGTTTGTAAATTACATTATATTCCAATTATCCTCAAATTTCAGCTCTTCAAATAAGAACGATTTATGTATAGATAGAAAGACCAACTGGAATTTAACGGTTGTTTAAGGAGATCAAACATTCACTGGACATATATAAGAATTTGATTAGCTCAGTTTGTCCAGGAGTTTGGTCTAAAATTGTTTGCGACAGCATGTATGCAGTGTAATTAATACCATCAATACCCTAGTACACTATGGAGGAATAAAGGGAAAAAAATAATTTATAGCCTACTCATTGACATATCCTTAAAATGGTACATGAACTTGCTTTCAGTAGTTAAAATTCATTCTACAGAATCCAATTTTAGATTGAATCCTGAATTTTAATCTACCACTGAAACAGGCATCTTAGTTAATGAATGAAAGGTAGGCGCATTACCCATTACATAGTTCAAACTAACTTGAATTGGGTGGCAATCATTAGATTGTTTTTCCTCTGTTTTGAATTGAGCTGAATCTCAAAAAAGGTGAGAAAGAGGAACAGCTGTATCAGAGTTGTGAACAAAGCGGAAGGAATTAAACTATTTTAGCAGTGGTAATTGGCTACATAATTCCTTTTTCTTATAACTGTTTTCAATATTATTCCATTTTCTCTTCCTTTCTCTTGAAAGTATGACTTTTGGTTAGAGGGGAGAAATTGGTGAGGAAAACAAAACTAATCAAGACAAAATAAAGTGACCAATATAAATCTTTTCTTCCCCCAAAAGATTTAGCACACAACATGAATTTGCAGCAATTAAGATTGCAGCGTAAGTGTACATAATATGGAACAGTAGCGCATTTTTTTTTAAAAAAAAAAAAACCCATATAAATGGATTATATCAGAAGGGAGTTCTGAATCACTTCGTACACATCATTCCTACCTTCTGCACCTGAAGTTGAGCTGTTGTCTGATCTTGTTCGAGCCTTATTGGGCCCAGGGCTGTCAACTTTCGCATGGTTTCTGCCACCCAGGTAAGCTCGGAGTCAGCAGCCTGCTCATACTAGCAGAAAGGAGAAGCAGCACGGAACATTAAGGAAACAAAGCAGACACACGGCTTTAGACAAAAACACAAGGACAGAAAAAAAGCAGAGCTGCAATCGGAACGCAGGTAGTGCCAGAAAAATCAGAGATTAATCCCTCTGGCTCACATATTAACTGTTGCTTATAGCAATTTCACAACTTTTCCTAACAGCACACAAGTCCACCACAGCAGTGTTAAACCTTAGACTTGTTCAGTGCAGTTGTAATGCACAAAAATATATTGCTAGATTCAGTCCATTTTAAAAATCTAGCTGCGGCTAAAGATATTAAACACAGCAACATTTATTTTGCTAAAAAAGATAATTTTGTTGAACCTTTTCACCTTACACTTATCAGGACAATTCACAAGAAATACCAGTATAAAAGGGAAAACATTAAGATTGGCCTTAACTTGCAACCTTGTAAAATGGGGCTTGAGCCATTCATTCACTGTGCAAGCTTGCTGTCTACATAGGATGCATCAAAGCCACCTTTGGACAACTCTGATCAAATGATTTCTTGGTGCATAACTGATGAATAGACCAAAAGCCTTCAATATTGGTAGCCCTGGAAAGTGCTCTACTTTAGATATCTCTAGAAGGTAACTGACCAAGAAGTGAAGGTGACTACTTGATGCTGCTATTATCCAGTCGCAATGATGTTTGGCACTAATAGAATACTGCCATTAAGCTAAAAAGAAGTTCAACCTACTACACAAATATGGTATATGGAGAAAGATGGACTACCTTAAAGCTGGACTCACCTTCCAAAAGGGAATCAAGAAACTACTGCGTGCTCGGTTTCACAGAGGCATAGTCGATTCCTTCTACACCTGACTGTGCCTTACAACCTGAGGGCTTCTCAGTTCACTGAATAGACCACTTGACATCCTCAGGCAAAGCAAGGGGTGGTGGGGGGGGGGTTCTGCCTCCTAATCAGCACCATTTTGTACTCAGATGTGTTGACTCTGGTGAGTTACTGCTCCCTGGACGTAGAATATCTCAGTGAATTGCTGTTCCTACTACCTGCCACACGAGTTCATCTCCACTATCCTGACAGCGGGCCACATCCCACCACACACAGAAGTGAAGCTGTGCACTTGATGAAATGTACAAGGCTACAGTTTTGAGATGGAATACCCCAGGCCTTGTTCATTGTAACGAGTGACTTGAATCAGGCCAACCTCAAGAATGTGCTACGAAAATATCATCAAGTCTCCTGTCCCAACAGAGGTGTGATCATCCTTGACCATTGCCATACAACCAAAGATGACTACTATTCCACCTGCTGTTCGCATTTTGGAAAATCAGATCACAACTCTGTGCTCCACCTCCCAGCTTATAGACAGAAATTGAAGCACGAGGACCCAATACAGAAAGTAGTGCAGCGTTGGTCTGAGGCAACAGAAGGTCTTCTATGGGACTGTTTAGAGTCAGTGGACTGGTCCACATCCAAGAACTCGGTGGCCAACCTGAATGAGTATGCCACTACTGTTAGAGACTTCATTAGCAAGCACACAGAAGACTGCATTCTGAAGGAGTTAATCTGAATGTTCCCCCACCGGAAACCACGGATGAAGCAGCAGTTCCACTCTCTACTGAAGTCCAGGACTCCGGCAACACTGACATATACAGGAAATCCAGGTACAACCTTCATAAGGCCATCAGAGACATCAAGAGGGAGTACCAAACTAAGCTTGAGACCCAAACGAACCACATGGACACCAGTCGTTCATGGCAAGGCTTACACAACATAATGGGCTACAAAGTGAAGTTGATCAAGATCACAGGCAACATTACATCCCCATCTGATGAGCTCAATGTATTCTATGCTTGCTTTGAACAGAAGGTCAGTGAAACAATGTCACCTGGCCCAACCGCCTTGGATGCACCTGCACTCACTGTCACCGCCACAGAGACATTAGATCAGCCTTCTTGAGTGCGAGAACCCATGGAAAGCAACTGGCCCAGTTGGAGTCCCCAGCCGTACACTCAGGTCCTGTGCAGACTAGGTGGCGGGAGTATACGCTGACATCTTTAAACTCCCCTTACTTCCATCTGAAGTCCCACCTGTTTCAAGGCGATTGCCATCATCTTGGTGCCAAAGAAAAATCATGTAGCATGCTCCTATGACAACCACCCGGTAGCTATGACCTCCATAATTATGGAGTGCTTCGAGAGGTCAGTCATGGATCATTTCAAATCAAAGGTTGTCTTGATCTTTTGCAATTTGTCTACTAGCACAACAGGTCCACAGCAGGCACCATCACCCTAGCCCTACACTCATCTCCCTGGAACATCCGAATAACAATGATTCCCACGTCAGACTCCTACTTATTGATTATAGCTTTACCTTCAACACCATAATTCCAAATAAACTCATCTCCAAACTCCTATGTCTAGATCTTAGCTCCCTGCTCTGCAACTAGATCCTTGACTTCCTGACCCATAGACCGCAATCACTAAATAATAGGTGACAGCACCTCCTTCATGATAATCCTCAACACCAGTGCCCTGCAAGGCTGCGTACTCAGCTCCATACTTTACACTTGTGACTGTGGGGCCAAAATTCCAGTCTGATTCCTTTTACAAGTTTAGTGACAACACCATCGAAGATTGGATCTCAAACACTGACAACAGAGTACAGGAAATAGATTGACTGTTTAATGGCAAAGTGTAAAGACAACAATTTCTCCATCAACATCAGCAAAAGAAGTTGGTCACTGACTTCAAGAAGTGGAGTGGAGGGCACACCCCTGCTGCATCAATGGTGCTGAGGTAGAGATAGTTGAGAGCTCCAAGTTCCTAGGTGTAATTATCACCAACAATCTGGTTCACCCATGTCGACACAACAGTGAAGGAAGCACACCAACACCTCTACTTTCTCATGAGGCTAAGGAAATTTGGCATGTCCACAAAGACTCTTACCAATTTTCATAAATGCACCATACAAAGCATCTTATCTGGATGCATCACAGCTTGGTATGGCAACTGCTCTTCCCAAGAATGCAAGAAATACAGAGCGTTGTGAACACAGGCCAGTCCATCATGCAAAACAGCCTTTGATCCACTGACTCAATCTATACTTCCCGCTACCTCAACAAAATCAAAAACCCCTCCCAGCCCGGTTATACTCTCTTCCATCCTCTTCTATTGGCCAGAAGATATAAAAGCTTGAATACATGTATGAACAGATTCAAGAAGTGTCTTCCCTGCTTTTGTCAGACTTTTGAATAGACCTCTCAAATGTTAATGCTGATCTCTCTCTCTGCAGCTGTAATACTATTTTGCAGTCGGTTCTTCTACATGGTCACACTTTGCATGTTATGGTCTGCCTGTAGAGCACACAAAACAACACCTTTCACTGTATCTTTACACGTGACAACAATAAATCAAATACTGATTTAAGTTTGAACAAACCTTAGTTGTTAACTGCCAGTTGTCATCTAATTGGTACATTCTCCATGGTATTATGGACCAGATCAAACCCTCTCAAAATGTATTAAGAAAATGGTCCAGACCATAACTTTTTCCTATTTTAAAGGTTAAGGCTTTGCATCCCAGATGCAGTTCAATTGGTCAAACTACCAGGCTTTATTCATACACAATAATCAAAATAAAGATAAAATAAAAAGAACTGACTTAACTGTAACTTTATTTGTGTGTGTGCGCGTGCGCGTGTGCGTGTAAAAGCTACTACTAATTAACCATTCTAATTTGGTAACATCCCATAAACATACCATTGGCAAAGACAAATTCAGTAAAATAGATTGTGTCACTGCAATTCTAGCAGCAGGAAGAGAACCCTGACAGAGAGGAATAAGATCTACAACATCTGGCTTTAAGACCCCAGCACTACTACTGAAGGATAAAACTAAAATTAAAAACTGGTTCTGTGAGAGCTTAACACCACCCATTCAGGATGCTTCTATTGTTTCAACTTAAAAAAAAAAAAAATCAATCTTAAAGGCCTCACAAGCTGTTTACTCTACTGGCTTTGGCACTGACTGTTCAACATCTGTCTCAACCTTTCTTCAAAGAGGAAAAAAAACCAGGACAAAATGCACCTCAAAGTCATAACATTGTCACAATGTTGACACTTACACCAGGGTTCACTTGCCAACTAAATCAACACTCTTTATATACAGTATTAAATAGTTTTCTCTTTATATTGTAATTTTTTATGAGCTGTCCTGATGAATGCAAGATGAAAAATTTTGACAAAGCATGTCACTCTTTCTAGCAGTAGTCAAGTTCTGTACCAAACAACTGTTAACATGTTTCTTAATTTACTGATTCAGAAAGCAAATAAAGCAGATTAATGTTAGCTTTAAAATGAAATTTGTAAATTCAAAATGTCTGGCTGATAGGGACACTACCTGTTTTTAATTACAAGCTAGAAGAATATATTTACTGGCACTCAAAACCTGTTTAATAAAACATTTAAATGATGTTTAATTGTATTAATCGTTGACATTGCCAATATGGTGTGATTTTGATTTCCAGTGAGGATAAACAGAAAGGGACGGAGCAAAGAATATTCAGCAAGTGAACATTGTTCAAGAATTTAATCATCTCCTATGTAGCAGCTTTTTAAGACAGACTTTCCTGGTTCCCAGAATTTATTGAGTTCATTCAGCAAGTAGTGTGAACAGTAATTAGCTTCCCATTTTACTCTTTGCCTTGATTATTCTATTTTTTTAAAAAACAATTCCATGCCCTGACAATTACCTGTGTAGAGTGTACACATCTACCTTCTCTCAATGTCAGTGTGCGTTACACCTATTTACCCTATTGAACAATTCAAAACATTAAACCTTTATTGCTCTTTCCTTTGCATTTTCTCCTCCAGAGGAAATGACTTTAAACATGGGATAATACAGGTCATTTGCTGGTTTGAGTTCATTCCATGCCTTAAACACATCAATAGGGAAACTTTATAAAATTTCTCCCAATTTCTTAGAAACAAAGCAAAAAAGTGTACAATATTTATCCATCCAACAGTAAAAACTATTCTCCCCATGTTCAACTGCACTAAATTAGAAGGACCAATGAGTTTAAAATCTACTGTATAATGGAAATGATTAAACTTACACATGCTCATTCTTAAAACCTCTAATACTGCTCCCAACGATATTTATTCAATCTACACTCTTTTTGAAGTTAGCTACCCTTTTGTGAATAGTAGGTTTTCCATGAATAATACTCTCAGCATACACTCGTAGAGACTGGGTCATGTCAGAAAAGCCTGCAGTTGAGAGTTATTGGAAAAGGCACACCAATAGATGTCATTTATATGGACTTCCAGACAGCCTCTGATTGTCTTTTATGAAGGGCTATGTTAGCTAAATGTGAAATTCATGAAATGGAGGGCAAATTTATGACCTGGATAGGAAATTAACTGACAAGAAAGACAGAGGAAAGATAATGGCCAGGTACTCTAAATCAGCAGGAGGTGACTAATGGTGCCATCAGGGATCTATGTTGGGGCCTCAATAATGACAAATAAATACAATGATTTAGGTGACAGAATAGAGAACCACATGTTTAAGTTTGCCAATTGCACCTTACTGTACCTTGTGCAGATATGAGCTTAGAATTATTGAAAAATTTATAGATTAGGCAAATAGGGAGAAAGTTATAACAATTGGTTTAAAAATAGACAAAAGTGAGGACATTCACTTTGGACTTCAACAGGTTAGATCAGAATAGCCTTTAAATTGTGAAAAACGGGAAGAAATGGAAATCTAACAAGATTTAGGAATCTATGTACATAGATTATGAATATGCCACGGATAGATACAAAATATAAATCATACAAGTTATAGAAATCCATTGCTTCTGATCTACAAGACTGGGATGTATGCGCTAGGTTGATCACACACTGTGTTCCGTATTCCTTAGCACTGCTGACCTTAGTAAGGTCAAACTGCATTGCCTTCAGAGGGAGTTGCCAATTACTAGAATGATGCCTGAATCCCAAGCATTAAATTATGAATGGAATATTATACAAACTAAGGTTGCATTTCTTTTTAATATATTAAGGATGATTTGACTGAACTCTTCCAAGAATTTATGGAGAACCAAAAAGACAGAGAATCTACTTTTATTGCTTGGGAAATCCAAGACCCAAAAACAGCCTAAAAGGTTCGAGCTGAGAGTTCTGTTAATCAAAGATATTCACAGATATGGGACTAAGGCACACATACGTATCAAGTCGCAGATTTTCACAATTTCAATGAATAGTGGAACAGGCCTAGGAGTGAAATGGCTTTTTCCAAGTCCTATAACTTCAGAGCTCTACTGTGACTGAACTTGAAGTTTGCTTGAAATTTTATTTTAAACAGATATCATCTACACTAAACAGCCTCCTTGATATGACAATGAATATACTTTCTTGTAAATCTAATTGAAAACAAGAGTTGTGCAAAAGAAAGCAATTTTCCTCTGTCAGCTGCCCACACTAGCTCATGCTCATCCATGTTCAATTGGAGAGGATTAAAATCTTTTTCAGGACACATTTGACATTTAACAAAAAAATCAAACTGTGACAGTTAAACAAAGCAGCACGAGGGTTATTTAACACTTCTTGCAAGATGTCAATAATTGCAGCAAGAATGCATCAAATGTTTCTGCGTATTGGGAAATGGATTTTGATAGCAAAGTAACCCCTCCCCTTACTGCAGAACAGATTTTCTGCTCCATTGGTACACTAAAAATTTACTATGCGATGTTAATCCTACATTACTGAAGGACACTGCATAGCAAATTCAGTAAATATTGGAATTTATATTTCATTCTTCAGCAGCTTCAAAACATTTCTAGTTCAATCCTGTTAACTGCTTCAAATTTATAGACAAAAATGGAAGCCATGAACTTCGTTTGTGGAGGTTCTTCAAAAGGCAGAAGACACAAGGTTTGATCAAAGAGAAGTTCGCAAATGTGATGGCAATACATAGAATACATAAACTACAGCAAAGGTTTAATCCTTTGAGTGATTTTTAAAAAGGGCATATTTCAAGCCATGTTTTCCAATTATAGTTAATTTTATCTGCGTAATTCCAATCATATGCAGAACAGTATTCGAAACAGGAAAATAAACTGAAGTAGTAACAATGTTCTCCAGTGGAATTTAGATTAATTTTTAAAGATCTAAACAACACAATCCTTAAAGGGTTAAACAATACAATAACAAAGAGCTTCTCACAAATATGGCAAAGCGCACTTTATAGCAACTAAGTTTACAGGCAGTTATACAAGTGAAGTGTGCTGAATGCTGGTTAATGATGATGAGAGAGTTAGGATCACATAAATCACCCAACTCAAATAAATCAAAACACTCCTACACAGTGTAATAGAACATATATAAATTTTCAGTGGCTTACAAATGACTGGTGTCTGATGCTAATGAATAACTGTTTTGAAACTTTTATCCAGTGTGCAAATATGTCCAGGAGTTTATAGAACAAAACCACATTTGGTAAAATCCACCTCGCCACCCTTTGAGCTTCATGGCATTAGATTCTCCAAGCATACACTTGACATCTACCACAAACATTATTGTTAAATAGTGATTAAGCGTATAATTTAAGAAATAATACTGTACTGTAAAGATAAACTTAGTCAATCCACTATATTTGTCACTGCGGACATGACCAAACCAATTGGCACTCCTTTGCAAACTAAAAAAAATTGGTTAATAGGGTGTCAAATCAATAAAAATGTAGAGTTATATATTTACAAATAATTAAGGTACTTCTTCCCCCAATTACAGTGCTCATTTGGATTGAAACATCAAGTGATATAATTTTCAAAGTCATTCCAACTTATCGTACCATCTATTGGACGACTATGAAAGTGGAGGAAAAGATTAAATTCAGTGGAGTTAAACTCTTATGGGCATTTCAAAAGAATCAGGCACACTTGTTAAGCTCAGAGAATCCTCCAAGCTATGGAAATGTCAGATTGTCACTCAGATATATTGATGGGTAATACCATTCTTGAAATTCAATAAACTATTGCAAGGTAGGAACTTGTCTCAAATACAGAGATATATTTTTGGGCAAGGAGATCACACACAAATGTGAAACAGCTTTTGAAGTTTTGCATCATGAAGCATACATCCAATCTTTTCTCCCTACCGTGTTACTGCAAGGATTGCAGAGGTATGTCTGCAGGCAGTTGAAGCTCATATACACGTTAAAAAATCACATATTTAAAAAGTGTTTTATGATATGGTGAAGATTGCAATGGATAGTGGCACCACAACAACCTGTGTTATTTTTAAAACATTAAGCATAACTCCTATGCTATCTCACAACGCCACAAGGGAAAAAGACACCATTGAGGAAGGAATTAGCAGAGGTAAAAATGCCTGCTAAGGTAGTGAGTTTTAAGACCTATCTTAAAAGGACAATATACTCATAGAAGATAGAAGTAACTAAACCCACAAGACTTGAATAAGGGGTCCAGCAAAGAAAGGGCTGAGGTCACCATATGGCAAAGCAGGAAGTTGCCAGTATTTGTGATGCCTGTGAAATATAGGAAGAGATCAGCTCCGGGTCAAACACAATCTTTTTGAATGCGTGCTCATTATCACACATGATGTACTCAACTCTTTCCGCTGGATGCGCACAATCACATTAGGAAATGTTAGCTTGCAGGATATATGTTGGACGGGTTATTACTTGCACTGACATAGTAAAAAAAATTAAAATGTATTTTCCTTTCTTTCTTGGATTTCTCACGTTCTAATTAATTTTGGCCAAGGGAACAGTACAATTTGCTCTCACTAAAGCCAGTCTGATGTCAATCATTAGATGAAAAAGATTTATGCTCTCCCAATTTAAACCCAGGGAGAAGAGCTTTCCATCACTACTGCCCTGTCTTGTTCTCACAATTTCTTAACGAGTGTGTTCAGGGGATTGGGGTGCAATGAATTAAATTTAATCACAAGTTTATGGTAAATATTCTCGTAAGTGTGACATAATCCAATGTGTGGTTTATCCAATGTCTATCTATTGAAGCTGGTTAATGCAGACCTTCTATAACAGAAGAGTTCAAGACAGTATCTAATCTTTGTAGGTTAACCAGGTGCGTACAATTTCGCATGTACATTATATAATATCAAGTGCTTTCATTAATTGCAGAAATATCAAATTGCTATTATGAATAAATTCTCATGGTGTGATGTAGGATTTACCCACTCATGAGGCAACAGCAGTAATAAAAGACCTACAAGATGCCAACTGGTCAAAACAAAGAGCATGAAATACAGGACTAAATGGAAAGGAGTTGACTTGACATTTCATTAGCTGGATCTCCAAGGCTCAAAGCTGGGCCGATTATAATTTGGATAATCCTTCACTTCAGATATTATTGTTATAAACATCAGCTTGCAAATCCTGTATTGGCCTGTTCCCACAATTAGTGTTTGCAGCATTCAGAAGTACAATTTTACTTACTCAAGCTTCATAATGTCTGGATACATTCCTATCACAGACCAGAGGTGTTCAAAATAAGCACAGAAATGTTCATGTAAAAAAAATCCTACCTGTTGTGATCTCTGAATGGCAGCATCGATTGCTTCAACTTTCTGTGTCACAGTGTCACTCACAGTTTTGTATCGCTCATTGGCTTCTGCCACCTGGCGATCCAGACCTTCTCGTGCTCTCCATGGCACCAGTTCTAGTAATGCATTGCTCACTTCATTAACAGTGTCCAGAACCAGCCTGTACTCCATCACCTCCTTCTTCAACTCCTGATTGTTAAGAATGAGTTGAATACTCAGTTAAGCATCATTACTGCAGTCTGTAACCAAATATGTCAGGTTGCAAGAACAATAAAGTCTGAGCATATGATTCTAACTCTTATTCTCCAGATGCTTGACTGCTCCGCTCACCTTCTGTCTCTCATGAACCTGTGGAATCTGTTCTCCAACTGGTGACTGTGGAGTGCCTGCAGCAAGCTCGGCCTCTACTAAATCAAGCCAGCCACACAGTTCTTCATTAAAAGCCTGAAATTTTGTGGCAAGCTGCAGAACCTGTTCTAATGTTTTCAGTGCCCGGGAACTGGAAGCAGTAATTTCTGCATAACGGGTCTTGATACCATCCAACTTCTCCTGAATTATAATCACTTCTTCACCTGAGGAAGCAAATCAGTGAAGAAAATATTGAATAATAACCAAAGAAATAGGAAGATACAAATACTCAATATACTGATTAAAATGTTAACTTTGTTGACATAGTTTTAAAACAGTCAATCTTTAAAAGGCCAAAACATAAGTAAATAAACAAATATTTCTCAGTAGCACTAAATGTATTAATACATTCTAGCAGCAAGTCATCAATATGAAAAAAAAACTTGCAACATCTTTCTCGTAAAAGTTTATTCTCCTTTCTATTCAAAGCAAGGATAAAAATCTCCAGTTTGAAGCACTTTACAATTTCGACTTTATATCAGTGATAGGCGTTTTGCTCCATTTGTTGGACTTTCCACACATGATTTGACAGATCAAATACTGATTCATCTAAATTGATTTCAGAGTGCTTTAAATCTACTTTTCAGAACTGATTAAATGTTTAAAAAGGAGTCTGTTACTACAAAACAAACAAACAAACAACAACAATACTTTATAAAAATACTAATGTGACATGGGCTGTCACTGGCAAGGTCAGCATTTGCTGTCCATCTCTAATAGCCCTTTAGGTAAGTGGCTTGCTAGGCCCTTTCAGGGGGCCCTGATTCAAAGATATTTGCTTTTCTTGGGTGATTCAGGTCTGAACATTTTTTTAAGATCACATTTGCTTAGAAATATTAGTGGATGCACACAAGTTACTGCTGGAAGTAAGACAATGACTTCGTCGGATTACAGTACAATTTCAATTTATTTTATGTTTATGTGCATGTTACAAACAACAAGGATTTTCCTTAAAAAGGGTGTGAACAGTGGATTATCAGATCAATAAAGTGATAAATTTATGTCTAGCTTTACTTTTGGAGAAATTAATTGTATCAACCGATGATTCTGTAAATATCGATATTAAGATTTTGTTTGAAAAGAATTCCACAATAAGGAACGGGTTGAATAATCAATTCTTCCATGAGTGACAAGCATTTAATTTACAACTATATCAATAAAAACAAAGTATTTGATGTTACTGTCTATTTTTACTTCTGTCTCCACAACATGCCGTGATAAATTTAGTCTTAAAAAGATTCAACATCGGTGGAGGGGACATTACATCAAGTTACCTTAATTATGTGATTTACTAGAAATGAGTTAATGTGCAAGAAACTGTATCTCAAAACCAAATAACATTCTCACCAGAGTATATCCATTTTACACCTTCCCTGGAGCGGTGTGCGTTTTATGCATTACAAAGAGACAATTTGCTTTGCAAAGTCAAAGAGAAACTATTGCAGTTGGGATGGTACTGGTTAAAAACACTTTTTAAAAAAAAGAAATGAGAGGCAATGACTAGAAATTGACAAAAAATACGTAGTGTACGATCTTGGATAATGCAATTTTTTATCTTGTTCTCAACCTTTATGATGCCACACGGAAATTACACATAAAAGATTGATGGCTTTGCTTTGTGTGCAAAGCTAGATTTTTTTTCCAATCATTGGGACAACGATAATTCACAAGACAAAAACCTAGCTGCCAGAACCTATTGCATCATGCACATGCCCACACTCCCCAGTCTTTTTGCCCATCTTAAAAGTCCAGGAGTTATCAGATGCCATGGCTGTCCACTACTGAGTTCTGGCATTGCTGAGACAGCTAGCCCATCTGACTGGTGGTGCTATCAGTGGTGTAACTTCCTCTCATTGAGGGCAGAAGTCCCACTCTCACCTACTTAAGGCTACCTGCAGTATGGGACTGCTGTAGGATTGCATTGTTTCATGAGTCAGTTAGCATCCGATATTTCTTTCCTGGGGTTGGGGAGGTCCTACTCTGTCTCCAGTACAACCTCCTTTCCCCTGTAAAATTTAGCCCATAAAAGGTGAGATGAAACATTCTTGTGAAGAAAACAATAAATTATTCCAAACTTTAAAAGGTCTACATTTAAAAATGTTTCAGCTATTTTATCTGTTCTAGCATATGGTAATGTTAAGAATGTCAACCAATTCAGAGCAGCACAGCATAACTGTCCCCTAAAGTATGAGTGCAGAAGAGAATACCCACAAGCTCTCAATTTCATAGATGGCATTAGTGATGTCTTGGGTGACAGAAAGTAAAATAATGTGCAAGCTATCACTTCTGCCAGTAAGACATCATCTTGCAGCTAACTAAGGAGAAGAACTCAAGAACCAGGAGCAGGAGTAGGCCATCTGGCCCTTCGAGCCCACTCTGCTATTCAAGAAGATCAACGCTGATCTTTTTGAGGCCTCAGCTCCACTCACCATGAGTGACAAGCATTTAATTTACAACTATATCAATAAAAACAAAGTATTTGATGTTACTGTCTATTTTTACTTCTGTCTCCGCAACATGCCGTGATAAATTTAGTCTTAAAAAGATTCAACATCCACCCTCTCACCATAACCCTCAATTCCTTTACTGTTCAAAAAATCTTAGCTTTAAAAACATTCAAAGAGGAAGCCTTAACTACTTTACTGGGCAGGGAATTGCACAGATTCACAACCCTTTGGGTGAAGAAGTTCCTCCTCACTCATCCACAATTCTGCTCCCCCTAATTTCGATGCTATGCTCTTTCGCTCTAGTATCATTCATCAGTGGAAACATCCTCCCTGTTTCTATCTTATCTATTCCCTTCATAATTTGCTATATTTCTACAAGATCCCCCCTCCTCATTCTTCTAAAATCCAATGAATATAATCCCAGTATACTCAGTCTCTCCCCATAAGCCAACCCGCTCAACTCCAGAATCAACCTAGTGAATCTCCTCTGCACCACCTCCAGTGCTTTCTCAAGTAAGGAGACCAAAACTGCACGCAGTACTTCAGGTGTGGCCTCATCAGCACCCTATACAACTGTAACATAACCTCCCTGCTTTTGAACACAATCTCCCTAGCAATGAAGGACAAAATTCTATTTGCCTTCTTAATTACCTGTTGCACCTGCAAACCAACCTTCTGCGATTCATGTACAAGGACACCAAGGTCCCTCTGCACAGCAGCATGCTGCAATTTTTTACTGTTCAAATAATAGTCCTTACTGTTATTCCTACCAAAATGGATGACTTCACATTTATGAATATTGCATTCCATCTGCCAGACCATTGCCCACTCACTTAAAATTATCTATATCCACCTGCAAACTTTCAGAATCCTCTGCACACTTCGCTCTACCACTCATCTTAGAGTCACCCACAAACTTTGACACTACACATGGTCCCCAACTCCAAATCATCTATGCAAACTAAGCAATTGCGGTCCCAACACTGATCTCTAAGGCACACCACTAGTCACTGATCGTCAACCAGAAAAGCATATATTTATTCCGACTCTTCGCTTCCTGTTAGTTAACCGATCCTCTATCCATGCTAATACATTACCCATAGTGCCATACACCTTTATCTTATGCAGCAGCCTTTTGTGCGGCACCTTCTTGAATGCCTTTTGGAAATCTAGATACACATCTACTGGGTCCCTGTTGTCCACTGCGTTCATAATATCTTCATAGAATTCCAGTAAATTAGTTAAACATGACCTGCCGTCATGAACCCATGTTGTGTCTGCCCAATGGGACAATTTGTCTAGATGTCTTGCTATTTCTTCCATGATGATAGATTCAAGTGTTTTCCCCAATACACAGAAGTTAAGCTAACCAGCCTATAATTCCCGATCTTTTGGCTACCTCCTTTTTTAAACAGTGACGTAATATTTGCCGTTTTCCAATCTGCTGGAACTGCCCCAGAGCCCAGCGAATTTTGGAAAATTACCACAAGTGCATCTGCTATTTTTCCCACCATCTCTTTTGGTGCCCTGGGATGCATTCCATCAGGGCCAGGAGACTGGTCTACCTTTAGCTCACCCAACACTACCTTTTTTGTGATAATGATAGTTTCTAAGTACTCAAAACCTCGGTCTCCTTATCAATTACTGGCATGTTATTCGTGTCCTCGACTATGAAGACCGCCACAAAATATCTGTTCAATGCCTCGGCTATGTCCTCATTTCCTATTATTAAATCCCCCTGCTCATCCTCTAAAGGACCAATGTTTACTTTAGCCACTCTTTTTCTTTGTTCTATATATTTGTAGAAATCTTTGCCATCTGTCTTTATATCCTGAGCTGGTTTACTCTCATATCTATCTTACTTTTCTTAGTTTTTTTTTGTGGATTTCTGTTGACCTTTAATGTTTTCCCAATCTTCTAGTTTCCCACTAGTCTTTGCCACTTTGTATGCCTTATCTTTCAATTTGACAGCTTCCCTTATTTCCTTGGACATCCACGGCTGATTACCCCTTTTCCTACAGTCCTTCCTTTTCGTTGGTATATACTTTTGCTGAGCATTTTGAAAAATTGCTTTGAAAGTCCTCCACTGTTCCTCAACTGTCCCACCATAAAGTCTTTGCTTCCAGTCTACTTTAGCCAACTCCTCCCTCATCCTATTGTAGTCTCCTTCGTCTAAGCACAGGACCCTGGTATTGGATTTTATCTTCTCACTTTCCTTCTGTATTCCAAATTCAACCATACTGCGATTGCTCCATCCAAGAGGATCCCTAACTATGAGATCATTAATTATTCCTGTCTCATTACATAGGATCAGATCTAGGATAGCTTGCTCCATCATCGGTTCCATTACATACTGTTCAAGAAAACTATCGCAGATACATTTAATGAACTCCCCCCTCAAAGCTGCCTTGACCAATTGACATGTAGACTAAAATCCCCCATGATAATTGCCGTACCACTTTTTGGGCATTGGTTATTTCTTTGCTTATTGCCTGCCCCAGTGTGATGTTATTATTTGGTGGCCTATAGACTATGTCTATCAGTGACTTTTTCTTCTTAGATTTTCTAAATTTCCACCCAAATGGATTCAAAATTATTCTCCATAGCATCTATATCATCGCTCACTACTGCCCCGATGTCATCCTTAAATATCAGAGCTACACCACCTCCCTTACATTCGTGTCTGGCCTTCCAAATAGTCTGATAGCCCTGGAATATTTAAATCCTAGTTGTGACCATCTGCAGACAAGACTCTGTAATGGCCACGAAATCAAACGCTTTCATGATTTGTGCTATTAACACATCTACCATGTTTTGAATGCTACTAGTTTTCAAACAAAATCCCTTCATGCCAGTTTTTGTACCTTCTTTTTGAATTCTAACATTTCCATTGATAATACCTCCTGTGTTTTCCTTCCTTTTAACTTCTTTCATAGTCTTCAATGTAGCTAAACCCTTCTGCATACATGTTAATCTGCTGCTTTCTTTTCTATTTACCATTATCCTTCCTCTCATTCTCCCATTCCCTTCCCCCAGTTCACTAGTTTAGAGTCCTAGTGACCACCCTATTTATCTTTTTCGCCACAACACTGGTTCCAGATTGGTTCAGCTAAAAGACTGCAAAGTAGGGTGTATGTCTGAATTCTTGGCTAGGGATGACCATGAAATCAATAACAAAATGTAATAACTTTATAAAACAAATTTATATCTGATAGCAACAACAGCTTTGGAATTTCAGTCCCCAGTGGAGATAGATAAAGTGCAATTTGTTTAAAAATGGTTATTTTAACTTGAAGGCAATAATTTTAAAACTCTTTCAGTTGCACAACATTAATCAACATGTTTTTAGAATGTACATTTTAACTCATTCACTACTAAGCACAGGATTGGGCTTTGTTCCAACTCCCCTTCTTGATGCCAGGTAGCTGGCAGATGGTGTCTTTATGCACTGTGCACAATTGATGTTGGACATCACAACGGCAAGACAGAATAAATGAACTCAAAGCATTGATTAAAAGTTTATAACTTAATGCTTAAAAAATAATCTTTCATGTATTGTACAATCTTCCTCATGCTGGAAATCAGTAACTGCTCGTCTTACTAAAATATTCCCAGTAGATCAACACCAAATAAAAAGAATAGAGTTTGAGTATTTCTGAAAAGTTACCTGTTGTTTGTTTAAGTAGGGCCTGTCCATTTTTAATGGCTTGATCTACATTCTTCTTCCGGGATATAATGTCATCATTCAAAGCCTATAAAGAGATCATCCCAGCTGCTTAATAAAAAGGATGACAAGGTTTCTATGGAAACATCATTCCTGCTTCTCATGACTTAAATGCTAAGAGATCCAAAAAGGACTCAATCTGAATCTTAGCCAAATCCAAGTAAAATTACAGAGCAGCTGTCTTGACCAGTGCTGAGACTTACTGTGAAATGAGCAGCAATTCTTTAGAATGACTCATTAGAACATGTGCTTCCACGTATTCTTCAAATCTAGTTACATCACAAAATTATTCTAGGCCAGCATTAGATAATGTTGCTTTACGAATTGTGTTATTTGAAAGCCAAACATGTGAAATTTAAATTCATGAAGTAAATAGCTAACTTTCAAAATTAAATGATTAAATGAGTGCAATTAACACAATAATAAAAATAGGATGGCTCTGCTTCTAGAAAATCCATCTGTCCACAGGACTAATCCAAAGTACTAATGTTTGAAGATTCACTTCTCACATCTTCATTTTAAAACACTAGCTTATTTTTGTTTAATCTTATGCCATTCTACTGCATTTAATTATATAGCCATAGAACACTTACAGAACCAAAACAGACCAATTGAACCAAAAACTCAATGCTAGTGTTCACAGCAATGCTGAATTAAATGCTTGTGCCAAACGCTTATTAGATTGGTAAAACACGCTTATTCTGAATTTTGACAATTAAAGATGAAAATATTGCAGTAGAAGTAACTTCTAACTATAATATTCCTATTTAAATCAAATAAAACAGAACCATGAAATGGTATTGGGACAACTTAGTTGTGGTATTTTAGAATCCAACTCAAATATACAATATTTTGGCTACATGAATCTGGTTCAATATTTCAATTTAATTTATTTTAAAATATTTAGTTGCAACTCAATACATCAAGACAAATGGGAAACCTAATATTAGAGGATAAGACAAATACATTCATCGACATAGCTAAAGGCAAACATTTACAATATTAATACCGAGCTGTTATATGTAAAGATTTATAAAGTAGTGCTTTCGGGAAGATAGGTTGAAAAGTTATTTTCACTGCATCCTTTATGATTCTTTGAGAAAATCTTGAAATAAATGCTAAAACATAACCAAAAAGTTACATTTGAAACAGTATAAAATGAAGTAATTAAAATCAGAATCAACGAATATCAAATAAACAGAAAATTGTGATGTATGCAGGTATTAAATTAATGAAATGGATGGAAAAATAAATTAAAAATAAATGAAATACCAGCTGATCTGTGTGTTGTTTATGCAGGATGTCAGATTTGTAATCTTTGACGGTCACCAGACTGAGCTTGTCCTGAATGTCAGCCAGCCAATTCAACACCTCCACCTCTTCCTCTCCAAAGATCTTGGCATTGGCAAGGGCTTGCTGGAGCAGGTCTGCCTTTCGGCTGCACCTGTCCCTAATCTCCCTATACTGAGTCTGGACAGACTCCAACTTGTCCTCTACCATCTTCTGGTCTGCTTTTGCACTTAACGTCATAAGAAACTGGCCAACACTGACAGCCTGCTGGATGTTCTGGCTTTGGTTTGTGATGTCGTCCTGCAAGGCCTGAACCAAGGATAAAATTATAGCACAAAGAAACAAGATATGAATTGATAATTTTCAACAAAAAGCAAACAAAAAGGAAAAGAAACTAATGCATCAAAATAAAACTTCTACAAAATCTTACAACTTATGTTGCACCTTTCACACAGCAAAACTTTCTAAAGAGTTACAAAAAGGAGGGGTGACAAAATACTAAAAAGGAACTGGGGACTATCTTAATCTAGATCATACACCATTCATACAAGATCTAGTGGAAGAAGCATTAGGTTATAAATCTAACATAACTATTTTAATCCAGACAATTTACTGAACGGATTGCAAGCTTGACAAAAGCTAGTGTTGAGTGCAACTTAGTGTGTCTGGAGCAAAAAAAATTGTGTCAAACAGGCCATGCCAAAAAAAAACTTGATGCAAGTTCAAAGCAAAATCTAAAAATGTTTTTGAAGTTGAAAGCAGACAGAATAATAAATGAGCAGTCTTGGTGCTCATTTAAAGCAAACATATGCAAAGCTAATTCTTCTCAATCTAGTAATGCAGAAAACATTTCAATACCATTTTCTGTCTGTGGCATTCCTACATCAATAATGCATAATTAAAAACATATATAATACATAATCAATTCTACAGTCACTAGAATAGAATTAGGATTGGCCAACGTACTGCACAGAGATTCTTGATAACTTTGTAAATTAGGATATTTCAATTCCATTAACATGGACAGAATTATGTCCAAAAGGTGAGACAACTGCGGAGTTAGGAACACTTCATCCGGATGCAATAAAAACTGCACTCAACTTTACACCTCTCATTAATGTCATCAACTATTATCATTTGGACAAACAGGAGGCTGGAAGAACACAGCAAGCCAGGCAGCATCTGGAGCTGTCTGTCTACCTTGAATTGAGCATCTGCAGTTTTTTTGTCTCAAACCATTATCATTTATCCTTGTACATCAGAGATAACCTACAGTGGTGCCTTTTTATCAGACCACAATTAATTAGTACAGCAGAGTTGGACTAATTAAAAGTGTAATTCAGTCTCAAATAGGTTCTCCAGAGAGCTGGAGGTTTATCCAGAGAATGGCCAAGTCATACAAACCAGGAAGTTCCAGCTTTTTTGCTAGAAGTTAGCTACTCTCACCCAGGACAGTAATAGGAAACTTGGTTCAAGCAGAAAGAAATCAAGCAACATGAATCCTGTTTGAAGTTCACATGCATGGGAGTTAAGCAATGACAGAAATACCTTGATTAGAAAGTGCCCTTTGTAAAATACTTTCATCAACACTAATAAGGGAATAAAAGCCACTGCAGTGAGGCATTCAAATACACCCGTGGAACTTTATCCCAACAAAAACTCAATGCTTTCAGAGGAGGGAGAAAACTTACTTTATAAAAAGGGTAAAAACAAATTCACCATCCTTTTGAGAGCAGCCCCGTCCTCATTTAAAGCTAGGATTTGGTAGGGGTAAAAGATTTTCATTAGGTGTTACAAACGGTTAAAATTATTTTTTAATAAATTGTATAAAAATGTACCTTAAGTGGACATAAAACTAAAAAGGTTCTCACAATAAGATATCTTTTGAAATACTGGGCTAACTTACACTACTTACTTAGGAAGGGAGTAGGAATTGAATTGAGACACAAAGTGATATATGTAAATATGAAGGTTAGATAGGTAGGAATAAGAATGACAGATGCCTCTGCATGCATACAGAAAACGTTCTTACTAGGGATAAATCCAATTGAATCGGATTTCAGTTCAAACCAGCAAACCAGATTCTAGCTTGCCCTTAACAAATGTCGTAGCTCTTCATTCAGCTGAATGGCATTGTGGAAACTTGGCTTGCCCCCAACCTATCTTCTCTTTCTAGTGTTTCCTTGACATCCATTAAAAACAGAAATTTGAAAATGTCTGAACTCTTGTCAGCCAAAACAAAAAGAAGCTTGTTTTCCTTTCTCATACCATCAGAGCATTTGACAAGTTTTGTTATGGGAGGGGATGGGAAGGGAACAAAAAGATGGTTGTGTTGGATTTCCGTCCCAACATTTTGATAATCTAAAACCAAGAGAGGATTCTTGGACATTTTGGTAAAACATTCCAAAGAAATGGGTAATTTTACACTGAAGATACATGGTACCTTTCCTTCCTTTAAAGGCTGCTTTTTGGAATATGTTGAAAAATCTGCACAATGAGGATAGCTTGCAGTTAAAAACCAATTCACAACTTCAGTACTAATTCTGGTGCAGTTTCTAACATAAGAATATGCAATTTAATATGACAGCAAGAAAACAGACTAAAAATTAATAATTTTACAACATGTCATTCATTTACAGTTGATTGTTTGATGAAATTGTACCTTGGACTAGTGCCACTTACCTTATGGCGTGTAATTTGCTGCTGGATTTTAGAAGTTTGAGTTCCTACAGGTTCAGAGTTTGCCAATTTCTTCTCCTTGCTGGTCAGCCACTCATTCAAGGGCTCTACTGTCTCATGGAACTGTTTTGCAATGACTAATATATTCTCTAACTGACTCTGCCTGCATTAACACATGAAGCAAGATAATATCCTCACTTGCTTAAGTATTATGGCATAGCAAATATTTATACAAACAGAACCATAAATTATCCATTTTGATTACATTCAATTAAACCAAATCCTAATAATCTTATTTAGTTTACCCTGGTTTAAAGAGAACATAAGATGTAAGCTCATTCTTGATCACAATTTAACTTCAGCAAACTCATGAAACTGTTGACATGTAAACTACATTTTGCAAAGACAGGTGCATAATCACGTTAGACATAGTATAAGAAACAGCTAGTGCGAATACTGAGACGAACTGAAACAATAAAAGATTGCGCAAATGATCAGCCACATTGACTAATGAGATTTACATCTTCAGTTGGAATTCATCACTATCATTTTCCTTTTGTTTACAGTGCTGTTATGTTAATTTATTCACATATTTTGAATATTGTCAAGTTATTAAGAGCATCTGGACAAAGAATGAGGCTTAATTCACCCTTTTTTGTTGGTGAATAAGTATTCTAGAGTACAATAAATAAGATGTCTGTCAGAATGTCAAATAATAAGGTAGATAGCCATGCATTTCAAGAAATGGATTGGGATTATTTTCTGAACCTCCAATTTCTTATAATGCAAACATATTTTATAGTTAACATTCTAAGGACAAGACTTTAGATAAATGGAAATTTTGGATTTGTATGATCCACAATTCAGATGTTCAAATGTAACAACATTAGGTAATAAGCACGAATAAAATCTCCATTGGAACATCTGGAAGATGATTTCTACCACTAAATGGCAGTGATTCAGATGCACATCTACTTTTTACCGCCAGGATCAAAAATGTAACATCATTTACTGCACTACCACAGATTTAGAAGAATTAATTCAACTGCATGGGAAAGGAACTTATAAATTACATAAAATCACTCTTATTTAAGTCTACTTTGTTCATATCAGAGATATTTCTTTGCAAATGCCTATATAGCTGTGTGTTTTCTTTTAAAGTAGATGTGTATTTAGATTTACCTCCAATCTGGCACTCATACATAGTGCCCTAAATAGAATTTGAGTAGGAATGAGGAAATGGTTGTGCTTGTACATTCTACTCAGCAGGAACAATTGGCATTCCTTCCAATGCGTAAACACTTCAATACAGTACAGTGCCATAAATAGACCTATAGACTTAAAATGAAGTAAAAACTATTAAGTTTGCTTTAAGTTATAAATTTACTTCATAGCGGCTCTCTACACAGCTGTTATGTGCACGTTTCCTGAACTTTAATGGCTCTGCAATCAAGTGTTTACAAGCCTCACGGTCATCACAATAAAGAGGCTTTCCACATTGCTTTGGTGCTGTAAAATCTCACCATTAGTTCACATATAGTCTTCACGTGTCTATAAATGGACACTTGAGATTTTGTTGAATTCAGATGTCACAAATGTACGGTCAGTCTTATGTATTTTCTGTTCCATTTTCAGGCATGTATTAACAAGAACCGCAACCTAGAATCTGCTCCTGCTTCCAAACTTTTCCTTTCTATATTTTATTTGTACAACGTCATTTAAATTATTATAAAAATACTACAGTTTTGCTCAACTTATTTTCATGATGTTTGCTTTATTCTCCCATTATAGATTTAAAAATTTAGTATTTACCCAAAATTAAATAAGTTAAGAAATCACAATCGATTAAAATGAAGCTAGACCATGTATGTGATTGTTTCAGTTTTGATTTCAAATTCTCCATAGTTGACAAAAAATGGTGGGAACTTTTAATTCTGGAAAAGTTAAACTTGTTTTGACAAAATTGTTCGATAAATCTTGATTTATATATAAAGTAAAATGTGATTTTGTCTCTTCCCACATGAATATTAAAGGGCCACGTACCTTGCAATGGCCTTGCTGAGCAAATTGTCCCATCTCTCTCTCAGGCTCTGTAGTTGTTTTTGTATCTTCTCTTTTTCAGCTGTTTCTGCTGATTCTGCTATCCTTTCTCCTTCTGCCTCAATAATTTCCACTGTTGATTTGCGATCATCTAGTAGTCTTTGCAGCAGCTGGGCAAGAACAAATAACAGTTGCCAAGTTCCTTTAGATTTAAATCTCATTTCTTTGTTAAAAGATACTGCAAAGCAACTGCCCGAGAGGCTGTTACGCATTCCTAACTCCTTTATGCTTTCCATATTCGTCACAAGATACTATGGAAACATTGCCCATCCATTCAGATATTTTGTTCTTCTGATTTTTATTGAATGCTTGCACGTTGGGGGAAAATTGAGCCCATCGTCCTCAATATTATTATTTCATGATATGATGGGATGTAAATTAAGTGAAATAGTTACGTCTTCTGTCTCTTACAAACATAGCTGTTGCCCCCTTTACTGGGGAGACGAAACAGACTAGGTGACCACTTTGTCAAACAGCTCCACTCTCACCATAAAAATGACCCCAAGTTTCCAGTTGCCTGCCAGTTCAACACACTGCTGTGTTCCCATGCCAACATTTGCATTAGGCCTGCAACTGGGCTCCAACGAAGCTCAAAGCAAGCTGGGGAAACACCTACTCTTCCACCCAGGAATCTTACAGTCCTCAGGACTCAACATTGAGTTTAATAATTTCTCTCTATATTTGTTACCCACCCCCAGGCTTGGTTCTGTATCGGGTGCTCCCGGCACAGCTGATCCATTTTTAACTATTCTCAGTTCCTGTTACCATCTATTCAGCATTTAAGACCACCTGCAATCCCTTTGTCAGCTTCCCCAAATTTCTTCTCAGTGGGCACAGTATCCAAACTTTTATCTCCTAACCCCATTCCCTGTCATCAGCATAAATGCAATTTCCCAGCTGCTTTCAGTTCTAGAGTCACTGGACTCTGAACATTAACTTTGTTTCTCTCTTCACAGATGCTGCCAGACCTGAATTTCTCCAGCATTTTGTTTTTGTTTCAGATCTCCAGCATTCACAGTTCTTTGATTTATTACAGCTGTTTACTTGCCCTGTCTGTGCTCTTCTATAGACAGGGGAAATATTAATACAAGAATCAAATCAAATGCGTCCATAGAAGATACCAGAAGAATTAAAAGCTGTGCTAACACTACCAGTTTGGAAAGAGATCGGTTTCTAAAAAGGCTCTCAAGGCAGTTAGTCCTTCAGCCAAGCCTGATCTTAACACAAAGTTCCCAGGCATGCTTATCACAGACAGATCTGACCCCCTCACAGGGCACTACCAGGCTATCTCAGCTTTATCAACTGTACAAGACTGCACCATATCTATAAAAATACTATTCCTCCTTCTAACCAAGTACCATGCAGGATCACTCTCTTTACAGTGAAAGAAGTTTCCAGCAAGGTACACAGGAGAAAACATCTTTGACATTGCACACCAAATTTAAAAGATTCAGTTTTTGATGGGTCAGTTCATTTTTCAACTAAATGTTGGTAACTCTACTGTACTGCACCATACTACAAAGAAGCAGACAATTAGGAATGTTCCAGCTTATATCACTAAAAAATTGTACAGTGCCAGGATAGCTTGAGATCATACAAAACACAGACACTACCTAAATATTTTTAATGCTAGAGTTCAGCTATTTGCAAAAAAATCCTAATATTACTATAGCCTAAACAATTACGTACTGTTTTTATCCTTTGTTAACATATATAACTATGTATTCAGGACCAATTTTTTTAAAAGAGTACTTCCGTATTTCACCTGTCTTAAACATATTAATCCAATAATCAAGCTTGCATAATCTATTACCATAATTAGATGAATAAACATCCAAAAATCCTGAAGAATAAACCAGCAAATTCTATTGGCAATGATAAGTGGCCCAAAATAATGGAACTATTATAACCTGATCAATTTCAGACCAGTAATCAAGGAAAAATTCTTTCAAGCATTAAACTGACATTAATATCAGCCTAAGCACAACTACGGGTCAATTTAAAACACCTGCAAATACGAGGTACTATTATTTCACAAAATATATCCAAATGAATATTCTTGCAAGTACAAGGAAACATAATTAAATTATTTTGAGGAAAAGACTAAAAGCAATGATAAGCAAGAAGGCAAGTATAAAAATGTCACTAGTATTCACTAATCCAGGAGATAATTCAACAGAAACCACTTGAGCTGTGACTACAACAGCAACATCAAGGCATTAGTTCAGTAGTAAGAGAAAGATGTACATAGCTAAAACGTTAACCTTTACAGCAATAATTCTTGGAATTGTATAAAGATCAAGATTTTGAAGGTGAATCACAAGAAAAAAAAACAAATTATGCTCAACTTCAACTTAAAACTCTGCTGGTCCATTTGCACAGCTCTTTAGCTATTAATGTAATAAAAATTTCAATTTTGTTCAAAATTTCAAGTGAATTTTTATAGTCTATTAAAAAACATTGCTTTCATTGAAGATTGTTTCACAAATCCCCCTTTGCTTTAGAGCAGGAGAATAAGATGAATTATGTGCCACTTTCCTCACAGTCATGTAACATGAGGGGCATTTCAAGCCTTCACATTGTATATCCGCAAAGAGAAAAAAACTTTGTCAAGAACTTTTCCATGCAGACGGGGCTCTTTAAGAAAAGATGGAAAACTGGCACTGAGACAAGTTTTATTTTACCAATGGACTGAAGGGAAGAATAGTGATTTGCACTACCCAGACTTGGCATTAATTCAGTAGATGGCCATTTGTTCATCTCTGCATATGGAACAAATGTCTCTTTGTAATCCACACTCTGGAAATGAAAAATGCCATGCAGTATTCTAAAAGTTTGATCCACGTCTCAAAATTTACCCTTATTTTGTGGCTATTCAAATAAAATCAGCCATTATTCTAGCCCGTCTATTGAAAAAGAGAATCCAAATGTATTGCTTTGCTCCTATAGCGTAAAATACCTTCTGTTCTTGAATTTGTGCCTTCACTACTTTGTATTCAGCTGATGGAGGCTTTTGATTAGCAATCAGTTCTTCAGTATCTGTAAGCCAGCTCAACAAAGGCTCCAAAGCATCCTGGAATTTTCCACGGTGCAACAGTGCTTCTTGCAATTGGGATATACGTTCTGCCACCTTGAAAAAGGACATGTTTTTAAAAACACATTTTTAACAATTCTAATTTAGGGTTTTCCTCCACAGATACAAGTTTTGTAGAGGAGAATGAGAACAACCAAGCTGAGAAGGGGAGAGGGAAGGAATGAGCAAGTAGTGATAAGAAGGAAGTGCACGTGGGCAAGGAGGCCAGAGAGGGAAGGCCAAAGGGTGGAGAAGAGAGGTAGAGGTAGAAAGGAAGGCAGAAGAGGAATCAGGGACAAAAAGGCATGAGCAGGGGCTGGGGAAAGACGGTAGAGGTGTGCAAGTGGTGGTGGTGCTGGTGGGGCGAGGGCAGGGATTGTGGAAGGAGGAGGTGGTAGAGGAAAACAGGAAGACTCCACTAATATGGAAGATTGATTCATTGTCTGCAATATCACAGATGATTATCTGGTAAATCAAATAGTACGAGTGTCAATGGGTTTCAATCAGGAACTGAATCATGATAAATGCTCTAGTTTCATATTGGTATTTTGCTTTTCATCTGATATATTGTCTAAAATTTTTTTGCAATCAAAATCCTAAATATATTATTTTTTAAACCACATGAATCGAAATGTTGAGCTTAAGTAACATCCTCATATTTTTTCATTTTCTTTGTCACATTACTAGCACCACATATAGCAATGTGCTCAATTAGGTTATTGCCCATCTGTCAGTCTAGATAATGAATGACTGTTGTCTACTCAATTCTAAGTGGTATGATAGCTCGAATCCAAGTCTGCCTTCATTCACTATGTTGGGCGCACACACTTACAACAGAAATTCCTGGATTGTTATCAGGACTGAGAATCCATGGAAACTGAAGCCAATTTCTTTTTATATTCATTCAAAGTCTGGATGTCACTGGCTATTTGAGTTCTTAGTTCTCATCTCCAAATGTCCTGTGAGAAGCGGGTGGTGAGCTACCTTGAGCCACTGAATTTGATGTGGTGTCGGTACACATCTAAAATGCTGTTAAGAAGGATTTTATCCCAGTGATGTTGAAAGAATGCTGTGATAGCTGACGTGGAATTTGCAGATGCTGGTATTCTTGTGCATCTGCTGCTCTTGTTCTTTTAGGTGGTTGAGGCCATGCGTTTGGAAGACATTGTTGGAGGAGCCTAGGTGAGCTGCTGCAGTGCATCTTGCAATGTTTTCTTCTTTCGTCTTGCAAGGATGTGCACAGCACTGGCGTGGCATCAAATCAGTTTGGCTCTCTAGGCCATTTCAGAGGGATTAAAGTCAATCACATTCCACAGTCTCTAAAATCCCATTTGGCCAGGTAAGGATGGCAGATTTTCTTCCCTAAAGAGCATTAGTGAACCAAGTGGGACTTTCCAATGACCAACAATAGTTATACAGTCACAGAATTTTACCCAGGGAGATATGACAACCCAGGGCAAATCACACTGTGCAGCTACCCCACTAACCACTCCATATGGCAATTCTTAGGGAAGTTCCATGAAACTTCTTTGAAAAGTCACAAATTGCCACTCAACTATTCAAAAGGTCACCCTCATCCTAGGGGTGGTTCAGTATGGTGGCCATTACAGTGACTTTTAGTTCCAATTTTTGTTTTGAAAATTCAAATATCATCTGCTTTGAATCCTTCAATATTAGCCTGGGCTCTGGATTACCCGTTCAGTGATGTTATGACTAAACAAATGCCTTCCATTGGTGGTGGTGCACACCACTGCCATTGCACTGGTGTTGAAGGAAATGAATTAAGGAGGAGATGGGGTACCAATCAATTGGCAGCTTTGTCCTGGGTGATGTGTGCGTTGATGGAACTGCATCCATCCAGGCAAATGGCAAGTACCCATTACAATTTTGATCTGTGCCTTGTAGGTGGTGGACTGGCAGTGGGGATACAGGAAGTTTGTTACTCTCTGCAGAATTCCTAGCCTCCAACTTACTCTTGAAGCTATAATATTTTTATGGCTGGTCCAATACAAGTCCCAGGGTATAGATAGTGGTGGATTCAGCAGTGCCAACACCACTGAACAATATGGAGACCTGGCTAGATTCTCTCTTATTAGAGATTACCATTGTCTGGCACTGGCATAGATTAAATGTTACTTGCCATTTATAAACCAGGATGTTGACCAGGTCTTGCTGCATATGGACATAGGCTGCTTTGTTTGCTGAGGAGGCCAAATAGTGCAGAACATTGTGCAATCATCAGCAAATACCCCCAATTCTGACCATACGTTGGAGGTGAAGTCATTGATGAAACAGTTTGGCTTAGAACACGTGGATCTAGGACTGAGATGACAGCTTCAAAAGCTGTCCCCTCCCTCCCCACTTGAACTTTTGACCCCTTACATCACTCTGCCGATCACCAAGCGTAGACCGAAAGGGCGGTCATGACCATTTCCATCTAGAAGGACGAGGGCAGGAGACAAATAGGAGATCACTACCTGCAAGTATCCCTCCAAGCCACTCACCATCCTGAGGGAAATATATCATTCCTTTACCGTCACTGGGTCAAAATCCTGGAATTCCCTCTTTAACAGTGTTGTGGGTAAGCCTAGGGCACATGGACCGTAGTAGTTCAAAGAGCTTACCATCACCGTCACCCGCCAAAGCAGCTATGTTCTGAAAGCTTGTGTTTTCAAATAAACTGTTGGACTATAACCTGGTATTGTGTGATTTCTGATCTTGACCCTTCTGAAGGGCAACAAGGGACAGTCAATAAATGCTGGCCAGCCAGCAACACTTATGTCCCATGAATGAATTTAAAAAAGTTGGATTTTGTCTTGCTCTTGTGAAGCGGACATATGTGAGCATGCTTCTACACTGGCAGGCAGATGCTACTATTATAACTGTACTGGAACAGCTTAATTAGGGATGTAGCTGGTCGGACAGCATAAGCTTTTAATACAACTGTTGGAATATTTTAGGGCCAATAGCCTTTGTAGTGTCCAGTGGCTTGAATTGTTTCTTGATATAACAGATTATATTGAATCAGCTGAAGATAGGCATCTGTAGCACTGATAGCCTCAGCAGTGGGTCAACCTCATGCAAACTTGGTCATCCTTTTGGAACTTCTGGCTGAGGATGGATGCAAATACTTCAGCTTTCTATTAAGCAATGATGTACTGGACTCCGCCATCACTGAGGATAGGGATGTATGCAGAGTCATCCTTTTCTGTTATCTGTTTAATTGTCCACCGCAATTTATGACTGCAAAGTCAGGTCTCATCTATTGGTTGCATGGTCACTTAGCCCCGCATAATGCAAGCTGCTTCTACCACCATCCTGTATTACAGTTTCATCTGGTTGACACCTCATTGTTAGGAATGCCTGATGCTGTTCCTGGCTTGCCCTTCTGCACCCTATTTTGAACAGGGCAGATGTAGAGTCATAGTCATAGAGTTATACACCATAAAAACAGACCCTTCAGTTCAACTTATCTGCACTGACCAGTCATCTGAATCTGACCTAGTCCCATTTGCCAGCATTTGGTCCATATTCCCCTAAGCCTTTCCTATTCGTGTACCCATCCAGATGCCTTTTAAGTATTATAATTGTACTCACCTCCACCACTTCCTCTTGCAGCTCACTCCATATACGCACCACCCCAAGTGGAAAAGTTACCCTTTGGGTCTATTTTAAAATCATTCCCTTCTCACTTTAAATCTATGCCCTCTAGTTTTGGGCTTCCTGACCCTGGGAAAGAGACCTTGGCTATTCACCCTGGCCATACTCATGACTTTATAAATCTCTTAAGATCACTCCTCAGCCTGACACTCCAGGGGAAAACACCCCAGCCTATTCAGCCTCTCCCTTCAAGTAAAATCCTTCAGTCCCAGTTGAAATAACTTGAGAGGCTGGTATCCTGTTACCAAGTCACCCTTCATTTACACATGCATTGTACTTGACACTGCATTCGCCTTCCTCAGACCCTGCTCTCAGAGTGAATAGAATGTGACACTCCTGTTTACGTCAGCCAGCCAGGGCTCCCCGATTGGACCAGATTAACAGATCCAATTAGGGAACTCATATTCTATGATGCTCACCTGGCTGACCTTGTAACAGCCACTATACTGGCAACATCATTGTAAATCTTTTCTGCACCCTTTCATGTTTGACAACATCCTTCCTATAGAAGGGTGACTGGAATTGTATGTAGTATACCAAAAATGGCCTCACCAATGCCTTGTACAGCCACAACATGACATCCCAACTCCATTACTCAACGCTCTAACCAAGGAAGGCAAGCGTGCCAAACACCTTTTGCACCACCCCGTCTCAACTGTGACTCAACTTTCAAGGAACTTTGCATCTGCATCCCCAAGTCTCTTTGCCATAACTTTGGAGAGCCTGAACAAAGGTAGAATGGTATATGTGCTGGATCACAAGTTGCTGTTGCTGTTGCTGCTGATGGTCCCAAGTCCCTTTGATGCTCATTTTTGAGTTGTTAAATTTGTTAGAAATCCATCCTATTTAACACATTGGATGCACCACTCAAGATAGAGAGTATTCTCACTTTTAATGACCTTAATGCTGCCCTAGAGAAGCCGAGATACCTAGACACAGACTGGTGATTAATTCTGGTTCTTTTCATCTAGACATATTAGTTTGATTTATCAGAGGATACAGTGCGACTGGTCTCCAAATTCTGGTTTATTACTTTCAGATGAATGCTGTAGAAACCAATGATTGCAGTTCAAAGTAATTCATTAGTATTGAAGTGTTTTCATGTACTTTGTGAAACATGACATGGCACTATAGAAGTGCAAAAGTTTAAAAAAAAACTTTACTTATCTTCTTAATTGTTTTAAGTGTTAAGCTATCCTGTGAGCCCAGCATCCTAATTTTAAGAGTTGAACTTTTATTTTTTGAACTGATTACTGATTAAGCTAACTTGGAATGTACAAAGCACACAAAGTTTGAATTAGTTTTTCTTTAACCTTAATAATTCTTATTTCTAAAAAAGAGCAGTTTCCTTTTCATTGCTATAAAGAACTAACCTTTTTATTGAGTGTGTTCCATCTGGTATTTGTCTCATCCAGATCATGTTCAAGTCCTTGGGTGTTGGCATTCTTTGCAGCACTCTGAATAAGACCCTGCCCCACTGCATTAGCCTGCTGAAGTTTGTACTGAATGGGATCCACTTGAACTTTCTGGAATGTCTAAACCAAAAGAATAATGAGAAACAAATCAGTCTACAATACTGGTCACAGTAGCCCACCTTGAAATAATAGTGATATTTTGCATAGGAATGGGAACAATGTGTCCTTGTACCAAATCAATATACAATTAAAATCATTAATGAATAATACAAATACACATCTTGGAACATTGTACTGATGAAAGCCAAGGACTAAGATGAAAACTATAAAATGACTAAATCATACTTTATACCAAACTCAAGTCCTGAAGTCTCTCACAAACTAAAAGACATCTGTTAACATACTTTCCATTATTAGTTGGAAACAATTAAAACTGATAATCTAATATCGAAATTCAACAGTATAACTTAACCTTATGACATCTGACCATGAGCAAATACCTTGGCATTTTCTTCAATCTTCGAATAATGATGTTTTTTTGTACTACATAGACTCAATAGTCAAAGAATCCAAGGAGTAGTCTCCTCATGTTTTCTATATGCTTTCTTGTCAAATGCAAAAAAGTCAAACAGTAAGTCTTGATAAAATTATGTGAATTACATTGGGTAGTGTCTATAAATAGGTACCCAAAGTAATTCTCTACTTTGCTCAAATTCTAACCAAACTAACTTCAGCACTCCTAGAAGGTGCATTTTTATTTGCAGCTCAACAGATCAATTTTGCAACTACTACATTCTCCACTACTACAGTGAGAGAAATTAAGGCATTAGTTCAACAGAAACTGGGTCTCTGGAATATGTAAAAAGTTGACCTGATTTGGCCTAATTGTCTCAATGGATACAAAAACTGAGCAAAACTTTGTCAAGCACAGTATTAAATTCTTACGGTCCCAAAAATGACAAATAGAAACAACTATTGACACCCAACTGTTTTAAGAGGGTTCTCACTGATGTGGCAGTGTCCTTGCTCAGTTTTGCTACTTATTCAGGATGCCATGGAATAGGGAAAACATAAAATAAATTATGAGACAGATTGTTCCACAGTAGAAATGGCTACATCACATGAAACATGTGTTTGAAACCAGATCTGGAGTATTCGGAAACTGCGCTTATTATTTTACTTTGGCATTTGTACTAAGTATTTGCATAGGCAGCCAAGGCCCTGAGCTTTACTTATTACTTTTTTTTTTAACATTCAAAATACACTGGATTGTACAGTGCTAGGCACAGAGTTGGAATGGAGACCATAAGATACAGGAACAGAAGCGAGACATTCAGACCACAGAGTCTGATCATTCAATGAGATCACAGCTGATCTGATAACCTAACATCACTTTCCTGCCTTTTCTTCCTAATCTTCGATTTCCTTACTGATGAAAAAATCATTGTCTTAAATATGACAACGACTTGTAATTTACTATTACTCCTCAAGTGCATGAAAAGTTACAAATTGATACGTTTCTAGACACTGCTTACAAATAGTCACTATCAAAAGTGGGAATAAGTGGAAAGGTTATTTGTATGGTCTAAATCTTTAGTGGTATAGGGCAGAGTCCCTACTTCCAGGCGAGATGGTCTGGGTTCAAGCATCACCTCCGCTGGAGGTGTGCTATAATGTGTCTAAGTTAATGAAAATTATTTTTTAAAGTGGTCTAACAAGGTTGTGTGTCTTGCCTAATTGCTTTGCAAATCAGCCAGATAACGCACATCAGAAATAAAAAGTGTGCAAGAATTGATTTTAAAGGAGATGAATTTCAAAGTTTTTTGCATTTATCAAAAGACAGAAAAGCTTGTCAACAACTTAAATCATGAATGTTAACAATGTTTAACTTTAAAATAAAAACAGAAAATGGTAGAGAAACTCAGCAGGGCTGGCTGCATTTGGGGTGAGACAAACAGGTTAGTGTAAATGTTGAGTCCAATATGACTTGTAATAAGAGAACAGGTTCTGAAGAAGAGTCATACTGGACTCAATTTTAAAACCGTGTTTTTGAATTTTAAACCCTTGACAGATGTTGCCAGACGTGCCGAGTCTCTCCAGCATTTTCATTTTCTATTTCAGATTTCTAGCATGTTTTATTTTGCTTTTATTTGAATGTTTAAACTTAAAAACTGTTTATGTGGTAAGCCAACTCCCAGCTAACTTTTAAGCTGAGGCATTTAAATGATCTCCCCACCCTGCACTAAAGCAATTGGGCAGCAGAGAAGTTTCAGGTTATAGACAGATCTCTACTTTCCAAATTTACTTGGATAGTGAATGGGCAGCAACAACTTGGGAACCTATTTCTCAATTAAGAGGACTTAAGACAATTTGGACACAGTGCATAATCGTTTTTTTGATTTGTTGCCGCCTATTTTGCACTGAAGTCTATTATATATTCATATTCCATTGTTTTTAAGAGGAAATAATCTTGACCAGGAATGATTTTGTAACGAAATTAACAACAGTGGAAAATATGCCAACAGGTTTCATGACTGTGAATACAGTGTATTTCGAATGTATAAAACAGAAGCTAGGAAAGCCCAAGGGCTTAGCTAACAAACAACAATTATTAACAAGATTTTACTTTTACACGTTGTTGTCGATAAGTGCCATCTTTTCATCCTAGGAGATCTGATATCAAGCATATTTTTCATGCAATGTAGATATTTCTATTGTACACACTGCAGCTGATGATGGGGGAAAAACTGAATGGCATGTGAATGACAATTGATTTAAGTGAAAATAGCCTTTAAGCATTAAGGAGGTCAAGGATCAAAGAGGAAGGAACTATTTCAAGTCCACATCATCCCAAAATGAGCCAGCATATTATCAGGAGGAAAGCTGTAAAACTTAAAAGATGAAAAAGGTGGAAAAAAAAATTACATTTAAAGGGTTAAGGAACAAAGAACAAAGAAAATTATAGCACAGGAACAGGCTCTTCGACTCTCCAAGCCTGCGCCGATCCAGATCCTCTATCTAAACCTGTCACTTATTTTCCAAGGATCTGTATCCCTCTGTTCCCTGCCCATTCATGTATCTGTCTAGATACATCTTAAATGACGCTATCGTGCCCGCCTCTACCACCTCTGCTGGCAACGTGTTCCAGGCACCCACCACCCTCTGTGTAAAGAACTTTCCATGTATCCCTCAATTAAACTTTTCCCCTCTCACCTTGAAATCGTGACCTCGAGTAATTGAGTCCCCCACTCTGGGGGAAAAAAAACTTCTTGCTATCCACCCCATCTATACTTCTCATGATTTTGTAGACCTCAATCAGGTCCCCCCTCAACCTCCGTCTTTCTAATGTAAATAATCCTAATCTACTCAACCTCTCTTCATAGCTAGCATCCTCCATACCAGGCAACATCCTGGTGAACCTCCTCTGCACCCTCTCCGAAGCATCCACATCCTTTTGGTAATGTGGCGACCAGAACTGTACGCAGTATTCCAAATGTGGTCGAACCAAAGTCCTATACAACTGTAACATGACCTGCCAACTCTTGTACGCAATACCCTGTCCGATGAATGAAAGCATGCCGTATGCCTTCTTGACCACTCTATTGACCTGCATTGCCATCTTCAGGGTACAATGGACCTGAACACCCAGATCTCTGTGCATCAATTTTCCCCAGGGCTTTTCCATTTACCGTATAGTTCACTCTTGAATTGGATCTTCCAAAATGCATCACCTCACATTTGCCTGGATTGAACTCCATCTGCCATTTCTCCGCCAAACTCTCCAATCTATCTATATTCTGCTGCATTCTCAGACAGTCCCCTTTACTATTACTCCACCAATCTTAGTGTCATCTGCAAACTTGCTAATCAGACCATATATACCTTCCTCCAGATCATTTATGTATATCAAACAACAGTGGTCCCAACATGGATCCCTGTAGGACACCACTGGTTACAGTTCTCCATTTTGAGAAACTCCCTTCCACTACAACTCTGTCTCCTGTTGCCCAACCAGTTCTCTATCCATCTAGCTGGTACACCCTGGACACCATGCGGCTTCACTTTCTCCATCAGAATTTGTAACCATTGGGTAACGATTGTTGAGAAACCTTAAAATGCATGGGCTATTGAGAACTTCCTGTGTGGACAATGAAAGTGCATCATTGATGTTAGTGCTTGGTGTTGGTTAGTCTTTTGCTTTTAAAAACAGGATGCACACCTGCAATGACTTCAGAACCTTTCAAAACAGATTTTCATTATTTTATAAAGTGCAAATAGAAGCGTGCAAGTAACCATCTCACAATAGCAAATCAATGAAATTACTACTACCGAGTTCCTGACCTGGGTCAGCAGACACATTAAACAAAAAATCCACAGGATAAGGCCCACAAAATATACTGGCTGCCACAGGAAGTCAAGGTATTCTGCAGTGGCTGACTCACCACTGCTGGTTCACTATCAATAAAACAAGCCAGGTGTGTAACAGAATACACTCCAATTGTCGTTACTGTAAATGCAGCAATACTTGAGATCCACATCTCATTCACTAGTGTAAGTATCTATGCCATCCACTACCAGCATACAATGGCAATAGTGTGCACTACCTATACTGCAGCAACATGCCAAGACTTCTTCGACAGCATCTCTCAAACTCGCAACCTCAACTAAATAGAAGAACAATGGGAACATCACCACTTTCAAGTCATATACATTTCTGGTGAGGGCATACAGGCCAGCTCCTTTACTGTTGTGGAGACAAAATGTTGGAAATCCCAACTTGATACTACTTTTGGAAGCAGGTTGAAGCAGTTCACAAAGGCAGCCTACCACCACTTTTTCCAGAACAACTAGGGATGGACATTGAACAAAATTCTGGTAGGATTACCACACAAAGTCCAACCAACGCACTCAGATAGATAGATTCCTGTTCCGACACCATCAGACTAAACTAATAGAGGGGATAAGTTATGTTTTTCCAGCAATAATTGTTGAGGTATGGGTACTGCTACTGCATTAAGATTGTTAAGAAAATTCAAAACAAACTGAGTTAGTGGTAGATACAAATGACATGTTATTAACCAAGGTCAGCAATGAAAGCTTGGCATTCAGTTTGTCTGTTA